ATAACCCCAACTGTAAATACCAGCCAATTTAGCTGGTAATTCTTGGACACAGATCCATTAGGCTTACTATGTGCAACACCCGGAACACAAATCAAAATTCGTTGCTGCCAATGTTGCCAGTGGTGATGCAAACGAAACCGAATTGAACGCGATTAGTTGGCGTTGCACATTGAAGCGTTAATAGTAAATACTCATTTGAAAGCATTGCCCAAACAGACAGACACACACATTACAACAACATTATTGTTTAAATTGTAAAGTGATACTCTTGCAGTGCGCTGTTGAGAGTTTGCTTTTGGGTGATTGATTAGTGCGTGGTCGACCGCCCTACCGCATGTCGTTTAGCTTAGTTGGCGCAAATGCAATTTACAATGATATGCAGTACCAGCAATGTGAATTGTCTAAACTAATATCGTTGTCCATAATACACTTGAACAACATTGGCCAATTATTTGCTCTTTCTGTGTTTTAAAACATAACTTTATTCCCACATGAGCTTGGACTGCGAACTGTATATACGAGTACTCTACTGCTTCCGTACTTTCTAATCTAACCTAATCTATTAGAAAGCACTTTTTCCTATTTTGTATTTGGACATCCATGGCGTTCGAAATGAACAAATTTTTAATACAGAAACTATTTTTAATTCAAATTGTTTCTATAACACTTATGTATATAGCATATGTGTCAGTGATCTGACTTGTTCTCGACATATTATCTGTGGCCTTCAAAAAGAAGCCTTGATGCTGTATAACATGTGGCCTACCATGCTTTAAAATTAAGGCTTTTTATTAACTTCTTAGATGAACTTTCCAGTGATGATTTAACAACTTTACAGCACAGATTATCACTCGCACAGAATTTATGTTAGCTATATATTAATTTTGTATTTTAAACGTGCTGTGTTAAACATTAACAGCAACTTGTTGGCCAGTGTTGGTTGACGTGTTAAAGGCTTTAATTTGCAAATGCCAACGAGAGGCGCGCACATAAAAAAGAACCAAAGTGAAAAGCAAGAGGCGCAGAAATGAAATCAAAATCAATGTCAACAACAGGGAAAAGGACGCATGCTGCAGGGGGTGCAGGTGGCGTTAAAAGCGCTTTGAAGTGCAGCTAACGGTTGTTAGCGTACGGCGTTGTAAATAGAAGCAAAGCAAATAGTGCACAGCGCCGGCACAAAAAAGGACAAATGTGCGGCTCTCCCACAACCAACCACATACACATGTACGAAGGCAGCATTTACAATGCAACAACAACAACAGCAGCGGCAAAAACTTTGCGCTTAAGCTCAGTAGTAGCTGCTATGAAAAAAGACAGTTTAAAAAGGAGGCTGCATCAGCAGACAGGGCGTCGCCGTTGACGTTAACGTTGACAGGCACTGTAGGGCAACACTTTGTGAGCGCGTCAAAGTGTTAAAGAAGAAAGTAAGCAACCAAGGGGAAGGTACGGGGCGGGACCGGGACTATTCAGTGTCAGTGTTGCCAAGTCGTAAGCTAGGTAGCGAATTGTCACAAGCTTTGCATTCTCATAAAGAAACTGAGCTGGCTTCTACCACCCATATTACAACAGCGTTACGATATGCAAAAAATATCTTCAACAACTAAACATATTCAGATCAGACTACCTAATAAGTTTATATAACTCAGTCAGGGCACTGACATGCTTTATTCTCTACATTAGAAACTCTTCTTCCAAAGACACAGTGACAAACAAATACAAAAAAATGGAGTATAGCGTCAGCTTAAAATCAATAATAATTCATATAACAACTGGTTCAGTAAAAACAAACAGTTTTTCTAGGCCTTTGTTAATTGCTTTGAGCTAACTTACAACAATGCTATAAATCCCGCTAGACACAGTTTTGAAATACCTCCCGAAATCGGCCTTAGAAAAGCTCAAGAGCTGACGGAAAAATCGCTAAATTGCCAGCACTGATGTGTTTGTTGTGTGTGTAGATGCATGTGTTTCTGCATTTTCTGTTGCGTATTTTTTTGCGTTTCTCTACCGTCGACAATTTGAAGTTTTTTACAAATTCCTTTTGCAGTATGTCCACTTGCTTTGTGGCGCCACTAACACACCACATACTACATCCACATTTTTTCCTACTTACTATACTTCTATACTACTTTTCTACGTGCTAGCCAAGGCTTATCTTTTGCTCAAACAGAGTGACCGCTCAGCACACACTCCACTTTCCGGCTGCACAGTACTCAACGATGCTCAACGCTTTTGTACATTTGCCTATTTTTCATATTAACTTGACCACACTCTGATGTTCAACTTTTATTTATTTTTCCTTCACTTTTTTAATACTTTGCTCTGGACTAAACAAAGACGCTTTGTGCATGGCTTTTTTTAACTAAGCAGGCGGCCAACTCAAAGATCCAAATTATTATGTGTAATGGTCGCCGGCATTAAAATTAAATTAATGTTACTTTTATCGCAGCTCGGTGCTACAAAATTAGCACTTGCGATAAAAAGGGCTAATATTTGTCCCAAAGCTTCAGGCCCCTATCAGCTGTATTACTCTGAAAGCTTTAGTTAGTACAACTCTGGGTTTTGGTTGGAATGTAAAGCGCATCTAACTTTACGCACTTCAGTAGTTCCCTGGAATTAGGTGTTATAAAAGGATCTCCGAAAGTATAAGAGCTAGAATAACCAAACTTGGTATACAGATTCTCCTGAGACCGAGAAAGGACGAGTTTGTTCATTTTTTCTGATCCACCCCCCACTCCCCCCCTATTAACGATTTTCTATAACTCCCGTAATTCTTGGAATTTTGAACTAGAACTAATAAATAACATTAAGCGTATATGCACACACACTTTTTGATTTCACCATTAATTTTTTCTTTTGTTTGATACTAAAATATTAAACTTATTTACTTTTAATTATATGTTAGTGAATAATATAAATAACTACTTGTTTTTAATTTTGTATACTTATACTGAACAAGTTTTCTTCCATGAATTTATAAACGACTATTATGTTTGAACTTTCATTTGAATTATCATGCTACTAGAAATATAATTTCTCGGAAATGTTTATCTTTATAATAACTCATGCCTATTATTAAATTCTGTTTAAAATGACTTGATAAAGTTTTATTTTTTCTGGTGACATGGGGACATACAAGTAACTAGAACATTTACTATAGGGGAACTCCATAAACAATACTCGCATTGGAGCTTCATGGTTGGGTGGGTATAGAACGCGAGCATCGACTTCCATCTCAAGATCTCGCAAACTAGCTAGACATATATTCTGATGCAAGAAGCCATCACCGTCAGTTTTCCTCTCCCGTTTAATTGGCCTTTGATTTGTTTTAGTTGCTTTGTTGGAAGTAGGCCTTCCAAAATTTAGTTTCAGCAGGGACTCTATAATAATTTAATTTATGTACTTAGAGTCTTCAGGACACAGCAAACCCACCCCACCCCGAAAGAGCTATGGTATCAAAGGGTCCCGACCTCCGCTGTGACACCGTCGGCTCACGCTCTCTGGTTTTTTTACATCTAGCCAGGATACCTCAATGTAGATTCAATTTACATAACCTGTTGGTGCTCTATGGGGAGCCCAGGCGACCCGATAAGTTTTATATCAATGTGTAGTTTATTACATAAACTTATGGCGGCCTACGGGAGGCTAAGACAACCAGATAGCCCTCTACATCTTGCATATGGTCGGGTCAATGCTTTGTGCATTTCAAATAGAAGTATATATGTATGTACATACATACAATTTAATGTGGACAACGTTGGCAGGAGGCGTACGCAATTAAGTGCCCCACCCTTTCTTTTGACTATTTAGTAACTACTGCGGTTTTTTTTATTTTAATTAATTTTTTTGTGCAGCTCATTAGCGTAACAAAATCAACTGTAGAGTGGCATAAGCACTAAATTATGCTCAGTGCTTAATCAAGTTAAGAGCGTGCTAGAGACTAAATAAGTTGTGGTTTGAATAACAGCAGAAATGTTTGGTGGCAGCATCATCATCAAAGTCACATCGCACTACAAAGCGCATTTTAGTTTTATTTGTAGGGGGGGCGGGCGTGTGCGCTCTTTTTCTTTGCCTTCTCTTGCCAAACCCAAATTGTCAGTCAAAAGGCTTTTAACTGATTTGCGGGCGGGAGGAGGTAGAGCGCATAAAAGTGCAGCCGAGGCAGCATAAACCACAAAAACAAGCTAACGGCACTTATGCCTCGCTCACTCACTCGCTCTTGCACGCACCACAACATTGCTAGCTTTGTCGCCTTCTTCTTCTTCCATTTCTTTTACTTCTCTGAAGTAGGTGTGCATGCGTGTGTGTACGCGGGTGAAGAAAAGTAAATGTTAATGAACTTGTGCAGCGCGCCCGCCAAAGCAGGCAGCACTCTCGAATTAATTGAAATGCCATCAAATGAGTATCGATTTTCCTTTCCAAGATTACTTTTACGTGCATCCACATACCTACATACTTGTACATACATACCTACATATGTGTATACTTTTGCAAATACGTTGTTTGCAAATTTTGTAATTTGTATTGCATTTGAAAGCATTTTGTAATGCGCTGATGTTGGCTTTTGATGCCACAAAATATGTCTAGGTACGTATATGAATGTATACATATGTATATGTATGCACATATGTACATACATATGTATCAATACTTAAGTAGAATGTATTTCAAACCGTTGGTGTAATTTAAAGCCTAGGAAAGTAATTACAAAACAATAATATGAAAGCCGCTTAAAATAATGAGAAACGAGTAGAACGTTGAAGTCGCGCAAGTACGATTCTTACATACCCTGTACACCTTCAGCTAACTAAAATCATTTTTGACTCGCTCCTCGTTTCTAATGAAGAAAGGCATTTTTTCACAAACGACGCAACGAAGTACAAGTATATATGCATGTATAATGGCACCGATTTCCATGTTTGTAACTACATCTGGCCATATAGTATGTATAAATGTGTGTACATTCTATTGAATGGTGCTTGTCTGATGTATTGTGTACTTACCATTCTTGTATTGCCAACTGTTGGAGACGCAACAGCATAACAGGAGAAAGCATATCACAACAAAGCTCTGACGACTGCTTCGGGCGCAAAATAATAAGCCCACGGAACTCGTCGTTTTATTTGCACATTTTCGTTTTGTTTGATTGGTTGCTTTTGTATTTGCAGTTATTATTTGGCACAATTGTTGTTCAATTTGTTTAAACTTAATGTTAGAAGTTGTATGACTTGTGTATGGCTCTCGAGCCATTTTACACACACTCTCAAAGACGCAACGACATTTGACATAAAAAAGGGCGAGGATCGGTCGCACCTGGCTTCGTTTGCCTGATTATGTAGTTTTGTTTGTTTGTATGCATATGCGTATGTGTGCGTATCTCAATTGTTAAAAACAAATATCGTGTACTTGTATTTGTTTCTGCCACAAATAAAAATACACTTGCGATATACTGAAAGAGAATGATTGTGACGCTTAGTAAACTTGTTTATTATTTAATTATTTATTGAGCGCGCGTGTGTGTGTATTTGTCACATTGTTGTTGTTTTTGTTGCTATTGTATTTGTAATAAAGAAGCATGCGATAAACGAGCAAATTGCGCCACTCTGGCAGCAAATTGTTTGGCTGGAGGTGGTGGGTGCCTGCCTTTGCAGCATGCCGCTATTTCCACAGTTGCTAAATTAGAAAAATGTCGGTGATAAGAAACGCGCACGAGCTTTGTAATTAAATTTTGGCCGGGCCGATTTAACAAAAACACCAAGCGGGCTGGGAATATTTATGAAAATAAAGCGCGTTATTTTAGCGCCGGCAATATTAAGTTGAGATTTCCAATGGAAAATTACACAAAATCAAAACAAACGCTGACATACAACAACAACAACAATAGACAGACGGACGCGCTATAGGGCCGATAGAAAATGCGCTGCTGCTGACGTACGACGAGCAGGCTGTAAATTTAGCTTCGCCTCGTCGGCCAGAATTGTGTGAATTACGCACATATGTACACTAGCATTAGACTTGCTTTGTTTTTAGGTAAATTTTGTTCGTTTTTACGATTGACACAAACACTTGCACGCACACAGAACCGCACACACACATGCACACATGAGCTGCTTGCACGCGCTGCACATCCGAGCCGCACAGACAACACACAAAAACACGCGAACCGTCTTCGAAACTGAACTAGAATGCAGTCAAAAACAACAATAATTCATTATTCACTAATAATTTGTTGCAAGTGGCGCGTTATGTAGTTGCGCGTAGCTATTTTGTCGACTTATTGTGGTACCAAATTATTAAATACAATTACACCTTGCGTCACTCGTGTTGTTGCCTCGGTGCTACCTCCGCGAATAATGAACACTAGGGATGTAAGAAAAACATCGATTGACAACAAGGCGTTGCCATCACATAAGTAGCGGTTGACTGTAATGGGTAGCACTATAGGTAAACAACGGTTGGCAGCACCGAAAAGAAAAAGCACTGTCGTAACAACCTGCTTTTATTATGATCAAATGCAAATCCGCGCATTCCTATATTTTAAATTTTTATTCTTATCTTACAACTTAATTACAATAAGAACTTATGCTAGGCATGGTTGTCCATAAACTGCATCTCTGACCACAAGAGGAGAGCATTTGGTGGTAGTGGGCGCGGCTGCGGCGACAGCAGCATTACAGCCTGTCGTTCCATGTCCACCTCAGTACTTTAAATAAAATATGACATTTTTCAATTATCATGAAAAAAACTAAAGCGATAATTACTTACACACAGCAGAACCCAGCAACATTGGTGCCAATGACGTCGTCATCGATCGACTCGGCAAAACTCAGGGCCAGTATGTGATGCAAAAGGGCTTGGGATGGCGTTACAGCCACAACTTTCTTTTGGTTGTCCTCGGCTTTCATGCCAATTGGCATACAGGAATCGGGTAAAGGTGGCGCACCGATCTTGTACAAGCGTAAGTCCGCAAATTTTACCTCAAACGAGAACGGATAGAATGGCGCACGCACATTGCCATAGAAATATTCTTTAATGCGCTGATCTCTCGCCTCATGTCGCACCTCCTTACTGCGCTCCACAACTCCACCGCTCTTAGGGAGCAGCACTACTTGAACATTTTCTGGAACGTCTCGCAGCAGTTCATTATAGAGGCGTTCCTGATCCAGCACAAAAATGGCACAGGCTCCATAGGCCCGCGCAGCATGCAACAAATGTGCATAACCAGAGCCCTTGACCCAACCACAAGTGTTGACAATGATGCCAGAGCTCTTTGCTGTATTGAAATCGATTAATTAATAATGGTTTACTTGTAATGGCACTGCACCGCTGTACATACTCCTTTTGTTCGCGTCCAGTGACTTCAGCGTCACTTCTGCCATTTTCGAAACGACGGAATTGTAGAGCACGCTGTTGCCGCTCGGCGATTTGTGGCCAACGTGATAGACCAGGGGAGCAGTCTTTGGAAAACCATCTTCTACACTGGCCGGCCGTTCGATGAGTATTGTCCCCACATTTCCTGGTATGGCAATAGCTCCTTGACCCACATCAATATCTGCATAAAGTGGACGACGTCCGGCACGCACCGCATAGTTTAGGAGAATACGACATAACGTGCTTTTGCCCACATCCAGGGGACCCACAACCAAGGCAACAGGACCACGCTTGTCCTGTTCCTCGGCTTCTACCCGAAACTGCTCAAGTGCGGCATGACAATTTACATATTGAATCATTGGAGTCTCCTTTGATACATAACAGACATCCATCTTTCCAATCACTTGCAGCACGCAGCCGTGGTATGTGAAAATTGCAACCTTGGCGCCCATGCAAAACTGATACTTCTTTTTCTTTACCAGCTCTGTGCCGAAAAGCTCGGCGAATCCGCTTACAAGCTAGAATTGGTTCAGAAGAGTACATACATATGTAGGTTTTCAACGAAATTTCAACCGGTAGTGGGATTACTCACCGACACCAGGACCTTGGCATCTTTGTGTTCGATTTCAAATCGTAGCTCTGAGTCTGCCTCCAAAGTATACTCTTTGGTTTCACTAGAATCCTCGGTCATTGTTATTTTGGCTATTAAAAATTATGCTTTGCCTTTTTCACGCTTTTGTATACAAAAACTGTGGTCAGCTGTTTGCGCCAGTGCTACCTATAAGCAGATATTTTTAGTGTTTTTCAGCACTCTGAGGAGCATCAGCTTGAGGACCGAAAAAAAGGCGCGATTTTATTCGAAACCAACGATATCGGATAGCGTTTATTTTGAAAACAATTATATTTGCATTGCAATAAACAAGAATGCGTCCAATTAACAAAAAGAAAGGTGCGCAACGTCAACAGAAAGGGCCTGCCCCGTTTTTGGGTGACACCTCCATTTCAGACGAAGCCACAATATTGGAGTCGCCTGGACGTGATAGCCGTAACGATACAGACTATGGCTTGGAATTTACCACAACTGGATTAAGTGCAATGGGCATGCAAAGTCGCTGCTCCACTATGCGCCAGGAGCAGCGTTCATCTCAACAGGATAACATAACCAGCAGCGAAGATGACCAAAATGAGAATCGCCCGCCTCCAAGTGCAGCAGCTAGGGCAGATCCGACTCCACGACCGCAGCAGCAGCGCCAAAAGCAAACAAGTGTAGGAGCACAAAGACGAAAGCAACGTAAGCCGGAATTTCATATGCGTAAATTGGCGCGGGAAATTTTAAAATTGCAAACGACGCCCAACAATTTAATACCGCGACTGCCCTTCTCTCGCCTGGTGCGCTCTATAATTATGGAATTCACAAATCCACCTTTCTCCATCTCCAAATCCGCTCTGGAGGCGTTGCACGTATCTGCCGAAATGTATTTAACGCAACGGTTCCAGGACGCCTATTTGCTAACCCTGCATCGCGGTCGAGTGACTCTGGAGCTGCGCGATATGGCGTTGATCGCATTTTTTTGCAAATCCCGAGGCGACATTTAAGAGGCTTAGTGGCTTAAGTAGTTATATATGTATTTTAACTGTTAACTAAGACATTTTAAACACATTTAATAAAATTGTATTTTAGAAGGCTAAATCGCCTGGCGAGTCAGTTTTAAAGGCTTAACTCACGCCAACTAATACATAACACCTCAGGCGGCTTTAGTTTTCCTAAATATATTTTCCACATATATTTAAGCCAATTTTTGTTTAAAAAAATACTTATAAACAAAAAATCATACATGCATATGTTCTTTGTTGGATGAAGTTTAGTAAAATGAAAAAGCTTTATAAGCTATCAAAAAAAAAAGTCTCTTGATTTGTGTAAAATTTTGTATTTTATAGAATTAGAATGTTTTACTTTATTCATCTTGATTGCAATTCAATCTTCCCTTTTCACCCGTTCACAACGATTCGTTGTGGTTCGCTGATTCTAATAATGTAGAGAACAAGTAGAGGTTCCATGTAACAATCGTTTTATTTTTCACGCACATCATGTTGAGTTTTCCTTCATACATAGTATGTTTGTTTGTATGTATCGGTATATGTAACATAAAACATAATCCATTAAATAGTTTTACGATCGAGCTAATCGTGACAACGCAATTGCAATTTACGAACTAATTGAAATAATTTCGCTCTATATAGAATTAAAGTCAAATTAATGCGCTTTTTGAAATGAGTCACCATTTAGAATGTGTGTATGCATAGTGTTGTATGTAAATAACGAGATGTACATACACATCTATGTAATTATGTTAGTATGTAATAGCACTACATATAAATGTATCTATGTATATATGCTTGATGGTTACGAAACTAAGCGTACATATAACAAACAGCATTAAACGATTCTCTCGCTTTCATAAATAATGTAGGTAACATAAATAGATTTAGGCGCGTGTCTATACAGCGCCTTTTCGCCTTCGTATGATTTTTTGCTTTGCTTTTATGTATGTATGTAAGCGCAGTTAATTTTTGTTTCATGTGAGCTCGTTTCTACTAAAACACAATGAAAATATAGAAATTAAAAACACCGCAATTTTCACATTAAATTATTCTTTCTGTTTGTTATCTTCCTTGATGTAATTTCGATTAATTGCACACTACGCCATCTTGTTATTATATTTTAAAACTCTGTCGCCAATTTTCACTTAAAATTAAATTGAGCTTTTCCGCTTCTTGTTCTTTACTTTAATGCTGCACACGTCGAGCCATTTTCTAGCCTGTTTTTGGCATTTAATTGAGTAAGCAGTAAAAAATACTGCATACTCTCTATTATAGTGTTAATTACAATTTTTACAAAATATATTCATATTATATAGCATAAAGTGGCCTATATGCGTCTATAATTGATAATGGCTCGTGTTTGTTTGCATGCAGCTTAAATTTAGTTTGCTTTACATCTTTCATCATATGCTCATTACAACAACAACTGCATATAATTTATGCTTAACCATTTTTTGTTTTTGTTTTTTTTTTACTTTTCTAACATTGACGGTGAATTTTGTTGGGCTGTGTTTACATTGATTTAACTCCTTCCTCATTATAATCTATCTTTCGCGCTGGCGCTGGCTAACGTCCCTCGCATAAACATACATACGTAAATTTATAATAAAAAAACTAATTCATTAATATAATTGAAACCGTCCTCATCCTCTTAGTGCGGTTTATTCTTGTTTGTCAGGCGCGTGGACTTTCGATGTGAGCTGCCGCCATTCTTGTCGGCATTACCGCCAAAGCTACTCTGGCTGTGGCTGCTGGACGTATGATGATGTGTGCTTGTTGCCGTGCTGGCCATGGACGCGCCCTTGGGCGTGTAGGGTATTCTAAAGAGATCGATGCGCAAGTGCTTGCAAATCTCGAGACAGACCTGGGCACAATAGCGCAACAAATCCTGTGTGCCCCAGATGAGTGTGAACCACAACAGCCATAGCTCAGGCACTATGCAGTTGAAGTACTGATTGAGGAACAATAGAGCGGGTCCCAATAGCGACCAATCCAAATATTCCATTTCCGCTTTGGTCATATGCGCTATCTGCATGTAAAGAAGTAGAGGAAATTAATAATAATACATACATACAGGTTTAATAAAAATAATTTCACCCCCACATTGTACTAAAGAGGTATTTCTCCATTGGTATTTCAAATACAATAATCTATTGAAATTAAAGGACTCCATTAATAATCGTGCAGGATCTAATTGGATTGCCCAAGCAATGTTTGCAGTTTATTTGTAATAACTAAATCAAGCTCTTTGGTTTACTATATAAGCATGTAACCTTAGTCTTTAAACCATAAAATAAAACGGGAGAATCCAAAACCCAGTTAGGGAGAAGAGAATGGAGTTCGTTTTCATAGCCGAGTAGGTAGAAAAAATCACTAAACTGGAATAGGAACTCAGCTGTTCTTGCTGTGAACAAAATTAATGGAGCTTTTTTAAGTCAATAAATCTACAATGTTATTGTGTGTTAACTTCATTATGGACTACTCCCGTAGAAGACTTGTACACTTATTTAAGGTTGGAGGCACCACTTACCACAAGCTTGTTGGTCACCTTGGCTGCCACCATGCCAAAGGCCATAATGTACAGCGAACAGTTCTCGGTGAAAATGTTTTCCGGCGACTTCTGTGCGATGATCAGAGCCGGCAGCACCACCAATGTCAATGGTATGCTGGGGGACAGAACGCTGGTTCCCTGTAGGGAGCATGAGCGTTAAAATAAAATATTAATACAATATGATCGAAAAGATGTAGAACAAGGCCAGTTTGGGAAGTGTGCCACGTTGCCGAACTTCACATTTAAGTACAGTTGACACGCAAAGATATTAAGTTACAGTTAAGAGGCACATTTTGCAAACTGGAACACATTTTATTTGATAATTTTGTGATGCAAATAAAAAAATTCTTTTGGCTGTTGTGTTTTAATAGGACGTATCAATTTCTAAACGAAATTATACATATTTTATATATTTTTTCATTTACACAAAATATCGCTATTTATTGGTGAGATGTGCTTGTGGGTGTCTGTGTGTGCGTGTGGCGTTTAAGCAAAGCCTTTAGAGCCCAAATACCAAGGCAATAATATGCATAGTTCAACAAGGAAAGCAAACCATAAAATATTACCATTTAGCAAGCAACTATAAAACTACAAGTGCTCCACGCCTATAGATAACAAGCATAAATATGTACATACACACTTATTATATATACGAACATGGCAATTGCTCTACAACAAAAATAAAGCATCTTAATTAATGAGTTTTGGTAAGTGTTTGAAATGTAACTATAGACGGACAGATAGTAAATCAAAACCTCAGCTCAGTATTTGCTTGAAAACAAGGTGTGTCCAGTGTGTGTCTGATTTCGTATTGTTTTGCACCAACAACTATATATCGAATTAATACGAATTAAACATAAAATTCTTACTGCAACCGATGATCCATTTTTGCCGCAGCCTTCGGTTAAAATGCATTTTGCATAACGTAAAGTTAAAAGTAAATCTATGCCTGTTGCAAAATAGAACGGCAGGCAACGCATTTCGCAATCAAGGTAAGGAACCTGGGTTTGGATTGTATTTTGGTTTATGTTTAGTTGTGTTGTTTGCGGAATTAGTGATTGTAAAAAGAGAAAGATCGCTCATTAGTCGGAATTCAATAACAACTTAAACAGAACGTAGTTATACAAAAGAAAGACTTTAGAAAATATTCCAGAAGTTTTTTTTTTAAAAGAGGAGGTCAACAAATAATACTAATTAGTAGCTTAGAAGCAAAATTATACAACGATTAGCAAATATTTCAGGAAAGTTTGTGTTAGGACCAGTTCGAGATAATGGGATATTTTAGATCGGGTATTATGTGGATAGGTACCACCGATCTAGTTCTAAGTATATCTATGCTTCTTTGAAGAAACGGGTACCCAATCTGCAATTTAACTTTAAAAAGAAATTAAATATTTTTTCTATGCTAAAATGCACTCATTAAGATGATAAATTCCGTTTCCAAATAATTCTAACAGCTGTTGCTCCTTTGATCATTTTTTTTATTGCAATTTATAATAAAGGTGCTTTTTATAGGAGTACATGTATGCAGTAAGTAAGTGAATGAGAGTCGGTTAAAGTTTCAGAACTTCTTTTCACAGTGTTGTGGGTAGATGCTTAAAAATTAGAAAATCTAAACTACTACATAATTATTGCAAACTCAAGTCACAACATTATATACGTATGTATATATGTATGTATGTATATGAAAAACCAAGGATATGTCGATTATTAAGCTCTAATTTGTGGGTTTTAAGGCTACCAATGCATATGGATAATCCCAAACAAATGATAAATGATGCCTTGATCGAAGACCCCAACCCATAATGCATGCACCAGCAGCCGACCTCATGAACTTACATGCTATAGCCCCAGTCGAACCTAAGCCGCTGGTCGAATAGGTCCCAGAGCTCAACCCAAATAAAACCATCTTCAGCCAATTAGGGAAACAAATTTAAATGCAATATGTGATTAGTAGGGGACCACATAAAACCAAGCGTAAAAATGGTACATTGTTAGGGCCCATCAGCACTATGTTAAGTCCAAAGTAATGGAATGTTTTTCATTTTAGTAGTTACATATGTGGTAGTTTTGTAGTTAATTCAACGGATCGTTTGTGGTAGAATGCTTACAGCAACTGAGGAACCGTTTTTGCCACTGCCTCCTTCAATAAACATTTTTGAAAAATTGATAATATTCAAGGCATAACCGAATGTAATAAATACTAATATTGTATAATTCCATGAAACGCCCACGATTGGTATCTATTGTAGATGAAAGAAGATTGCAAGAAAAGAGAACAATTTTGGGTTTAATAATAACAGAAAAAACGTTTTAAAAAATAGCTCAGTTCTGCTGTTGATGAGAGACTTGTGTGTGAATGAGGGAGATAATTTTGAAAAGATGGTTGTTCGGTGTGAGTGGATGAAAAGAGATAAGTTAGAGAAATTTCATTTGCTGAACTTAAGAGCTAAACTTAGAAAATATACGATAGATATTTCATAATTTATACGACAGTAGTATAGCAACTTCATTGAATTTAGACCCAAAACCAAAAATTGGCAATAAATATAAGTACAAATATACATAATATAGATAACGTAGAGGCTAACTTCACATACAGACAGGTGGACTAATATAAGTAAGTATATATATGTATGTACATATACGTATAAGAAGAAAACTGGACAAAGACCAAAAACGTCTAGGCACAAATCCTTACGTTAAGTTAGAATTAATTCAAGGCATTCACTTAAAACTAGGAAAATATAGATTTATGTGAAATCCAAAATTAGTGTAAGTGTTGCTTTTAATTTGGCGAGATGTCTGAAGCATTAGAGTAACAACAACAGCGGCACAAATTATAGTTAAATAAAGACAGGCAAGAAAAAAAGAAACGCACGCAACGCCCCCTGCGAAGAAGCCAATTCAGCAGATTTGTTGTTTTTTTTTTTTTTTTGTATTATTATTTTTGTTTGCAAGCAAAATAATTGAAGAGCAAATTGTGTGATTTGGAGTTTGTATCTTACAAATTTTTTCACTTAGCCAAAAAATATTTTTTGTTGCGTGTTTATTCGGGCAGCTTTTAAAAGCGATCTCTCGTGTGTTTATTGTATGATGTAGTAGTTGTTGTTGTTGTTGTGTTTGTTTGCGTGTTTGTGCTTTTGTGTATTATGTCCAACTTACGGCAACTGTTGAGCCATTTTTGCCAACACCACCGGCCACAATGACGGAAAAGACATAGGCTAGAGAGAACAGACCGCACACAATGGTCGCGATTGATAGACCATACCATATCTCTATATCACCAATGCCGATCTGTGTGTAGGTGTGAGCGTGTGTGTATGTGTGTGTTGTTGTTATGATTTAGTAGCATTTGTAGTTGTTGTTGTTGTTTGTTGTAGTAGTGGGCAGGAAATTGGGCACAATTAGAGCGCAATATATAGAAAAAGAGGAGAAAAAAAAGCGCGCGAGCGTTCGGTGTACAAAAATGTACATAGAATTAAAAGTTATTGGACAATTACTCGTACATAACGGCGTATTAAACATTTATAAATGTATACATATATAGATAAAGGAATATATGCTTATTTTTAAATTGAGCGATCAATAAACAACCCTGGTTACATTAGCAGACATAGCCTGCTGTCCTGTTCCTGACTATTCCTGACAACTATTCTAAGTACATTAATAAACATTCAGTGGCCTTTTCAATACTGATTTCCGCATAGCTTTAAATAAATCAGCTCTTTTAACATAAGCGAAAAATACTGATTCTAGCATAAACATAATTAAAGAAAAAAAAAAACACTAGACATAAGGCTTAAGAAACTATAGATAAAAAAATTAAACTTCCGGAAACATTTCTTGAAAATGAAAATGTTAATCAATTTAATAACACGGCCAACACAGGCCTTACCTTAGTCAGCCAGAACTCAGGACCCATAACAGCTGATACCAGGTGGATGGCAATAATGGAAAACTGTGCCTCCGTAACATCGATGCGTCCAAAGCGCAAAGTACCCGATACATATGTCTGCCAATGAGCGCAATAGAACAGCGCAATGGCGCAGAAGCACTGAAAATAATTATGAGTTTCATTAAAAAGGGATCGCCACACGATAATTGAGCATTGCCCACTTACCTGGAAGAACAGCCAATTGGGATAGTGGCCCAACTGACAGGAGATGCAGGCTGAGAGAGCTACAAACACGGTCGATATGGAATCACAGCCATGATCGAAGAGTTCCCCCAATGGAGAGCTCGTATTCGTGCGCCGCGCCTGTTTGCCATCAATGGAGTCCAGACTCTGATAGATGAACAGACCGAGTGCGCACAGAAAGCAGGTCCAGCGAGGAGGCGCGTCTACACCATTGGGACTATAGCTATAAAATAAAAGAAAGGCACAGCGAGTGTGAGGGACAGTTGGAAGAAACAGAAAACTTCAATACTAACACGATATCAAGTTTGCTTAAATGTGTCCTCATCTCTACCCCAATGCTTACTTAAACAAATGTCTAAAAGAGATTCGGTAATGAGAGATCTGTAAGGTGGCAACAAACTAAATAATATGACGTCATGGCCATGCATCGCACGATGGGCAAAGTTCAAATTCACGGCATTTGTCGAGAGACACTAGCATGCTAGTTTAGCTTTCATTATCACCGGGCTGCTGTTAAACACGTCATACATACACTTACACCATTGGTCAATTGAATAGGCACACACAATTAAATTTAAAGAAGACATTGTCAAATCTAATCTGTATTTTTCACATACTTATGCTATCAGAGATTTCAATAAATTGCGTTTTGATGAATACGTTCGAACATGTACATGAAATCATTCGTTATGGCAAATGTAAAGTGCTATCAATATCGATAAACTATATCATATAGCTTCCATAGCAACAGCTAGTACAACAATAATAATGATGACGGATAATGCTGATGGCAGAGTATTCAAGAGTCGCGCTGGCACAACTAACACATAACCATAAATTCCGTTTATGAATAGATACCAAATGATTGTGTTTCTCAAGCTAAAAGACATGCCTGATACCCGTGTTGTTTTATGGAATAGAAATCTTCGGAAACTGTGATTCTGTAAGTCAAAACAAAAGTAGCATTTAAAAGCGTAGCACGGTATATTTTCAATATTAAAAGAAGAGATTCCATAACGTCGTATGCCAATAAAATATACAATCTGGATTAAACTGAGAACAGTAATCTTCTTGCATAAAATTATTACAAGTAAGGAACCAAGTTATTTGCACGAAAAAATCATTTTCACGACATCATGAAAAACCACTAACATACTTGTAGTTTGCACAAGATTCAAATTGGCAAGTTCAGAAAAGCATAAAACTAATAATAAGAAAATAACAGCGTAATAATTTAAAAGTAATTCAATACTTGTAACACTAGGATAAGGCTTATAAATAAATGAAATGAATAAATGAAAAGCATATTCAATCAGCTAAGAAGTTTTCAGCGGCAGCGGCATTCTCTTCGCTCTCTTCTAAACTATATGTTTGTTTAATCATCCATAGGTGCTTCATTTTCTGCCTTCATTATACCCTGTACCCTTATTAGTTTTGTGCGAGTGTACATGTAACACACAGAAGGAGGCGTGGCAGACCCCACTAATTATATATATTCTTGATCAGCAGGACAAGCCGAGTCGATATAGCTATGTTCGTCTGTCTGTATGAACGCAAGGATCTCAGAAAGTATAAGAGCTAGAATAACCAAACTTGGTATACAGATTCTCCTGAGCCCGAGAAAGGACGAGTTTGTTCATTTTTCGCGATGCACTCCCCGCTCCCCCCCCCCCCCCCCTATTCACGATTTTCTCCCGTAGTTCTTGGAATTTTGAACTAAAATTTGGTAGACACATCCAGTTAGTGATTATATATCCGTAAACCATTATTTCATTAGTTTCATTATGATAGTGTAATTAGAAAGAAAGTTATAGCCATATAACCAGGCCAATGCACACATACATACATACAAGTATGTACAAGTACACCAAAACGCATAGACACGATTCTGATGTAAATGTAAATGTATGCATACATATGGAATATTTTAGATTTAATTTAGTTAATTAATTAAATTAAATTAATTAAATTAAATATATTTATTTTTTTGTGGGATGGTACAGGGTATGTAAGAGTTGAGCCTGCTCGACTTTACCATTCCTTTCTTGTTTTCTACATACACATCTGCGTGACACGAAAAGTTCATAAAAATGTACGGAATTTAGAATTGTGTTTATCAACATTGTTGAACCTTTTGGTGTTCTATTTAAGTGAACAGCAGTGCATAATCAATTTATTTAGTATACAGACGCAACTGAGCTATCAGCTGACTTTTAATGTAATTACTATGTCGCAGGGGAATTGTTATAAATTATTTGATGTACAAAATAAGTAGCCGCAAAAAACTAAGGCAAACAAAAGAAAAAGTCACTACCACTGACCCACAAATGAAACAGATGAGCTGTACATACACACCAATATACATAATATATACAAGTGTATACATACATATGTATGTACTTTGTACAGAGCTTAACAACAAACACATATCAAAACGACGACAAATTCTGAAAAACATGAAAACATTAAACTCACAAGCAAAAACAAAGGTCGGCCTAGGCATTAAACCAGTTTGTGAATCAATTTCTTTTTGGTTATTTTTGGAAGTTGTTAAATATAGGCGACCGGCAAATGGAAGTGGAGTGAACAACACGTGAGGTTTATTTATAAATTCTCATATGTACATACAAGTATGTGTCGGTTGAGTCACGATAACAGTAGAAGTGTCTGGCATACCTCGTAGTTGATTGAAGTTGACAATTGATAGAGACAGATAAATGGAATGGATCTGGGGGAAATCGTATGACCACGTGTGTGAATCTATTGGATTGAATGGGTTGCAGTAAAAATAAGGGGAGGTTTATGTGCCTATTAATAATTAAATAGGCGTTCAGTGGGCTGACATGGAACAGTAAAGCTTGAACTATTTATAAAAAGGACGAAGGTCTCGAAAAGCACAAAACCTTACATCGTTAATGGATATACATACTTACATATATATATGTTTGGACGTATTTCTATTTATGTTTGGGAGCCATAATTATACCCTGTACCCAAAGGGTAAAATGGAATAATCTATAATGTGAATGTGTGTAAAACACAGAGCGCACAAAGTGTATATTTTATTGATCAGTGTGACATTTTCGATTGATTGTTTTTTATATAATATTCATTTCTAAAATATGCAGAATTACCCTAAATACCCCTGAACAGCCAACGCATCAGTTTTAGTGACTGTAAGGGCATTGCTTCCTTTAAGAAATTCAAGTGTTCAGGCGATCTAAAAGTAGCAATCTGTACAAGACTTAAATATTTAGATTAAATATTCTATACTGCTATTGTTATGTACATATCTTTTCTTGTTTGCCGTTCAACTTTATTTTTATTATTTATACTGCGACTGTTTACAACGACTTTATTAACAATTAAGTGCTATATTTTGCACTTTGAAAACTTGTATTTACAACGAAACAAGTGAACATAAGAACATACTATATGTGTATTCAAAGAAATCGCTACAGGTGTAGGGCAAGGTCAAAGATTATTAATAATTTAACTAAAATCAAATTAAAGTACAGAAAAAAGAGTATATTTATTTATTAACTTAGCGGATAGACCCTTTCACAAATTATCTGACGTAGTCAACCAAAATTGATCGAAATCGGGCATGTGTTTAACGAAGCTTTTGCATTTTTATCGCAAATACTTATACTTAGGTGAAAGCCGTTGCTATTCGTTCATAAATGTATGTATGTATAATGAAAATAATATTTTTAATTGCAGTACGGTTGAGTTCTTTCGTTTTATAGTTGTACAACGTGAAACGGACAAAGCTAAATCAAAAACCCACAGCAAATGCGACTGTTTTATTTTTCGTTTGAGTGACATGACAGTCTTTCTCTCTGCCTATTTATGTATTTATTTTTTTGCCTTTTCAATTTGTGAAGCACAAAACGTTGCCATTAGTTTTTGGCTGTTTTGTGAATCACTCATGCTCTCATTACCTCATAGGCAGTATACTGAAAAAGCGAAACAAAGTAGGAAAAAATACGCATAAATAAAAATCAATTGGAAATGCAAATTTTTTGTCGTTTAATTCAATCAGAAGGAGGCATGAGGGAAAATCGCGCACAAGCTTAACTTTAATTGAATATCAAACATGGACACATGTGTACGAATGTAGCTGGAAAAGCTTTGCCCATTGGGTTCAATTAAATTGAACTTTCGCATGCGACTTTTTAAGTGACATTTGTGATTTCTACCGCCGACGCAGACAACACCTGATAAGGCAGCACACAAAAATAATAGAAAAGGCAACCGCAATAGCTAGCACGTCTACTATACTAGGATGGTTTCTGTTTTACTTTTATTTATTTATTCAAACGACAAAACGTCTAATAGCGCCTTTTGTTGCAATACGCCATAAAATGCGTCACAAATATACAGCGGTAGAATATCTAGATTGCGATTTTTGCACAACAAACAAATGTTAAATGAACACCCCGAGACGATGTCGGGGCTGTCGCTCAGGCGGCATTAGTGCTATCTTATCTGCATAGGGGACATGCATATATATATATATACATATATATGTATATACATACATACATACATGGATACAGCGCAAATGAGGGGGTGTCAGCACTTGAGTGTTCCTAGTTTTGATATGGTGATATGGTCAGACATTGCGAAACGAATGTGCCGTCTCTCCGATTAAATGCGATGAGACGAGTGAACAAAAAATTTATAAAATCGCGTATTGTTAAATTAAGTGTTACTCATACGCATTCAAATATGAGTAATATGGCGCGCAGCAGGACATTCGTACGGACAGTGCTGTAAGGCCCATATTTAATGTAGTGTGAACGCCACAGAAAATCTCTGAAAAAGTTCAACAAACTTTTAAGCTAGAAAGCAAAGTTAAGGCTACATTAAATATATGCAAGCTATTGCGCAAATCCGTCATTTTCTTCAGTTTAAATTAAGTGTAATTAACACACTTATTTTCTTGTACATTCATATATTTTTTTGTATTTAGTTATATACAGAGTAAAGGTAATTAAAATTATAAGCTTTGGTAGTCTAAGCTACATATGTATAGGCGATGTTCTCTAGCAAGAAAAGAGCATGAGTCAAAGTCGAATGGAAATTCAGTGGCGGCTGCAAGTATGACGAAAATCTGCTGCTCATGAAATTGAAATGAAAATTTACACAGAGAGACGACGATGGCAACGATTGCGACGCCAACGACATTGAAAGCACAAAGCAAATGCACTTGACCGTCAAGAGCAAAAGAAAATGTGCAATTTTTGAGGGTCAACATGAAAGTGAATTATATATGTGGCTGCCTGACACACAAAAATTTTAAGCGTTGGCGCAGGGGTAACAGTTTAAAAACGTGGCCCTTGGAATAACCAATTATAAGCAACTTGATGTTGGCTGACGTGGGCTGAATGCATTGCAATTAAATCAGGCGTTGACACAAATATATTTGCAATGCAAATACACACATGTTCGTCGTTGTAAGCCGGTATACTTGTACATATAAGCTTTTTTAAGGGGGACTTACCTTATTAATATCAACGTGGTCACAATATTGAGTATTAGGCCCACAATTGTAATTAGATTTGGAGCTAACCAGAGCGGTGTTTTTGATACCAGCCAGTTCCACCATGGTTGCAACAACGGATCCATCAGGCTGGCACTAAAGCATGAGTATTTATGTTCGCTGAGTTTGCGCAGCTGCTGGGGTGTGAGTATGTAGTGGTCCTTGTAGTTAAATAGATCCATTTTGTCTAAGCGGGTTGCGAGCCGTAATACAATATATAGTTTGTATAGAACAATAACAAATTCTTCACTTGGACAGCTGCTTGCGACTATCCCCACGCGCGCTAACTTACACGACACACACACAGTGACTCTCACGCGCTTTTGGCAAACAATTTTCACTTGCTTTTGCAAATTTTACTCGCGCGCATTTGTGTACGTGTACGTACGGCGTTGTGTGTGTGTGTGGGTTGGATTTTCTCTGCAGCGCCTCTGCTGCTTCACGTGTATAGCGGAATTTTTCTTAGCACCAAGAATCCGGAGACGGCGAATGATTTGGCTGCGTTGAAGGAGCGCACGTACACACAAAAAGATCCACACGCACGCTCTGTATTATCAACGTTCAAGGAATATGTGTACTTTATGCTATAAATGTATGTGTCACTTTTGCATATATTTACAAATTAATTTAGTTGGAGTATGCGGGTCCAATTTGCCCGACGTAATCGCCGTGCTACGCTGTCAAAACTGACGTGCATGGCACTAGCTGATATGATTACCAGATCAACATTGTTTTTTAGTGTTGTTAAACGATGCTCGCCTGAGTACAGAGCTATGATATCGATAAGTCTTAGAGGTGGCAATCACATCGCTACCTAAACGGCACCCATCCGTTGATTTTAAATGTCAATTTAATTCGATATAATTTGATTTATACATATTTTATTAAATAAATCAGTTTTCACTTAAAATATTTCCTCACTTTTACATATTTTCGTATGTAATATTTCTCATTTGTTTGTGTATGTGTATCTCTGTGTGTTTAATTTCTAATCCTTGTTTCACGTTTTTATGGGCTGTTTTTTTTTTATTATGGTTAGATACGTTGAAGCAGCAACTACTTGTTTTAGCAGATATACCTATTGTGCCTGCAAAATAGTACAAAATGTTGGCTATCAAAAACTGGTCACCTTTTATGTGTGGCCATCGTAGTGTTATAGGTGGTTAGGAATTTGATATAAAACGTTGTATTAAATTGTTGTTTAAAAATTACTTGTATTGGCAACTTCATTACATTTCTCCAAATGTTTTATTTCCGTTAGGCATAGTTGAATAATGCATAAAAATGTGCAGCTATTTGTAGAGCAAAATAAGACAAAGCTTAAAGAATTGCATATTAGTAATTTTATAGCACAGTATTATATATGTATGTATTATAGCATTTTTTTAAATGTTGGTCGTTTGTTTACAAACACAAAATTTCATGTAAGCATTACATATCAATAACTGAAAGTATAACACAATGTGTAGTTATATCTGAGGCAACTCTTTCGTGTAATATCGCATATATCATTTTTTCTTTTTTTTTTTTAAATATAATTACATGTTATAATTTATAAAATTATAAAAGCGCCCTTTCAATATGGACTTAAATGTTAACGCAACATTTTTGTTTAGAGCTCGATAATAAACTAAATAAAATAAAAACGGGCGCCAAGTGCAAAGCGCAGCGTTGCAAAATTAATTTAGGTACGCATTATTATTTAATTTAATTATGATAATTATTATAATTTTAAATTGTCTTCATTTTGAGACAGTTAGGCAAAAGTTCTTTTCTTAGTTGATTTGTTGTTTTCGTCTTGCATAAAATATAAATATAGTTGTTATTATTTTTTAAGCAATAGTTGGTTTGTTTTTACGAAATTTATTTTACCTTCACGCACACATAAACAAAGAGCACATTTAGACTGATTTACGTTAGCGTCTACGCATTTTGAAGCACAGGACAAATGTTGTTTGAACTTAAAATATACATTCATATCAAAAATTGATTGTTTACATTGTATAGTGCCATTTCTATATGTATATATGCTAATATATAGTATATATAAATTGTAGTCATTATAAGTTTATGCTGCAATCGTCGGTTTTGTGTCGGTTGTTTGCAAAATTTTCTGTTTAAAACGTAAAAAATGCATTTGGGCTTATATGCTTAATGTGTATATATATGTATGTCTGTATATAAATGTACGTCTAGAAATCGTTCTTCTTGCATATGGTGTTTGTGTGTGTGTAAATCAGTATATGTATGTATATAAATATAATTCAAATTAGTGTTCTTTTGTGTTTGTTGTAGTGCTGCGGCTGTTTTTGCCTTACGTTTAGATGTTTATGTTTCCCTTTTCACTTTTATATATGCATGGGTGTATGTATGTATCTATCTTATTATGAATGATATGGCGTCACATAAGTTGCTGGGAATATGCCTTTCCTATTGCCGATTTCGCCATTCCACCAATTCTCATCAGAGCGATCTGTGACGGTGATAACATCGCCGCGTCTGAAGTCCAATTCCCCCGATTCCTGTGGCACAAAATCGTACAGCGCCTGTACAAGCATCTGCACATGATCGGGAGAGAAGAGAAAGGGAGAGACATTATTGAAAATTAGCCAAATATGTATTATGCAAAATTTGACATAGTTTTCTCATGTGCGTCGTTAAATGTTGTATTTATAAATAAAGTTTGCGCCACATGTTAAATAGAATCTATGTAGTACATATTGTACCCATTGCTCTAACTAACCTCTTCAGGTATCATATCACGCAATTTTACATCCTGTGACCTCGACACGCTCGCCGTTCGATGATATTCGACCAGTTCGTTGAGGGAATTAAACTTTACTACCCAGAGGAAGAATTTACTTTGTGCGTCCCTTAGCACCTTAAAGTGTTGCACGCCATCGGGACATCTGAAAAGAATAGATTCAATAATCAATATACGCTCTTTTCCATGTGTTTGTATGCTGCACTAACTTGACTGATAGGGAGAAATCACCGGGACTGGATTCACTAATGCGTATTAGGAAGGCGCCTTCATGCTTATTGGACAACAGTTTCTCGGCATCAGCACGTGTAATGCGTCCATAGTACCAGCTAAAGGACATACGAATTTAGTTCGTTATTCTTTATTCTTTTTAATTCAGTTTTTCACAACTTACTCGTGATTTTTCATTTCTATATAATTACTGGGTATGAGGCCCTCTTTCCCATCACACTCGGCACGGTACCAATTAGAATCGTCCTCCATATTTAATATCTGTAAAATAAGCAACGGATGTTAGTTATGTTTCGATCTGCAGATAATTAACCAATAAGTTATCATATGAATTTTATTTCTATCAATATTTCCATCTATTCGTGGCGAATATGCTTAAAAATAAAATCGTTGTCAATTTGTTGATCTTCAAACGAAATAATAGGGAGAACATGGGGCGACAGACCACATGAAACTTCTTTTAGATTGGTGATAAACATGATAAAACGAATAAATATCGACAGCCTTTCGCCAATATCGAGATCATTTGAACCTTTTTTTCTAAGCGGACTTGTCTAGTAATTTGTATTATTAACAAGTTGATTTCAAATTTTAAATAAATCGTCCATATTTTCTGAATACATAATGAATAATTTGAAAAACATCATAAAGTAAAAAAAGATTAAATTGATTTTCGAATTTAAAAATTTTAATATTAATAAAGAAAAAGAAAGCATTACATAACGATAGAATGAAGCCTAGCCTAAATTGACAATTGCATAAAACAACTATTCTCGCCTTGTTCGGGGACTTTTGCTGGTTTATAGAGTGCTCTAATTCGATTCACAGCCATAAAAATGGGGACACAGTCATATTTCATGGCTACGAATCAATGCAAAAACTAGGTTGTCAAGGTACCTAGCGGCATAAGTACGATAAACAACTGATCTTTTCATTGTCTTGCATAGCATTTGCAAAATTCCAATTATAGCGCACAATATAAATAATCCGAACACACCAATTTATTACAAAAACAAATGATATAATGTACACATGAACTCGTTGCTTGATGAGTGCTGATTGTTTTGCAACTGACGCAATAAATTTCAATTTCTAGCGATTTCCATGTTAAAAATAGTTCAATTGTTTATTGGGTTCGCGTTCGATTTATGTGTCAACGGGAAGAAGTCTCAGCGATAAGCATGAGTCCAACAAGCTACATACACCGATAAGTGCGAGTTTCTTTGCAAATAGTCGTACAAAGTCAAAATCAACATATGAGCATAAGGTATTGATGTATGTGTATTTGTGTGTGATAAGAATTTTTACAAAAATTGTTTAGTAGGTCAAAGCAAAGCGTTTAAGGCAGACATTACAGCAGCAACAATGGCGACAACGTACGTGAATTTCTTTTTTATGTATCTATTGGATACATTTGGCTTGTGCCGAACCTATTTATCTGCTACTACTGACACAACCAGCGTCTATATATGTACAGTGGTATATAACGTATTTGATATAGTTTCAAATTATGATATTATTTTCTATAAGTTGGTGACCTGAAGGCGAAGACTAGGAAGGTTTCCAATTATTGAAGGTAAACAATTGGGGAAAGATGAATATTAATAGTGTTTTATTTGGTCTTTATTTAAGATCTGTGCTTAATGAAGTAATACATAAATTTATTTTTAAAATCAGTAAAATATTTTCTGTCAAGTACAATTGTATTTAAGAATTTGTATATATAATAATTTCATGTATCTTTCTTATTTTTTAGTTGAGTTTTGTACACGAATTATTTTAATTTTATTTTTATTAATTTTTTTCAGCGCCTTACTGTTGCATGTGTGTTTGAAAAGCACGAATTTTTTTAAAATATTAAAACCACATTAATGAATATTAATATTTTTTTTTCCAAAAATGATTGCAAATGCACATGCAAATGCATTTTTCCGGGCCTTCAAAATGTGATTTATTTCCAAAATTTTGAAATTTGGGGCTGTTTTCTTATTACAAGCCAAATATCCTCTGTTAAAAGAATTATTTTCAAATGAATATAGTTCTTCGTTTAAGGCAGATTTTCTTAACTCCAGGCAGCGGTATTCATGTTAAGTTTTATTTATAAAAATGATAGAACATAGCGAAATATTTAATAAATAAAATGGTTCGCTTTCAAATTCAGATTTTGTGACTGAAAAATATTTAGAATATTATTCCAAGCTGCCTATTACAGTTAAAAGCAGAATCAAATGTTATCTAAATGACCAATCTATTTTTTTGAAATCACTTGAATCGACCAGAACTAACTTGAAAATGTATAAGCTATTCCCAGTAAACAATTCGATTGGGAATTGATTAGCTTTCCTGCATTCTCAAATCAAGTGAATTTCTCGATTTTTTTTCGTGTATATGTACACTGTTAGTTTCGGTATGCGTGAGTGAGTGTGTGTTGTTATTATGCCGGCGCCTTTTATTTCTTTCAATTAACTGACGCACAGAACACTCGGTTACGCTCTCTCCCTCATTCAGGCGCTCTCGTTGTCCAAATATTGTTCGAATTTGATTTGCAATTGTTAGATAATCGACAGAGCAGCTTGTGAAGGGGGTTTCTTATTTGGGGAGGGGGATTTATTTTTGGCGGACTTGGCGAGGCAATCAACACTATATTTTCAAATAATTTTTATGAATGAATTCGAACTTTGCAATTGAACAGTAGCAATCAATCAAATCGAGGGCATCGGCTCTGTATTGAAACGTTATTGGAAATTTTAGTAAGTTTTTTTTTTATTTTTTGCAACAGTCCCATATCAACGGTTCATCAAAAGGTCACGACGCCTACATAAAATACGCATTTTTGTCATGGGCGGCAGATATTTCTGTTGCTTTTTTTTATAAATTTGTTTTGTTTTGTGAGTCATAGAGCCCCGAGCGAGTTTTTGGAAAATTTTTGCACGTCAGTTGTTCAGCGAATTGGGACGAACCCATACCCATGTGCGGGGGCTCCATTGGCTTCGGGGGTGGACGCAGCCTATATCTGTGATTGTGACTGTGACGGTCGGGGACTGTAACAATAAGTGCTCGTGCGACAGCTTATGTAAAGGCCAATTACACTGCCCGACACTTATTGTTATACTGTTAGTTATTGTTTTCAATTATATTTGCTGTTGTTGCCAACTATTGTATGCCCGACGTTTCGGCAATTGCAAAGCTGCATTGCATATTTAAAATTTATTTACAGCATGCAATGACTACCATTAATAAGGCACGTTCTATTTAAAATCACAAATTGAAATAGTAAACGGCAATATTTGCTATTGTGATTGAATAGAACTTTTTTTTACAAATAAATGTATCTAAAATTTTATTCAAAGAACAAATGAATCTCAGCGTAAGACTACTCCCAAGTGTGTCGCAAAAACCAAAGAGGTAGAATTTGAATACTAGGATTTTACAAATTTCAATTGCATAAGCTTGCTTGTTAAGAAGTTATTTTTTCCAACGTGACAAATTCAAAATATACTGCTTCCTTGTTTAAATACGTATTTGACTATTTATTGTTTGAAATTTACAATGCAAAGTTGAGGGAATTGAAACTGAGTATTATCTACGAAATATATTCATTGGACTGGTACTCGTATAAATAACGCTTATTGTTACCTAATACTATGAATTGAAAACCTAAACAATGGAACTGCAAATATGTCGTTACAGCCGTGCGGGTTTGTTTTTTTTTTTTTTTTGTCTATAGGTGCCGGGTAATCCCAAAATAGTTTTTACGCTTTTACGCCACCTCTACACTCCCCAAGCTTCTGCTCTGGGTGCGAATCAGAACGTACGTATCTATATAAGACAGTGGCTTTGTTAATCTTCTGATAACTGTATATTATCACGTTCTGTTTAAAAATTTTTTGAAGGAAATAATGTTTAAAGAGGTGTTTTTGTAAATAAAATAATAATAAAATAAAAACGAATAAAAAGATATGTTGCAAAAAATTAAATTTCATACAATATAGTAAACGAAACAGAAATTAAAAACAATATCCTAACAGAAATTGCTGCAATAAATTCAATTAATTCAAACGATAATTCAGCCTGAGCTCTATCGACCTGTGAGAATATTATTTACAACTGTGTGTTCGTTTCTAGTCAGGCATATTGTATTATTTGAATATCATGGCGACTAGTTATAATAATAGTACACAAATTCCAGAATATTTGTATTGTAAGGCATTACGAAACATGCTCGGTCCGTGCCGCATAAGCACTTAACATTTCAGGCAGGAATGCAAAAGTATTGTCGACATCATCGTAGCTGTGAATCAAATTAAGTAACGCCGTCAAAATTATCGCACATTGTGTGCTTTTTATACTAAACCTAAATTTGTACACGGATAGAAAAAGTTTATTTGCAATTTAATATGCGCAGTGGCATCTCGGGGGCCTTGAGATAATCGTTACAGTGGAAAGTTGCAAATTGGCACGACACATTCACTTTTGCTATTGCTGTTGCCTAAGCGAAAGTCTAGACACTGGGCATGGTTAGAACGACAAACAGTAGCTGTCTTTGTCATGATAAGCGGGAGCTTCAGATATTTTTGAGGCCACAATGCCGTTAGCGACAACATGTTTGAGTCCAGTATTGTATGGCTTGTTATAGTATTGTGTGGATCGGATGGTAAAAAATTTGGCGCATGATTCATTTATATGTATATATGCATATCGCATTTACGACTAAACTAATACCATATGTGTTTGACTTAAAAGATAAGTCGCATGACTAAGCAACAAGGCCTTCCCCTTCGCTCTCTAACGCAGACTATCTTATAAACCGGTATTTACCAGCACTCGACATAAGTTAAATGAACTGCAAGAAATGCTCATGGAGCGCCTGTTAAACTAAATGAATATTATTTCCATTATCAGAAGCATTGATAAGCAATTGCTGGCTGTGCAAGAAAAATTAGACCCTTGGTGCATTGGACGACCTTCGACAAATATTGCATCTGCCTATCTCATTACTGTTGCTTATTTTGTTATTTGTTTATTTATTAGTGTTGCACGATAAAGCAAAGTCGTTGACATCATCAATCAAAGAGCCTAGACGATATCTAGCGAATATTTTTGGTTAGCTTTTGGGTTTTTCTGCAGCTGTGAGCATAAAAACCTGCTATATGCCTAACCTACGACAAGTAGACAGCCAACACCACTAAAATAAAGCTTGCAATGCAATCTAGCAGGGGCTCCTAGGGCAGCTAAGTCAGAAGAAACCGGAAAATGCACAAAACCAAAACAAAGACAAAAACGTTTAAAGGGCCGAGCTGAAAAAGTTACCAAGAAATGTGCACCGAATATTACATACCTTTTAAGAATGTTATTACTTTGTAAAACAAATATTTATTTAAAACTATACAGAATAACAACAACTTTCAACATATTTTAAATCCAAAAAATGGATCCCGTTAAAACCAAATACATATATCTTTATCCCGTTGTTATTTGAAAGCTCCAAAAAGTATAATAGATATAAGTATTATACACATTTTATTGTTTTTATGAACTGATACTACATTATTAACAAAGTTTAAGAATAAAGAATGCATATACCCATTCTGCAATATGTACACAAATCTTGGAATAGCAAAAAACACTTTTGATCAAAAAACATACAATTTATTTCTTACTTATGAATCAAATCCACTGTAATTATTCAGTACTAATTAGATAAAGAAATGTTTACACAAAGCACTACCAAATATAAACAAATTTGCGACTCTGCATTGTAATACTTGGAATTGATTGTAATAATGATACCATACATACGTGATGTTTTATAATATATACAAATTAAAATGACGTACAACTTTATAAACTGGATGCGTCACAAACACCATGACTATGCCAAAGTGCTCTCTGCAGTCTCACTTATAAAATCTATGAAGGGACAGAACAGCCTGTCGAGGCCGAGGTGAAAGCACCAGAGAGGTTGTGGCGATGGAAGAAAAAAAAAAACCAGACTCAGACACTATTCGAATTCACTGATAGCTGATGGTGGGGCCGGGCTGTGGAAGTCAGAGCTAGAGAGCCTTGACTGCCAACTGGTTGGAATATATTGCACTCACCTGGCATCGCAAGCTCATGTGTCTCGCTTTGTCAAGCACCTTTGAACCGCTTAGTAACCGAAATCTGTGTGCCAACAATGTCTGGCTACATTTGTAACTAATACGCCAGGATTAGCAAGCATCTGGGCAAATATGCTTTAGCTTAGAAGTGGGTTAAGGCAATAACCTAGCAAGAAAGAAGACGAAGCCACGCCCCACAGTTTGCATTCAGTAGAAAACTCATCGATATGCCCGACTTAAGATGTTGTTTATTTGGTATTCAGAGTTTTTAGTTATCATGCGAATATTCATAAACATAATCAGTTGCTATGCATATTTCATGTCAACCGTTCGCTCTACTTGGAAGTGAAATGAATTTATGCACAACAACAGCAACAACACGGATGACTAGTGGTTAAACAATAACAAACGGAGCAGGAGCCCCAAGACTTCTACCATAGGTGCTAGCGGTAATTGCTGGTATGACAGCAGCGCAGTTCCTTGAACAACCAGCACATTTTTTCAACATTTTTCATTTATTTACTTTTTTCTGTTTTTAAGTTTTTGCATGGTAACAAGACATTAAGGGGTGCAGCATGGTATGGGTGGAATGATGGATGCAGAAGCTACTATACGTAAATTCTATTCTATATACATATGTATGTATATACTTAAGTATATATGTATGCTACGTACTGGTTGAACAAACTCACCTTTAGAATTTGAGTTTTACGAAAACTGAGTTCATCGTCGGCAGTTGCAGAAAAATCGTGTTTCGCAATTGCTTCCATTTTTACTGCTGTTTGTATTAATTATTAAATGTTGTTGTTTTCAGTCACTCTTTATTTTATCAGCCTTGGTTTTTATGTTTAATGGATTATTTGTTTTGCTATGATTTTATAGCGCTCTAATGGCACCATGCATAAATGTATTTGGATATTGTTTTAGTCGCTTAGCTGAATAAATAATTGAGAAATATTGGTATTATTTAGAATTATTCACGGGAAAACATTTTCATTTAAGGAACACACACGCACAGTTGAACACAGCCAAAAAGCCAGACGGATATCATATATACATAATATATGTATGTATATGTTGTATGCTAGTTCGCGTTTGCTTATTATATAAACATTAACTCATATAATTTGCTCATGAGTTTTTGAAAAATAGGCTGAAACGATATTTGTAGTACTGCGAGCGAGAAAAATTGCTTAAAAATATACCGGACAGCAACAATGCGGCAATAGCGACAGCAACAACGAAACAACAGCGAATGACAGGCGGCGACGACTGAACACTAAGCGGGTGTGTGAACGCGACTGTGCATATATATACATACGTATATATATACACATATGTGTGTGTGGGAGCGGTTGAGACAACGACATACCAGAGCAGCGTTGCCAGCAGGGCCTTTTTGTGTCAACTTAATGCATTGTAAATCGCAATGCCCAACAATTGCATATCAATAGGACCATTGCTTTAATTTTGAACAAGGTAAGTAAATAGGGGGACTGCACTTTGCAGATAAAAACATTTGGTGGATAAGCAAGATATATAGCTAACCAAAAGTTTATGTTGGCAACGCTGTTCAGCGGTGACGTTGTTGTTTGTTTTACTTTTTAGCCCCACTACACACATGCACATGCACTCCTGACACGCACACACACACACGTGCGGCCGTATTTATATACATACATATATGAGTATAGTTTTACATATAGAATATTCGCCGAAAGATTTGTTTAATTCTTTGTTATGCTAGGGCTACATATTATATTATATCTACAATATTAATTTTCCGCTACCGCTATGCTAAGTCGATCTATTTTGTATTAAAATTAATTATGTTTTAATTGCTACTCAAAATTCACTTTTATTTTCATTCTCATGCATGCGAAAAAGCGCAACGAAAGTGGTTGGATTTGGGTGTGTTCGCCAGCAATGCGGCTTGTCCTGATTGCGCGTTTTTAAATCCGCACTTAGTGAATTTACTCGGCCCGAAAAACACTTAATTATTTATATTTATGAAACGAACTAAACACGACACAAGTAAATAAGGTTGACACTGCTATCGAGTACCATTTCGAATCTATATATCGATAGCATAGCTGTCACACATTTCGATCATATTTAGGGCGCCTCGCCATTTTCAACTCAGGGCTGCATTTGTTAACGTAGCGTTCTCTTACAGAAAATTATCAAAGCGTCGGCGTCTCGTCCAGTAATTACTTCGCGGGAAAAGAAAGTAGGCGAGTTTCGCAAACAAAATTTATTGAAGACAAATTGTGCATTTAATTTATCTGTTATAAAATTACAATGGAGCGTTACAAACCGCTATACAAAGAGACAGCTACGATGTCACCAAGTAATCGCAGTATGTTTAACCGCGAGCGCCAACGCGCCGTACGTACAAAGCAACGAAACGATTGTTTTCATAGCAATCGTATTATTAGTGTAAGCCCAACTCCTAGAAAACAAAAGCCAGCGGTGGCTATAAATCAAACGGAGAAGGATACGGTAGCTATAGATCAAACGGAGAAGGATGCGGCAGCTTCTTCTGCCTTGGCGAATAAGGAAAACCAACCGTCTGAGACAGAGACAACAAAGGACGCAAGCGCAAACACTAAGACTAAGCTGAGACAGGATAAATTTATTCAGCGCTATCTTGCCTGGAAGGCAGCCAAAAAAAGGAATAAAGCTCCAAATGCGAGTTCGGATAAGGCGCCCTTGTTGCCAACTTCAAAGCAAAACATCTTGGCCCACAAAAGCGATATATTCAAACCACCGGCAAACCTAAAAAATCCCGTGGCAGAAGCATCAAAGCGTCGTTCTCTATATGTTGTAATTGAACCGAAGCCAAAAGAAAAGACTGGACTATCCCAAAAAAAAACGCTTCCTGCTAATACGTTGAATTCCCATGCAAAACCAACATGTACTGCGGTTTCAAAGCCAAAGCCTTCTTCAGCAGCTTTGTCTTCAAAAGCGAAGCCTTTGTCAGCGGCTCCAGCTCCAAAAGCGAAGCCTTTGTCAGCCGCTCCAGCTCCAAAAGCGAAGCTCCCGCCAGCCGCAGTAAAATCCGTCCCAATAGAAGCAAAAGCATCAACAGGTAAACAGCAACGGCCTCCTAAGGAACCAGGCACCACCTCCAGCGTTGGTCCATCTAAGCTGAAGACGTCATCAAAACCTGCGACTGCTAAGCCTATTGTAACTGCCAAACCTCCGCCGCCAAATCTAGTGACACAGCCCTTCAAAAGCAATACAGTGGCCAGCTATCCCAACATAGTAAAACCCATTCGTGGTAGAGAAGGCGGAGCCGCCGCTAAATTTAAGACTTCGACAAACAATGCAAAGGAAACAGGCAGCATAAATGGACAACCAAAAACGAAAAAGCTAAGCGTTCGTATGAAATCCAAAAAGGGAAGTGTAGTCACCAAAAAGAAGACACAACTTATGCTACCACAAATAAGAAACGAACAAATGCCAGAAAATACATTGTCTGCTCCTCCAGACACCCCATTTGAAAGCGACAATCCCTTCCAAGATCGTGCAACTTCTACGCAAATCAAATCGAACAGCGGCTTCCAAAATCTTTTTGCCAGCTTTAAAGAAATTGAGGGCATCAGTCCAGTGGCTAGAATTGAGCGAGCACGCAGCATAGAATCCTCTGCCAAACGTCAGCTCTTGCCCTCACAGGAACAGCAGCAGCTACAAAATACCAAACGGAAATTTAATTTTACGCGTTACTCTGGAGCTCCCATTGTGGAATCACCAGCAGCAGTCGATGAGCCAACTCTGCAGGCTGGGTCACCGCCAAAAGACAGCAAGACAGGTGAGTAGATACAATTTATTGTACCTTCTGTATTATTAAGACTTGATTATATTAACAGCTGCGGAGGAGAAGACGTTACTGCCACAGACGCCACCGCGTACTTCGCTTTGTGAGCCGAACTATTTGAGCCCCTTTGTAAGTGTTTCCCGAGGTAAGGTGAATTCTCGAAGTGAGCGCGAGAAGCGCAACAGTATGTATCTGCCAGATCAGGAGACGCCGTCAGACCAATCAGAGGTACCGGTTGCTGTGCGTCGAGCTCTTGAGACTGTCGGCTACTTTCGCATTCAATTGGATAATGAGACGAAACGCTTGCATGCTTTGTGTGACGAATGGGAGACATATAAGAGTGATCATGAGGTACAGCTTGCGGAGAGCGGTGGTATGGATATGATCAATGCCGCGATTGGGCAAACTAAACTGCTGACAAGCAAAAAACTGATGCAATTTAGAAGTCTAATCGATCGCTGTGAAGCAGGAGCCACGGGTGTGGGTGCGCGTCCGGATGATGGCAGCGAAGACACAAAACCAGTGCAACCTGAGGACTTAGAGGGATGGTGGGACATGGTGCGATTGCAGAGCGATAATGTGGACAAGCGATTCCAAAACTTGCAGCTTTGGAAAGCCAATGGGTGGACGGATCCAGATGCCATTCCCACACCGGTGGTCAAGCCTAAAGCGAAAGTAAAGTTGGCAAAGCAATCGAAAGCAAAATCCAGCACAAAACCAAGCAGTAATATAAAGCAATTTCTACTTAAAGCTTATGCCGAAAGGCGCAAGCAGCATACCAATGGAACTAAAGAACATCTCACAGCTGGAGTAAATGATAAAGAAGCGGATAATACAGTTTCCTCAGATACGCTCTCGAACAGACGATCCCAACGTCTTTCCGAAGGCGATCGCTTGATCATAGTCCGCGACCGCAGGTCCTTCTCGCCTTCACCCACTGTGCTCAAAATGTCAAACGGACGTCGTGCTTCAATGGCAACTGGCGGTAAAGCTTTACTGAAAACCACTCTAAAAGCGTCAATGGAGCAAACAAAACATTCAGTTGTCTCGACACCTCCATCAACGCCTGCGCCAGTGCCTATACTTAAGACGCCGGGTACTGCGAAACGCGAACGCGGATTACGCAGTGTTATATTTAGTGCCAAAAAGAAGGTTCGCAAATTTCAGTTTACATTTGATGAGGCCAACGATAATTCAAGTGGCGAAGATGCGCTCACAGGCGGCGACCAATTGGAGGATTTTGAGGAGGAAATGTCTCTAGAAGGCGCGAATCACCGGAACTCCACAGACCAAGCGCAACAGAGTCAAGAGGGAAATGGAATTGATGTAAATACATCGCGTACATATTCGCTCCGCAATCGCAATATAAAATTGCGCCCATCATCAGAGTTTATGTAAAATTAGTTTTTTGTTAAAGATTTGTAATTAATTATTTCTCTCGTTCATGTTCTTTATTTTGATATTGAATTGGCATTTTTAAAAATAAATATTTTTAAATGTAAAAAGCTTCTTATTTTTGTTTGTGCTGGTAATCGGTTGCGGTTGCTACTCTGTCGTAACTATCGATAACACAAATGCAGTCCTTGGCGTGAGGAACTGCCAACTTATCGCAATGGTCCATATCACTGGCTATTTCTCCCATCAATACCAACATGCATTCTAGTTGATTTAAATTCAAAATCAAATCAATTCCACAAATTTATTGTGCTTAATTGCATTCAAAGTGTACACACGGACTGGAAACGCATCGTGTTTACTTAAGAAGTTCAAGTGACGTTTCGAAAATTGCTATATTGCGTCTTTTCATACTGTTGGATTGTACACTGCGCTCCCTGGTCATTTACCAGGCAGCTAAAGATTTGTGTTTTGTGTTCGCTGTGGTCGTTCTACTTACCGAAGTAAATAAAACGAACTTTTAGGACAAACTGATAAGGAATTATAATAGCCAGAGGCGCATCACGATGGATACCAGTGCCGATAATCTGGGTAAGTCCACAAGGCTCAACTGTATTTTTCATATTTCAAATTGAATTTTCAACCTCTGCTAGCAGTCCAGCGTGTACTTTGCATGGCAGTTGGGCTGCGCAGGCAGCACGCTGGCGCGCAAATTCTTGGATAACGCATGCTGAGCTGTTGGCAGGGCAATTTCGGTTTAAAAAAGATTTTTTATATATGCCAATGGGGTATTGTGGCGCCGTCAACTTTGCATAACATGCAATGTGGTGGGCACATTGGGTAAATAGAAATTGAAATTTCTGCTTGCGCTGCTGACGAAATGTACCCTATATGTGCTTTTAACGACGTGGGAAAACATACCAAAAATATCCCCGCCAGACTTGCCACTTTTATGAGTATATATGCGTACTTATGTATGTGCTTGTATTTACTTGGGGTACAGTCTGTGATATTGCCTCGCCGTATGCTATTGGAAAACGGAACATAATTTATAAATTGTGCATACAGTTTGAAAGTGATTTAAGTGAGCTAAATTTATTGTTGGATTGTCATAATCTTGTATCGAGATGTTATTGTTTTGTGGACAAAGCGCGCATAATAATTTCCCTTCATTCGTTGACATACTTGCCACAGTGCTGAAATTGGACAAGCGAGTGGTAACACTTTTCCTCTAGTGCTGGCAGCGCGGTGCATTAGCACATTTTGAGGTTTACGCAATTTTGACGTTCCGTAGGCTGTGCCGAGTTTTTGACCTGCTCGTAAAAGTGCATTATTATAGTCAAACTGACAATTAAATTCATTTGTAAGTAAATTAAATCATTGCCAGCAATGGCCAACTTAAGAAAAATCATACTTGCAGTTACTAGAGACGGTCAAAATCAACAAAGCCATGTCCTTTGCATTTGCTGTTGCCGTTCGTCAGGCTATTGCCGGCGGATCCATTGCATTGCGCTGCAGTCGGCGGTCAATGAGCTCAGCCCGACTATTACGCACAGCAAGATTGGCGTCCTCTGGGGCGCTAAGCCGGAATTGGCAGCAGGGTAAAAAACTGGTGGCCACCACGGGAAATTTGCAGCAATATGTGCGCGAGTATGCGGCCGAAAAGAAGGTATTCGAACGTACCAAACCTCATTGTAATGTTGGCACCATCGGTCATGTTGATCATGGAAAGACCACGCTAACTGCTGCCATTACCAAGGTGTTGGCAGACAAACAATTGGCTGAGAGCAAAAAGTATAATGAGATTGATAATGCGCCCGAGGAAAAGGCGCGCGGTATTACCATTAATGTGGCTCACGTTGAATACCAAACAGAGACGCGTCATTATGGACACACGGACTGTCCCGGACATGCGGATTATATCAAGAATATGATCACGGGCACTGCTCAAATGGATGGCGCTATACTCGTTGTTGCTGCTACTGACGGTGCTATGCCTCAGACACGTGAGCACGTGCTCCTGGCAAAACAAATTGGTATCGATCACATTGTGGTATTCATCAACAAGGTTGATGCGGCCGATCAGGAAATGGTGGATCTCGTTGAAATGGAAATACGTGAGCTTCTGACTGAAATGGGCTACGATGGGGAGAAGGTACCAGTGGTGAAGGGTTCAGCTCTGTGCGCATTGGAAGACAAGAATCCCGAAATTGGCGCAGAGGCTATACTGAAGCTGCTTAAGGAGGTCGATAGCTTTATTCCGACACCGGTGCGTGAGCTGGACAAACCATTCCTCTTGCCAGTAGAAAATGTGTACTCCATACCCGGTCGTGGTACTGTCGTAACAGGTCGCCTGGAGCGTGGTGTTGTTAAAAAGGGAATGGAATGCGAGTTTGTTGGCTATAACAAGGTCCTTAAGTCGACAGTCACTGGCGTCGAGATGTTCCATCAAATATTAGAGGAGGCGCAGGCTGGCGATCAGTTGGGTGCTTTGGTACGTGGCGTAAAGCGCGACGATATCAAACGTGGTATGGTTATGTGCAAGCCGGGCAGTGTAAAGGCGCTGGATCAGCTGGAGGCCCAGGTTTACATCCTGTCCAAGGATGAAGGCGGCCGCACCAAACCCTTCATGTCATTCATTCAGCTACAGATGTTCTCTCGCACCTGGGATTGTGCGGTGCAAGTGCAAATTCCAGACAAAGAGATGGTTATGCCCGGTGAGGATACCAAACTTATCTTGAGACTCATCCGACCCATGGTCATGGAGGTTGGCCAGCGGTTTACACTCCGTGATGGAAACTTGACGTTGGGCACCGGAGTGGTCACAAAATCATTGGCTGCACTGACTGAGGCGCAGCGCTCCGAGTTGACAGAAGGCAAGAAAGCGCGCGAGAAGAAAGTGGCCGCCAAAAAGTGAATAACATTTTGGGTTCAGCAATAACAACAGAATGAGTCAGTCGTAAATAAACAAATACATATATTTAAGCACTTTTCATGCATATTTTTTAAGTGTTAGTCCATGGTGCTTGTTCTTTTCATGTAATGCGCCGATCTATATAATAAAATTGGAAATCAAAATAACCAAATCCAAAATATGTACATATGCAGTTTCCCTTTTTTAAATCAGTAATTCAGTGTTAAGAATTTCGCTCACTGCTCAGTGCTGCCACTGAGTAATGTTGGTAAATGTCGCTATTCATCCACTTTGTGCGCAGCTGGTACACACGAAATGCATTTTTGAAATTATATTTGTAAAAGATTTTGTAAAATATTAAAATGTTGAATTCTCGCTTGGTAAAATCTCCCGGTATATATTGCATTTGTTTTCGTGCGACTGGTTACCTTTATTTTTTAATTTTTTATGTATTTATTACAGTGCCTCTTGACGATACAACGACACTGCCTGAATTCAGTTTCGATGATTTATTGGAAACGAAGCAGCTCCATACAGAACACGTTAACGATGATGATGATGAGGAGTTTGTAAAAGAGCCGGCTACTGAGACGCTTAACACAAAGCAGCCCAAAATATCACACACTCTGCAAATATTGGAGAACAAGCGTTTGCCAACAATAAAAGTAACGGCCTCAACAACAGCAACGACAGCAGCAACTACAACATTAGGTACAAGACCATTAATAACTGATATAAAGGTTTTAAAACCTGTTCAAGGTGCGCGGCCTCTAAATCCTATCACCTTGTCCAGTGGAGGAACAGCAGTCAAAATAGCTGGGGGAGCAAACAGCCCTAGTTCAGCGCCCACAGTCACCAAAGGTTTAAGCGGTGTGACACAAATTAAGACCAGCGATGGCAGAGTAATCTTTTTGCAAAAGGCACCGCCAAAAGTGGGCGCCACAGCAACAGCATCAGTAGCATTTCCAACTTCGACGCCCAAAGTTGTGGCGGGAAAAATAGTACCACGGCAGCCATTGACGCTTCCTACGGGCATACAAAAAGCAATGCTGAGCAAAGGCGTTACCATAGCACCGACAGGCCTGGTGAAGGCTGGCATGCCTTCTTCGTCTGGCAGCAAGACCGTTACGATCAAAGGCATAACACCCATTGCTAATGCAAAAGTGACCAGCAGTGGGATAAGAACAGGAGCAGCCACAACGGAAACAATGAGCACATCCACGGTTATAGGAGCAGCGGGCCGGAAAACTATTACTGAAGCATCATCCACACCAACTACTCTGTCAAAGATGCCCATTCAAATGGTACGAACTGCAGATGGCAAGCTCATTAAATTAAATACGAGTATGGTTTTGAGCAAACAGGCTGCAACGAACAGTTCCACAACAGCAACAACAACAACACCAGTTGCTATTAAAACAACAAACACGGCTCTTACGGCGACGACTACAACACCCACAACAGCAATCAAGCTTTCGCCAAATAATGTGGTAATCACCAAAAAAGTGTTAAACGACCCCAGTGGCAGTGTTGGTGGACAGGTGGCTATCAAAACCCCTACAAAAGAGTCCCCCTCGGAGTTACATAAAAAGCAGGCAACAACGGGCAGTCCAAGCTCCAGCAGTCCCTCCACTGACACCACCACCACCACAACCACTTCGCCAGCCGTGCCAGCTGGCAAAATGTTACTCCAAAGCTCGACAGGCAAACAAATTGTCGTAGCAAACAAAAATATTATTAAATTATCCCCAAAGCCAGGAGCAACAGGCGGCATAACCAACACCAGCGGCTCTACTTCCAGTGCTGGCAGTGGAGCTGTGCACGCCATTCAGGTACCCGGCAAGAGTTGTGTGCAATATGTGCGCGTGATGACCAATAAAGTTGGCGCAGCCACGCCTACTTCAAAGGTGAGCACTTCTACGACTGGAAGCAGCAGTAGCAACAACAAAGTGTCTAGCTCTGGTCCACAAAAGGTGACGCTAGTGCGGCCAGGCACATCGTCTGGAGCTGTTAACAGTGCAATTACTGGCCCCACTAAGTTTATGGTGAAGCAGGCGGGCGGCAATATAATACCGTTGTCAAATGTGCAGGGCCTCATGTCAAAGGTAAGCGAGAATTCACTCTATTGTGTAATGAAATGCTGAATATACTTATAATTGTTCCTCTTCAGCGTCTTCTGAGCTCTGCCGCCAGTCCAACTTCAGCAACCGCAGGGACTAGTATTTCGCCAGGAAGTAGCAGCAGCCGATTGATTGCTAAGACGCCAGTCAGTAGTCTGGATGCCGCACGCAAGCATAAACTTAGCGATCTCAATGTACAGTTGAAGCAGTTGACTGCTGATGATGCCAGTGATGGCAGCGACGCTGGGCCGGATGCCAAGAAGGCACGCTACGTGTTGATGATGCAGAAGAGCAAACAGCAGCAGCAGCAGAAAATGCTGCAAGCCCGTGCTGGCGTGCAACGCGCTACGGTGCAGGGCGCCGGAAATGCCGCCGCTTCGAGCATCACCAGCAATAGCAGCAACGCTGCTGGTAGGACTACAATACTGGGAAGGAAGGTATACAATCTGGTTAAGACATCGGGCGCCAATGGCGTGAAGTATATGATATGTAATTCAAACACTGGAGCCAGTGGCGTACCGCGTACCTTGTCCGGTGCCGTAAAGCGACCATTAAGCTTGGCCGAGGCCAAGCAACAGTTGCGCTTCAAACATCTGAAGGCTGTACATCTGCAGAAGATGCAAGGCCAGCAAAAGATGCTGCGGCCTGTATCGCAGCTCCAGAAATCGCATCAACAACAGCAGCAACAGCTTAAGGATAAAGAGAAGGAGCAGAAGCAAAAGCAGCAGCAACAACAGCAGCAACTGGAACAATCCAGTACTAAACCAGCGCCTGTCAAACCGCTTTTTGACATACTTAAGCCAGCCGGGAACTCTGCGGCTGCCGCTGCAGCTAGTACTGCATCCAATCCAGTCGATGCATTGGGTGCATTGGCCAGCAGACGAAAGCATTGCAATTGCAGCAAGTCGCAATGCTTGAAACTATATTGCGACTGCTTCGCCAATGGAGAGTTCTGTCAGGACTGCACTTGCAAGGATTGCTACAATAATCTTGAGTACGAGGATGAGCGACAGCGTGCTATACGCAGTTGCTTGGATCGCAATCCTAGTGCTTTCAAGTGAGTAACTATTTCTTATATTCTCTATTAATCTCGGTAAAGGCTAAACTGATAAAGAGCTAGCAATTTAGAACAGAAATATGCAACTAATATACATATGTACATATGTTAACGACTGTCTGTGCGTCTGTATGAGTATCTTTTCTATACTATTCTATCTATGATATCTTTTCTATTTGAATATCTTTCGATATGGGTAATATGTACCCTACGCCCTAGACATTGAAGCAGGCATATGCACATGTCTGAATGTTTCAAATTTAATTGCAGACCCAAGATAACAGCACGAGATCACGGGGACATGCGATTGCATAACAAAGGCTGCAACTGTAAGCGCTCCGGCTGTTTGAAGAACTACTGCGAATGCTACGAAGCCAAGATACCCTGTTCCAGCAATTGCAAGTGTGTCGGTAAGTGCAAATAATACATAAATTAAAACCGATTCGGCTCTAGCAGATATTCATTGGAATTTTTTGTTTGTTTATAGGTTGTCGAAATATGGAAGATCGCCCGGATGTGGATTTGGACTCGTTGGATGCAGTAACTGGCGAAATCAATAGTGCAAGACAAAGTAAATCTATGAATGGCCTGATCGGCCAGGAGAATCGCACCAATGCCTACTTGACGGACGATGTCGTTGAGGCCACGATTATGTGCATGATATCTCGCATTGTTATGGATGAGAAGCAAAATATGCCGTTGGCAGATACCGAACGGGAGGTGATGGAAGAGCTCGGAGAGAGCCTGAATCAGATTATCCTTTTTGCTAAGGACAAAAACGACACGTCCCAACTGGACGACCCCAAGTCAGCTTAGAGCTCTATATCGGTGTATATTTTTTTCTGCACCAAATCATTTTTATTACACTTCATTGATGAATTAGATTTTAAGTGAGAAAAGTCTTATAACAACCGAGTCCATTGACACTTCAAAAACGTATACCTTTATATCATTATTATCTTTCCTTTTTTGAACTTTTTAAAAGTTGACCCTATTGTGTGAAGTGAAAACAATTTGATTATGGCAATAGTATGCCTTCGTATATACATATGTAAATAAGTTATAAATAGCCATATACATTGCACGCTCGCGGACTTAGTAAATTGCAAAATAGCAAATCTTTTAAGAATTAACTGATTGACTAATTATGTTGGAAACTAGTTATTAAAATGAAACACCTTACACTCGATGTTGTTTCTGTATATAATCGTGTTTAAATTAAATAAAACTATATTTAAAATTGTACAAGCGTATTTTTTTATTTTTTCGCCCTGCGAAGAGTTTTTATGGGGCCCTGTACTACTTTCCCTGCCACTTGACCTTGTTCTGATATTCATGTTTATATGCAATAGAACATTTTTAGGAAACTGCCTGGTAATGAATTGTTGGTCGTAGTAAAGAAATTTTATTGGCCGCGTATTTCTTTGTGTTACATTCATAGTTTAGTTCAATTACCCCAAAATATCATCACTTAAATAGATATCTCGGTTTTCAGTTTGTTGTCTCTAGATCTTTTATAGATCTAACAGTTTATACTATACTAGTTCGGGCTGAAATTACTTCTTTTAAATTCTTTTGTGAAACCACGATTTACTTTCCAATTGAATAATAATAAATCCCGATGTTTAAAAAAGTATACCAAGTCTGGCTCTTGTAAATATTTTATAAAATAGCTGAATTACTGGAATTATGTAGACTCTACATTGTAGAGCATTGCAAACTTCAATTCGTTTAGAAGTTTTTTATTTTTTCGCTGAAAATGAAAATAGTTACTCCACAGTAATAGCTGTATAGTAGTATCAGCCGGGTATAGTCTTATATCTGCTCTTGGTCGGCCAGACTGCTGAGTAACAAACACCATGTGGTGAAAAAAACGTCTGTTTTCATACGTAAAATGAGTTCTCGTTGATTCCATATAGCTTCTGTATGTGTTTTCCAAAAACAAGATTATGATAAATATTGTCAACATTCCATTAAAAATACATAGTCCAAGAGTAGTTTTCGAGTGTAGCTTGTTTATTCACCAACAACTTCAGTTACATATTTGTTATTATTTTTGTTTCTTGATGTACGAGTATAGTATTAACTCAACGTGCCTGTAATTTAGGTTTATCCATCCAGCTTAGTTAGCAAAGGGCAATCATTAAATTGCCATAAATACATACAGTAGTGGTGTACAATAATACGCTATAATATTGGTATTTTTATAATAACTTTCGAATTTTTGGTTTCTCCCGTAAACTCCACTCTACATTTGGCATGACACGACATGACATGAATAGACAATTTTCTGTTTTCATTAAATTTATGTTGCTTTCGTTTCGGAGTACAAATGTGATAATTGTTTACGACCGACTATAAAGTTTTCCACATATAGTTCATATATAGTGCGAATATGTATAGTATATATTTATTTGTATTTATATATTCAGCTAGATTAAGATGTATGCGTTTAGTGTTTGAAATAATTTTGACTAATATGCTCGCGCTAAACTACAAAAAATCAATGCAATACATAATTGGTTATTAATGTTCCAAATACTTTAGAGAGAGAGTATGTGTGTTTGTTATAAATTTACTTGTATGTTTCAAATTTCTACAATAACCATTAAATGCCTATTCAAATACTGTGCACAAAACGTGTGTCGCAAATAACAGCGCTTTTTTTAGTTTATACGAGTAAGCTTTTATGTATATTCTAATATATATAATAAGTAAGTAGTAATAGGTTGATTTTTGTCGCACATATTATATTGTTAGTGTATGTATATCGTATATTGTGTTATAGTAAGTTTGTTTGACCCCATACCAGCGTTTTTGTTGTTGCTGCAGTGTGTTAATAATACAGCGTTTGTTTAAAGAATATTTTTACAATATGCTTGTATAACTTGAATGTTTAACCATACTGGACATACTCGTATATGTATATCCCTATATATGCATGTATGTTTAAGTGTTTACATTTTTATAAGCTATATTGTCTAATTCACACATTAATATCGACTGCTAAGCCGTTATATGTAGCATACAAATTGTACTATAAATGTATAGCGTAGTTGCTATAACATGCACAACAACTTTGAAAACCGAACAAAACCTACATATACTCGTATGTAGTTGAACATACAGTTTATACGTATGTGTATATAGTATGTCTACATAGAAGTTACAACTGTATACATATATGTATGTATTATGTATTTATTAGTTAATTTGCATACCCTGTACAATGCTCTTGCTTTTGAACCATAAATATTTATAGCATGATGTAGGTATGTATGTATATAACTTTGTGTGCGTGACTGTGTGTATGTGATTGATTGCATTTTGCAATTCTTAAAGGCGTACAATAAAATCAACAACGCAAAGCGTATGGATAGTTTGCCATGATGAGCTATTTTCTTAGATTATATTTATTAGTATACTTGTATATGTATATGTTTACATATAGGGTGTACGTGAACTACAACAATGAAACAACAATAATCAGCAAGTATTTCAGCTATGCATATTTACAGTATTTCAATATAACCTCTTTGTATACCTGCGATTAACTACAAAATGTTTCCAGTTCTTATTACAGAGTTTTCCAATTTCTCTTAACATGCGCTTTATGGCATGCGCCTATAAATTGCTACCCCTGGCCTCTTCAAGTTAGGTCCGTTTGCAATAAAAGTTTCAGATTTTACATGTGTCCTGCTTGACACACAACGCGTGGAGGCACTTGCAGCCATTCAAGTGCCTCGCGGAAGTACCCGATCAGGTATATTCGTAGGTATACCACACATTCTTTGTTTTGTTAATGAAAAAAAAAAATGCTGCAAATGAAAACATTGCAATCTGTAGGCGCATGCCTTGCTATAATTATTTTCTACAAGTATTTCCACTTTCAATATGCCTAGATCTATAGTATAGTATTTCCCTCATTGTGTCAGATAACTTGTGTGTGCTTTTTTCAATGCAACAATTTTACAAAGTTTGCTATAAAACTGTATAGCTCTTATATTATATAAATGGAGAGGCTTTCTGAAATAGAGTTTAACAGGCTATCGGCTTGGAAAGCACAAATTATAGAGCTATTCAACTCGTTAACGATCTGTGCATATTTTAGGCAACCTGTTAACCAAATATTCAGTAACTCTCCTAATTTGAAATCAAATGATTAATCAATGCCTAAGTACTAATTAATTTGCTAACAACTTCTATAGAATTTAAATTGATTTATTTAAAGAAGGTCAATGAAGGACTCCCAACGAGCCTTCAAAGTGCGCTGTACGCATGTTTTGTCCCATTGCCGAAGGAGTTTTGATGTGTTCCGTCCCCAGAGAATCATCTCTAGCTGCTTGCCCCAAAGAAACTTAGTTCACATGTGTGTACTCTATTTGGTTTTGAAAAAAAATGAAAATTTGTTACTTTTCTTTGGACACGCTCATCACATTTAAAATCCCTTGCACGATTCGATCGCTAATTGAAATTATTTAGATGCACCAAATTACAATTACCTAGCATGAATGGTAGCCGAAATTTGTGTGAGTAGATCAGATTAGCGTTTGATTTACGTATAATAATCCGCCCCCACTTATGCCCCAGGCACCCTGGCCGAGAAATTAATGAAGCGGCGTCGCACTGCCGATGTCTTTGAGAGAGATCCATTCAAGGTTCAATCGTATAACTTTCGCTACGCCGAGAAACCCAACTATCCAGTGCAGCAATTTCCCCGATCAGATGCAGCATCATCAGATATTCTGGGCCAACGTAGTACGGAGAAGAAGTTTGAGGTCTTCTACCACAATCCAAACTTTGTGAAACGCGAGCGCGAACGCGAGCAGCCGCCTAGTAATCCGCAACCATCGAGTATTTTCCATGCACATCGTCGCCGCAAATTTCTGAATGATTTTCAATGCGTCAATACAACCATGGGAAGCAGACGTAGTAATATCCCACCTATGCCGGATCTATCGAAGCTTAGGAATAGCAATACTGTGGCTGCTCTGCCACGTCGCATGAAAGCATCTGGTCCCCCCCATGCCGATGGCAATGGTGGAAGATCGGGAGTTGGCGTGCGCACAGCCTTTTTAGGTTCTGGGGGCGGCCCTCTCTCTGTAACTAATTCGCCACTGCTGAGCAGTTGCTGCAATCGTGGCGACTACCTGACCTGCAGGCGTGGATCCAGCAGCATGGTTTTGGCGCACCGCACCAGTAGCTGCAAGCTAGCCCAGCACAAACGAAACACCGGGTCCCCAGCTCCAGCCCCAGCCCCAGCGACAGACAAGCCGAGCTGTCGCTTCAATCTGGGTAACAAACGGACCTCAACTACGCTCTTTGCTCGCTCCCAATCAACGATGCGACCACAGGGAGCGATGGATGCGGCACAGGGAAGGCGCTCCACACAAGCAGTGCTGGGGCCAACCCCGAGCAGCTGCTCGGGCTGTGAAATAAACATCAACATTAGTTCCATGGACTCGGATGACGAGGGCGAACAGGTGCGCATCAAAATTGAAGCGGATGCGGCCTGTCTGCTAAATAACACGGACAAGGCAACAGAGAAGGATTTGAAACACGGCGAGAAGCCACAGTGTTCCAAATCTGTCGCCTCGTTGATAGACATCGACAAGCGGTTGTCCAAGTTTTGTGTGGGGCGTGACGAGTTGCCTACGTATAGGGGACGACCATGCACTGATCCCTTGGTCGTGCGTCGGGTTCAGGAACAGCGAAGGGAACGGCTGCGTGAGGAACTTCGACGTGAACGTGCCCAATTCGATGATCAGCAGCGGGAGCTGACGGCAGAGCGCCAGCAGGCCCGTCAACGTGAACAAGAGCGAGAGCAACTGCGTCAAGCTGAGAGGGAGCAGGATCGACAACGTCTGCTCGAGCTGGAAGCTGAACGTGAGCGGGACCGGTTGCGTGAGCTGGAACGGCAGTCACAGCGACAGCGGGAGTGTCTGCGTCAACTGCAGGAGCGTCTTCAATGGGAACACGATCGCTTACCATTGCGTCCAACAATAATGGCAAGCCAGCCGCACAGCCAGTTAGTTCCCAGACGGGTGCTCATGCAGTCGCATTTATGCAGGCGGATGTCGACTGATCGTCTGCCGGGCATGATGCCGTTGCGCGCGTTACAGAATGCTGGAGAAGCCCCGGTCATACCGCTGCCAGCACCATCGCCAGCACCCAGACCAGCAGCACGTACGCCCAACGCTGATATGCGCATGCAACGGCTGCATAGTTCGGTGCAGAACCTGCAAAGCATGCGGGGTCTGCCGAGCAGCGAGGATGGGGACATATCGCTGGAGCGACGTAGCTCTGGATCGTCCAATGTCAATGAGCTGGTAGGAATGTCGACGGAGTCGGCTGTGCGGGGTCGTGGCGGCAGCAGCACTTGCGTCTATCGACGACGAGCGTCCGGAACAATGCTGCCCGAGCCCAAGCTACTCAATGTGCACAGGCGCAGTCCCTGTCCCATGTCCCCAAATGATGTTCTAGCCAATGCGACAAGTCCTTCAAATCCACCGAGACGATCGACTGCGCCGCATGCGCCCATAACAACACGCATTAATAACATGCCTATACGTATTACCACAACACAGCCCCCGGATGATGAAGCGGATTTCTCAGTAAATCAGATTCGTGTACCCAACTCTGCGACAGGACGACGACGCAGTCAAGTGCAAGACCACTCAGAAGATTCAACGGCGGGCCCATCATCTCCGTACAATGTGCACATTAATGTTTATGCGGATAATCTCCGTATGATGCGTTTGTGAGTACCGAAGTGTGAGAACGGCTATAGGATTTGCGTAGAATAGAACCGTATGTGCACCGACGTCTAGACAACTGATCCGTATTAATAGATGTAGGGATTCAGAGCTGTCTAAACGTTGGTTTACACACGCTTCGCACTACGAACCTATTAACTTCAAGTGGCTCTCCTATGTTCGTGCCAACTCGGCTTTCTCGCAAATGTTTTAACTAGCGTCTAAATTAATGGCGTTCTATTTTCTTTTGGCTAGTTTTTTATAATACAAAATTTTTGCTTGCAATTTAAATTGGCCTAAAATTAAACAAAAAATTACGAGTTTTAGTTTTTTGTCTTTAAACACCACTTCAAATTAGATAGGTTTGTGGTGGATGGTTCTGGAGATGGTGGAACCCACTAAATGGAAAAATGAGAAGAGAAATTGAACTTATTTAGGTTGGAGAAACGCAATTTTCTCTTTCCGGCAGGAAGTTTAGAAGCCTAAGCAGAGGGGGAGTTCGGAGAAAATGACACATAGTTTTCGTTGACTATGTTCTTGGGACTACACATTAAATCAATGCAATGAGGAACATTTACATTTCGTACAGCACTAACCCTCCATTCTGGGAGTAGAGTTAATAGAGCCACAAGGGCTTTTAGTGGTAAAGATGTACGCCACATTTTCATTTTTACTGAGACTGATCTCCTCATTTGTGGACATTCGTCCCAAAATGAGTCAACAAACAATTTAAAGCTGTTTTCTGGTAAAACTGTACCTGAATTTGGAAACAAATAATATTTGAGTTGGATTTGAATTGCCTCCAGTTTTTAGTAGGGTTCTTTAAATCTTTCTTTGGCGTTATTCAATTCACTCAGTTGAGCTTAGTTGTGAGTTCTGCTCAAATAATTTTATAGATAATTCATTTATACCTTAAGTTTTAACTTTTTTAGTTCACTCGAAACTGTTGCTTCAATTGTTTACGACTGTACGTAGAAATATCTAACAGTGTTTAGATTTTTGTATGCCATTTCACAACACTTTTGTGTTTACTAGCTAATTAGGCAACATTATTATTACTATTGGTTCCACATTTATTTGCACAATAGATCGATGGGTCGCAGTTTGCGATTTCCCAAGTTTTAAGATTGTGTAGAAATAATAAAATGAAAATGTTGTAATTAAATGGTCCCTTAGGCCATAGGTAGAGTATATAAGTAGTATGAATGTATGTGGTTAGAATTGAGTCTATTTTTTGCAATCCCAAAACTATTCAACTGGTTGCCTGCTCCTACAAAAATGTAACCCAATAACTTCTATTGTATAGTATATCTATCTTCGACAAGACCCGTTGTAGCGAACAGTTTTAGCTGCCTGTTTTGAAGCGGCATTTCATAATAATCTCTATAAGGAAATATACTTGTAGTAAATAAAAAGATATACATATGTATACTTGTATACTATATATGTACGTTGTTTTTTTCAATATTTTTTTGTTCTTTGGCTTCTGTTGCGCCTTTGCTTTGGTATATATGTATGTACGAGTATAAAGATAAATTTGGCTTGGTGCTTGTGGCCTTAATATACTATATAGTAGTAAGTATGTGTAATACATCAGGTTTATAGTTGGTATATTTTGATTTGATTTCGGAGGTTATTCATTGATATGCTTAGTAGTTGTAAGCATTCTATTTGTATATGGTTAGAATATATGTATATAGTATTCGTCAAACATTGAACAATAATAACAATTTTCATTGAATTCATATGATATTACTGATATTTTTGGTTGTGACATTTTGTTTTGGTAATTTTGGTTCCCTTTTTTTTATATTTTTGGTCACATTTTTGTGACTTTGCTTTTTCAATTCAATATCGTTAGCATTTTATTCGTCTTCATCGTAGTTCTGGTAGGTGACATAACGTACCTGTGACCGATCGCGTCCATAAATCAAAGACTGCAAGGAATATATAGATAGAGGTTAGTGTTTCGATTATCAGAGCGGGCACGACAATGACAACTCAGGCAAAATGATAATAAAATAACATTTATTAAGCTGAACCTTAAACTAAAAACAATTTAAAGCTAAAGCTGAAAACTTAAAAAATAGGGCAAAGCATTAGGGTAATACGAATTGCTACTAATTGTGTACATATGTTGGAAAATAAAATAAAATAAAACTTAAAGCAATCGATTCAAAGCCGCTCGCTCTCGAAGGCCGCATTCGTCATGCCATCCAGCCCATGCTTATCCCCCTCCATGCCATGCATAATGGCCGGGCAGGAAGCCGTCAGCTGAGCAATCGAATTTGCGGTAGCTTCCTGTGCAGCCGCCTGCGCAGCAGCGGCGGCTGCCGCTTCCCTAGCCATACGCACCTTCTTTTCATCGCTGGTGGGCGGATTCTTCAGCAGGGTCAGCAGAGGCGCGTACATGAAGCACAGTATGGCAATGCCAAACAACATCCATTCAAAGCCAATTGACTTCACCAGCGAGCCCGAGAGCGCCGGTCCCACCGCAAAGCCCACACAGAAGGCGACATCGCCCAAAGCATACACACTGCCATAGACAGCCGAATGCCGTATGTCCACCAAATATCCGAGTTCGGGCATCATTGAAGAGTCCACCATGCCAATGGCAAAGCCAAGGCCGGCATTGGGCACAATCAGATGTGTAATGTTCGTGGCCATGGGAATCTGGAAGAGTGCGTTCGCCAACAAGTTATTGAAGTTATCTCTATATAGCAGTTATAGTCTTTACCTGAAAATGTTATAAGGGGTATGCTAGTGTTTCATTTAATTAATTGCAAACCTTCTTCGATGTTAAAGAGTTGATTTTACGACCCAAAGCGTTCAAGGGTATATTATTTTTGTGCGAGTGTACATGTAACACACAGTAGGAGGCGTGGCAGACCCCACAAAGTATATACATATATTCTTGATCAGCATGACAAGCCGAGTCGATATAGCCATGTCCGTCTGTCTGTCCGTCTGTCTGTATGAACGCAAGGATCTTAGAAAGTATAAGAGCTAGAATAACCAAACTTGGTATACAGATTCTCCTGAGCCCGAGAAAGGACGAGTTTGTTCACCCCCCACTCGCCCCCAATTTACGATTTTCTATAACTCCCGTAATTCTTGGAATTTTGAACTAACATTTGGTTAGTGATTATATATCCGTATACCAAGTTTTATGATAGGGTAATTAGAAAGAAAGTTATGGCCATATAACCAGGCCAATGATTCTGATGTAAATGTATGTATGGAATATTTTATATTTAATTTAGTTATTTAATTAAATTAATTTAATTACATTAATTAATTTAATTACATTAATTAATTTAATTACATTAATTAATTAATTAAATTAATTATTTTTTTGTGGGGGTATTTAAGAGTTGAGCCTGCTCTACTTAAGCATTCCTTTCTTGTTTTAAATTTTTGTTCACTTTGGGAGAGAAAATCATTACAAAAATGTAGTGCGGACTCAAAAGGGATTTGTTTTTATAAATACCAGTACATTAAATAAATAAACAAAGGGGATTAGAAGTTACATTTTTCCTAACCTCCGACAACTGCATTCTTACCTACTATTAGCTTGCAAAGTTTTGTTTAAAAACTTTTTATTTAATCATCAATTTGTAAAAATATGACTGCCATTACAATTTTTTATTTATTTCTTCCTAAAAACTGTTTTTCACTTTTGAAAAATCAACACAACGCATACAAATAATTATTGAAAACAATAAAAAAACGCGGCCTCATCTTGATTTCCACGAATAATAATAATATGAATCAATTAAGCTACTTACAAATATCAAACAAGCACCAATGATGACCAGACCCAAGCAGGCGGCAAACCAACGACCAATTTTATGTCCCAGTGGGCCAAACAAATTCGTGCCAATTAGGTAGCTTATAGACGCGGGCAAGAAGGCCACTCCCTGCTCCCAACGCGTAGCACCCATATTGTCCACCATCCACAACGGCAGCGAAGGCTCCAGCATGGCAATTCCCATATTTGCAAAAGTGATGGCGCCGGCGGCAATGAGTATGTAGGGATCACTGATCAGACTCTTCAGGGAGGGCGGCTCCGATTCGCACTTCTGTATGGAAGGCTGCAACATGAACAGCTGCAACAAGCCGTCGCCCAATGCCAATGCGGCCAGCACCAGGAATGGCGCCGATTTGCCAACAAACTCGTACATTACGCCACCAAAAGGGGGTCCAATCAGCACGCCCAGCGCCAAACCACCCAAAGCAATACCCATGGCATTACCGCGTTCCTTGTCATCGGTGAAGCGATCGGCCAACATGCCCATGCCGGACACCGAAGAGCAGGACGATCCAATGCCTTGCAAGGCGCGTGCAATGAAGAGCACCAAGTAGGAGCGTCCAAAAGCGAAGACTGAAAAGTGCACAATTCAACGATCATTATACTACACGCTAATGAAATAATAATAAGTAATAATAATACGATGTGTTACAAACACAAAAAAAAGTCAATATACCCTTACGCTCTTCAGGGCAAGGGCGTAGGCAGGGGGCAGGGGGCAGGGGAGGCCGTTGTCCTCCTCTCTACAAAAAATTTTGCCATATAAAGTCGACCACACGTTCATTATTATGACGCACTATTTCGCCTTAAAATGAATCTGAGTTGGATTTGTTGAAGTTTTTTCATTGATCGTGCATTATTTTATCAAAATTTAATTTTTTTAATCAAAATAAATTTTGGAAACGTTTCTATCTATCTATATATAGAATTCTACAAAAATACAGCATATTTAATAGGTTTAATGTTTCTTTCGCGTCATCCAACTTACTTATGGTTGACAGGAACATGATCACAAATCCGGCAAACATGGGTATGCTATAGCCGATGCTATATTGAGTGAAAAGGAGAGAAGAGAAATAGATGTTTTACGAAAGTAAATGTTTGAGTTGGTATGCTTGCCTCTTACCGATGTGTCAGCGGTCCTACAATCGGATTAACCAGCAGCTGCACAAAGGCCTTCGAGGCGAATAGCAGACCCACTTCAACCGTCTCACCCACCAGTTCATTGTGACGTTCCTCCAACTCTCGGTATAGCGTTTCGTTTTCTGAAATAGCGAAATAGCGAAACGTTGGCTTAATCCTGGCCATAATAATTGTAACGAAGCCGCCGCCAACTTACCCTCCGGACTCAGTGTGGATACCTCGAGTTGTTGTTCGCTGCCATCCTTGTTGCATGGACAGACTGTGGGGGGTGGCGGGGTGTTCAGTGTGAGCGGTGTGCGTGCATAGCTGTCGAGCGGCGCGTCCGGATGTCGTATGTCGTACAGGAACTCGGGTATGATGGGCACTGCGGGTGTGTGTAAAACGCAACTTGTCATGTAATTAAGTTGTGAAAATAATTTGCCTACAATTAAGCCCTAAAATGTGAATGGTTCGCACCGCTAGATGGCGCTAGATGGCAGGCTGCACCAACTTGAAAACAATTTGCCAGGCAACTAAATTGCATTAGGCCACAAAATTGTTGTTGCTAGAAAAAGTTTTTATAATTACTTTCTATGCCAAGATTGCTTGACTAATTGAGTTGGCAGCGATCCCCCATTTCCCCTTCTCACTGAAACAAGAGTAAGCACGCAAAATTGCGCATACGCCGCATGGGCTTTTGTTGTTGCTTTTGCTGTTGCTGCTGACGTTGACGCGTTTAATTGGCTTGCAGTGTGCCTGCTGTCTTCAATTGATTGTTGTTGTTGCTGCTGTTGCGTTGTTGTTGTTGTCTCTGCATGTCTGGCACGGAAGCGTTCACTTGAAGCACTTGCCGCAAGCAACAGCAACAACACTCAGACCCCAAACCTCAGCTCAGCCCGACTCCCTTGCCCACTTTTGCGCAAATTCAATTTGTTTATTGCATGTTTCAACTGTGTTTATATTTATTATCAACACCCGAACCGGCACAGGTAGTCTTTGGACAGGTGCCCTTTGAACCCCTCCCCTGCTGCTCAGTTAGCAGCACCTCCATGGCTTGTCTGTTGTTGCACTTAGTTCGAGGTAATTGCATTTCCTCTTGCGAGGCCGAGGCTCATTCAATGAGCCATTGCCACCGCATGTATGTAATGGCTTTTACTGTTGTTGTTGCTGCCACGGGTATGTTTCAATTGAGTTGCAAGTTCAGGCCAGAACAGCGTTGAGTGACGGCCGTTTGCGTTTGGCCTGTTGCTATTAGCCTGAAGAGCTTTTGGCATAATGTGCGGCAAAGGCACATACGAAGTTCGTCCTAGCTGAGTGGGTCTGATAGTTAACTGTGGAAGGATGGTACATTTTGCCCTAATACATATGAGTATGTGGTGGTAAAAGTTGAAAACAATTCTGTAAAAGCTAACGATTTCTGGTTCTTATCATTATGAGCGAAAGCAACACATCTGACCAAATGAAAATACAACTGCCAGTATTAAGATCTGAGAATAAAGACATTTAAATAAAACAAGCGCCAATCAAACTTAGAGATACAGAAACGAACTTCAATCGGCCTCTTTTTGAAATAATAGGTGGTTGTCTTAAACTTAAAGTGTATATTTGAAAACAGATGAAAACGTTCAATTTAACAAAATTTAGAACAAGCTTGAATTAATCTTGAATTATTATGCCAATTTTTAAAAAAATTTGGGACATTTTCAGCCAGATTACGTTGTGGTTTTTAGTAGTAATATAAGAATTTCAAAACTGTAGCTATTCCATTAAATTCAATTACTTAAGATTTGCCAATTCCAATACCAATAGTTTATGTTGCCCATTAATCGAATAATACATATGTATCTCTAATTTTCCATTAAATGCCGTAACAATTTAATGAGTTCCATTGAACATATTGTTGATTACAACTATGTTTCTGACAGACAAGGCACCAATTTATTTAACAGGAAATGCAAATGTAAAGATTATAATTTGTACAAGTAGTGTAAGGCCCGGTTATATTTTCTTTTATTTGATGTCAGCGATTTCTCATGAATATGTATTTTGTGTACAACAAAAAATCACACACACACACACATACATACTATATATGTGTGTGACTATTGAAGCAACACAACAGAGGATCACTCGAGCCACTTCATGCTGAATCGTGTCAACCGGTGCCTAGTTTCGATGTTTTTTTTTGCAAAAACTAAAAAAACGAAAGTGAAAACCTATGAGCAATAGCAGGCATATTAACATTAAACTGTCATATATGTCGGCCAAATTCTCTGACATGCCATTTGGCGCCATTGCCAAGTCAAGCGGGAGGAATCGAGTGCTGGTTGTTCCACAGTAGAAAAATATTGTCAGCGGAAATGTAAGAAAAGTTATTTGTTGTTGTATTAATGATAACTACTTAAAATGCAACGCCGACGATTAACGTGGCATTATTATGCGACAGAGAAGTTGACAAGTAATTTTTAGAAGACCCCAAACCTAGACAGTATAGTAACGTGCAACTCATTAAACTGTCTCCAAGCATTTGGCACACAAAAATCAAAAACACGTGCAACTGACAAACGAAAAAAAGGTAAATAAGGAATACTGGCTAGTGGGTGGAGGTGGTGGTTCGTGGTTCGTGGATGGTGGATGGCTGACAACCAGGCCCTGCATTTCGCGTGCCAAAGACACTTAAACCGCAACCCAAGTCGGCATTAGGCGACCGATGGTTGTCGGCAGGCGTTGGCATGCAGTCAGTCGGCCAAACAAACAGAGTATCCCAAATAGCATCACAATAGTTGAAATAGAAATACCCTCGAATTCGTTATAGAACTTAATAGTTCCATTTTTGCATAGGTATATATAATCTATCAATGTATATATTACTAAACCGATTTTGATCAAATTTTGTTGCAATATTTGAAATGGCCCTGATCGATTGGATAAATAGAATTTTTAACCATTTTTCTTTTTTTAAAGAACTAAATAAATTACTCCATTAATGGATTTGTTCGATTTTCCTTCCATTTTTTTGTTTGTTTCAATATGAAAATAATGAATTCAATTTGTAGCGGACCAATAAAGCAATAAGAATATCTATTAGGATTTTAAAACAATCAAGTATATCAAAAATATAATTATGCATGTAAAACAGATAAATGCAATTTGTGTAAACTCTTAAAATTGTATTTTATTTTCAAGGTATACATATTTTAAATAAGTTGTGCTGATTTTTCTTCTTTAAGTCCATAAAAATGTATTCTCCAAGAGTGTTTTACGATTTGAATTTCTTAATCCAAATCGTTAAATTGTGAAAATACTTTTAAACTGAAATATAAACGATATAATTTGCTTCAGTACTATTTGAGGGTTATTGGGAAAGAGTTGTATTGCCAATTTTGAACTTTAAACTCGTACGAAAAGTAACAAGCACGAAATTTTAATTAAATTCTCCAAAATATTTGTATTGAATTGAGATCTCACTGGCTGATTAATTTAGAAGGAATACTATAGTATTCCAAAACTTGCTACAAATTTTCAAGAGAATTTAAGCCTTAACGAAACTACAGATACTAGCCTATTAAGGGTATTAGAGGGTTCCGGACTGGGGTATCGCCGTTGTCGTTGTCAGGCAAACACGACAAACGGCGACAGTAAGGCAGCAACCGGAGCGCTGGCATGACAGCGCGGAAGTGCAACAAAGACGCAGACGACGACGAGGAGGGCGACGTCTGGGACGACAAGGAGGACAATATATAGGCAATACAGTTGCTAGACAGGCAGTGTGATAAACAATTCCCGCATTGGACTAGCGGTTGCTGTTGTAGTTGTTTGTCATTAACATGCCGTTGAATATGCCAAAAAATTAATTGCCACAAAAAAAAAAAAAAACAAACACACTCACAGGATAATAGGCCGAACCTAGCGGCCACGTCAACGCGTTCGCTTTAGTTGCGTAGCAAGAACTATGCGACCCATTTGGGAGTCGTCCAGTCGTCCGCTTTTTGTGCGTTCAGTTTGGCTCGAGACGGCAAATGCCGCACGCAGCCATCGGCGTCATTTCATACTCGACTATCAGCCCCGAGAACGGCAACGCTGGACGCAGCGACAAAAGCTCGGCAGACGCAGAGGTAGGTGGACCGATTTAATAGTCTAGGGGTTTCTTAAATACTCAACAGTCAACAACCCCGACTGCAGGCACACAATCCTACGAGCTGTGCGAGCAGGAAGCTGACTGCGAAGATAGCTTTGACTATTTGGAGGACTATTTGCTTCTGGATGCCACCAAGTTGACGTTGCAGCAGCAGCAACAACAACAACAGCAGCAAGAACAAGAACAACAGGCAGCTCATTGTAAGCTGACGTCCGGAACAGTCAGTCGCTACTCGCGTCATGCCAAGCGACGTGCTTGGCTGCTGAGTCGTGGCAAGAACTACAACTTGCCACACAGTCGTGGCCAGCTCGCGGACAGCCTGCTCGAGCCTTACTCCCGTCGCAGCTCGCTGCAGGATCTACACTCCACACTGTCCAATAATACGTCCATTAATCCGGAGGAGCGTCTGGCGGAGCGTGTGCTCAATTGGCTGGATCTTGCCGGTCGCAAGGATATAGTCAAGTCCGAGTTGCCAATGGTGGCCAGCAGCGCGCAACTGCCTCGCAGTGGGGCGCAGCGGAGCCAAAAGCATGCCCATGTGCGCCTTAAACTAGAAAGTGGTGAGCCCGGGCGACGAGGCGGTGGTGCTCCAAAACGTGCGCCTACAGCTCATCCGCGTAGCCAGAGCACTCGCAAATCAGCCAAGGCTGCAGCAACACAGCCACCACCTTTGCCGCCAGCCAATGCCAAGCCCATCACCATTATATTCAACAAGGAGGGCGTGCCAGTGCGTCTCAATCGGGCTGCCCGAAACATCGATCTGTGCGCTCTCAGCCACAGTGCCAGCACCACGAGACGTCTAGCCGGACAACTGGCCTCGGCTAGGCTCTACAATGGTGCCACACCCTCGCCCAGAGCGCACCAACAACAACAGCCACACTTGGAGAGCAGCCGCACTCCTCCGCATAGTGGGCGTGGCTTGGCATCAGCTGTGGACAGCAAAAAGCAGCTGCACATATTTATGCCCAGTTTGCCAAAAAAAGGACTTCTGTCCGCCGTTGGCAGCAGCGAAGATGGCCAGCAAAGCTCACTCAGCGTTACTTTTAGCGAGCTGTGCCAGATCTAAGGACCTGGCGATAATATAGCTATGTTAATTGTTCACAATTTAACACAAAATCATTTCATTATGTCAACTAAATCCTTTCGATTAACACAAATAATATTCAACAATCCCTCTAAGAAAACCAAAACTAGTGGTTCTGAATTCTTAACTCTAAAACATTTTAATGTTAGCTGAATTGCGTTTCTGTCTAATTTGACATGAGTTTTCCAAAAGTAATTAAATACCACATTTCCGAATTTTGGAAGATAGTATTTTAAGATGGACGATAGTGTTTGGAAGCTCCAACGAAATGGAAACACGAAAGGAAACGGCCGATCCTGACTTATTTTCTGTTTATTTTTCAAAGTGCTAATACTTAACTTAGAAAATGAAAGTTGAGGGAGAAAAAAAAAAAAAACAACCAAACATTTAAACAATAAATAGGTATTGAAATAAAGCGAGTTGATTAAAAAAGTTGCTAAAAGTCGTATGAATTAGTCTTAAATCTTGGTGTAAAAACTGCCTTCTTTCTTTGCAGTCAAAAATGTTAATAGTTAAGGTGTTGTTTTTTTGCAACCCTTTTGTCTACATTTTTTTGTTATTTATATGGGATTTTTTTATTTTTATTTTTTTGTGGTAGTCCTGCTTTTCAGCAGATAATATTCCGACTCCGTGAAATGTAAAAACGATCCAATGTGTCGTCTGCTGCTTAATTTAGTGAGACAGTATCTATAACATTTTTGCACTACTATAATTCCCCAATCACATCAATTGGTATCGATTGTACAAGTATGTGCACGCACAGCCCGCGGGACTTCTCGAGTGGCTTTCGCCAATAAACGTTGGCAGTTTTCAGTTGACTTCGACACTAACATGGCCGATTGCTCGTTGGGCGAGGCCTTCACGTTGGCTACTTTTGCGATGCGGGCTTCTGGACTCTTTCCCTTCACATACAATGAGCGTAGGAATAGATTCGAGATCTCGAGACCGTTCATACTCGTCAGCGTACTCCATCTGGCGGTCTATGGATATGTGAACTTGGCGCTGTTGCTTGAGGATTGGCAGGACTATGTGCAGCCAGTGGTGGACAGCACAGGACTGAACATGTTCGTCAATTTGGTGCTACGCCTATTGGGAATGGTTTCCACAATTGGCGTGTTGTTGCCAGCACTGTTTGGTAGTCGGGGCATAGCCCTGTATCTCAATCATCAGCTTGGCTGTGAAAAGGATCTATTCGTGGTCGGTTTGGACATACAGAAGTTGTGTCGCCGCCAGCGTGCTTTTAGTCTACTGGGATGTGCTTTTTTTCTGGTCTTCATTGGCTTCAACTCTTGGCATGCTGTCTATTTTTTCCGTATGATTACGCAGGAGAAACCTTCGTTAATGAATTATCTGGTCATAGCTCTTGCCAATTTCTACAGGTTCATATTCATTTTATTTTTGTGGCTGCAACTCTTCTGCCTCTATTCCATATCCAGCTTGCTAAATAGACACACGGCCCAGTTGGTGAGGGAGGAGCGGGTGCGTTTCCAGCAACGACGTCGACAAATTTTTGCTTGGCAGTTAAATGCTGAGCCATTTAATACATAAATACTAATTGTCGTTAATACAAGTAAAAGCACTAAGCAAATAGCCAAAAAGCCAAGATTTAACATCTTGAAATGAAACCAAGAGAATTTTGGATAAAACGCAAAACAAAGATTGTATTCAAATGCTAATCTTAATTAAATACCTTGTTTTTCTATTTGTAGTTCTGCCAATAATATTTAAATTTCTGTTTTTTTATGAAAGCAACGAAAACTCTGTGGTTAATTCTAAGCTTTTTCTAAGTTCGTATTTAAAGAGCTACGAACTAACTTGCATTTGAACTTCTTTACATGGAAAGGGTGGTCTAGATTTGGCTCTTCGCCGGTAAAAAAATTAAAGAAATGTACTTAAATGTAAGAAACTTGTTTATGCTCAAATACTATGTAATCGAATAAATTAACAATTGATTAACTAAAGAAACATATTTATTTGTATTTGCTGGGAGAATCTTTTCCCCATCTCTGTATTATCTTTAAATTATTTTCTAGATGTTGAATAAAACAGACAGACTCTTATCTATTAGTGTTGAGCTTATAATTATATTCGAGGGTACTCAGGAGTTGTTTGTATGGATAGTTGACACACCTGCTGATCCGATTATACGCTCTGTTTTGTGAAAATCTTTGTGCTATTTGTTTTCATTGGACATCCTTGGTTTGGGGAGCTGAGGAGCAACTCTTACCACTCATTTTTTATGTTTTACTCGCTGCTGTTATTTATTTTTTTATTATCGATTTTTGCCCTTTGTGTTGCCATTGAAAGTTTTTGCTTGTGGCAAGTTTATTTTTGGCTACCCCACTAAGAAGCATGCGGCACGCGCTATGTCTGAGCTTTGTTTTGATTTCAAGTTGCCGGTCGTGGTTCACTGTTGACTCAACATTGGCGTCATAGACTTTGGGTGTTTGGGTAATATGCAGAGTAATCATCATCAGAACAGGTTATTTTGTGGGCAATAAGTATAGTAATGCACGAAAGTATTTTGGCGCCAACGAAGTTTGAATGGAGTTTAGAGTCTCATAAACGTTTCGATGGAATTGTGTGCAAAAAAATGCCAAATTGCCTATGATTAAACAAATTTCAAACTAGTGGATCAGTTTAAAATTGAATAACAATTCTTGTTTTTGAAATATAAAAAAGTATACATGTGGTTTCCAGTGGTGTATTGTAATTAAATTCTTATTGGTTGCTTAAGAAAAAAAACTGAATTATGAACCGAATTTCTGTACCGAATAATATGTATTTATTATTGGCTTTAGTTTGCTTCCTTCGCCTTGATTTCGATTAATCGGTAAATATAGAAGAAACTACTGAGTTCCTTTATTGTCTTCTGTGCCGATTAATTGATCTCTTTCCTCACTTGTTTTCATTTTTTTGGTTTTTCGTTTTATCGTATATTTTGGAATTAAACAAATAAACGAAAATATCGACGAATAAGTTGCATCGTTCATGAATGAGTTACCAAATTAAATAAAATTAACGACAAATAAATTGCATCTGAATTTGTTAATTAAAATGCACACAACTTACATATGTATAATGAAAATAATTTATGATTTCGAAATACCTAAAAGTTCAAATATTTCAAAAATATTGCTGTGTTCTATTCTTAAAGTTGTTCCGTTTATTACATTTATTAGTCACTTTTTCAACTTTCAGCTGCCGTTTATTAATTCATATCTCACAATAAATAGACCCATACCTTAGCGATAATTTAGCTGGAATTTGTAACACCTCTTCGTTCCCAAAAAAACAGCAGAGAAATTATTTTGGGACAACACGTAAACAGCCGTAAATTAATTATTGGCATTATACATACAATCGGATAGATGTAAGCACAACATTACATTGGCAATAACAAATGGGGAGTTTCCTAGAATTTATGGTGATACCAGGCAGGGCATGAAAACACCTGACACGCTGCCATCGTTGACGCCATTATATGAGTTACGCGCATCATTTAAATGCGATTTCAATACGCCAATGAGTTGTTGGGTCTGCCACCACGACAACGATGAAGATTACTACGCCTTCGTATGTTGGCGACACTGAAAAAGCTATGACCTTTGCAGCATTGGGGGAGGGGAAACTGGGGGAGCAAAAGTTTTTCCCCAAGGCGAGCCCCCAACCAAAGCCAAAGACAATGGCACGCTGGCAGCAATTACGTCGCGGAAACTTCGCTGACGTTTGGCTTTTCATTCTTTTTTTTTTGCTTCTTTTTGTCAAAGCAAAGAAAATGCACAACAATACATAGGCATATAAATATAAATACACGAGAATTGGTACACTCAAAAGAAAATGGGATTTGATTTTCTGAGTTAGTCTGAAGGATCGCGATCCAGACATGTCCGTCCGTTCGTCTGGATGATCGACTGGATTTCGGAAACGGCTGAGCGCACATTAACCAAACTGGGTAGACGGACGCTCCTAGTTACTAGCCAATACGAGTTTATTTTATTTTTTGAATTGCACTTCTGTTTACCAATTTATTCGTCCATCTGACACGATTCGTTTAAGCAAAGACTGTGAATTTTGCTTTGGAAAGAAGCATTTCATGATGTTTTGAAGATGTTTTAATTCTTCACAATTTTTCTCTCAGTGCATGTAATAACAACTGGCAGTGGCAGCGACGGTATAGTTGCCAAAGTTGTTGTGCCTAGGCAGTCCAAGTAGACAGTGAAATGCCGTGACTTATTCGCGTTTCTGACGTGCACGCGGCAGGTTGCGCTTTCTAGACTGAAAAAAGCATTACGTGTTCCCGAACCCAATCAGGACTAACAAGCAAAGTTTAGTGCGCATTTAATTTTCCGGCAATTAGTGAACGCTGCCACCAATGTCCACGGACGAGGACTCTGTGGGAAGTCCGCTTAAGCCAGCCACGCCCACGGGTGAGCGGCCAGGCGGCAAGAATCGGAATGCGTCCGAAATTTTGCGCCATCAGCAAAGTTTCGAGGCGCGCTACAGCAGTATCATCCAAAAACAGATCTGGGATACCAGCATTAACAAGGATGTTCTGGAGCGTCAGCTGAATGCCTATTTCCCCTTCGCACGCAGCGCTTCCCTAAGCAAAGACGGCTCCGGCGGCTTCGATCAGCTATTAACGCCGACGGCAGCCACGAGCAAGACACGTTCGGTGAGCACGACGCCAACAAAGAAGCGACCCCCTGGTCTGGACAAATTGGATAAGCTGGAGACTGTGGATGTGGCTGAGAAGGAGGCTATGGCCAAAAGCTTGGAATAGTAAGAAGGTGTAGCTCAAATGGATGGAAAATTTATTCGCAGTAGACCTTGAAAAGTCCCTTGATTCCTGATTGATTTAATTGAAGATTGTGATGTAGATTGTGACGTAGGTTAATGTTTTTGTCTGCCATCATTTCATGAAACAACGAAACCCTCAACCGAAAAAGTATATAAAGTTGGAGCAATTGGGTGAGCAGTTAGAATCAAAACATTCTGCAGTATCCTAGTGAGTTTTTTTTTACTGAACAAGAGACTTTCAAAAATATATGTCTTTGTGATGATATTGAACAATTTCCCCTTTAAGCTGGAGCATAATTTAAAAGAGGAATGGCAATAATTTTGGTGAGGACGAAAGAATCATGAGGTACACATGTTTTCAAAATTTAGCATAGTTTTAATACCTATAAAAATTAAAATAGTACCTACAAATATTTATAACAGCAAAAGCATGTCTTAAAGGACGGAATATTGAATAAAATTAATAATTTAGTGCGTAAGAATTATTAAGAAATGTTCTAACAGCGTAACTAAATTCTTTCTAACAATTATTTGCCTAACGACGTCGTGAACCCTTCAAACGAAAATATATATATATATATATACTTGTACATGTACTTATAAGATGAGTATTACGCCTTATCGTCTAAATGATTGCTTCAACCTTGGCAATGTTTTATGTGCTCTTAATAAAATATGCAATTCTAAGTGATGTTTGCACTACAATCCTTGTTTCTATTATACTATATGTATTCGAAATATGCAGCTGCTTGAGATAAGCCCATATGTATAAATCAAGGGCCCCCCATTTCCAGAGATACGAGTACCATTTGGGTTAAATCTAATTTATGAGCATATTATGCGCATTGCCAAAGATCAAATGTAATAATCAAAAGTAATTCTCGCATTTTCGCTCCATCTCCAACTACAACAACAGCACCAACGACTCACAGTCTGACACCTTTAAGGCAGTGAAAAGCACTTAAGTGAAAATGCTTCAAGTCAAACGTTAAAAGCATGTTTACCCAGCCACCCCCCTCATTACTAAAAGGGAAGGCCGTAGCTTTGATTTGCGAGAGTCATGAGAAAAGGGGGTGTAGGAAAGCAAGCGGTAGTTGAGCTAATAGTTTTCTTTTTTCTATTTCTTTTGCGCATTTTTCCACTTCTGCTTTTCCTTTGACTTTCACTTCCGTGCCTTTTAGCCCGCAAGTTTCAACAAGTTGGTGAAGTGTGCTGCGATTTGGTTTGTCTATTTGTCATCGGGTCTTCTTTTTTATGCCCCTCACTTGTTGATTTAAATTCATGACCACAACCGTTTAACACAGGAGCTAAAAAAAGGACGGGATAAGAGCGAATGACAGAACCCAACGAACCCAACACTCTCTCTTTGTCTGTTGTCAGACGCAGCAAACATTGCAAGCAGGACAACGAGCAGGACAACTGTCAAGTGACCGGCTGGTCAGCCGTTCGACTGACTCTTCACGTCCATATGTTTGTCCAGATACTTGACATAAGCACTCGGTCCAAGCATTGCCGTTGTGGCCGTTGTGGCGTTCAGAGCGCTCGGAGCGTTTCGTTTCGGCTTAGTGTCATTCGCAGTAGCAACAGCTCCGGCGGAAGCCACCACGGCTCTCCGGCTATGAGGCTTGGCAATGCGTGTTTATTTAATTGACTGTCGGCACTTGAAACGAACCTCCTCTGCTCCCCTGCTGTCTGTTGTCTGTGGCATTGGCTCTTGATAATATCGAGCATCGAACGCTGCAGACAAATAATGACACTCCAAATTTGATTAGTTGTTGTTATAGATGGTGGTGGGTTCGAATCTAGTACGAGTCCTCGTATGTTAAAATGCTCGCTTCATTAGAGCTTTGATGCTGCTTTATGCTCGTCTTGCAAATTAAAGCCAAATGTATTTAAACTAAATAACGTGAGTAAGACAAACATTTTCTGCGAGCTTGGATCAGCTCAGAACATATTGGGAATAAATTTCCTCCATTACGTGGCAACAGAACGGAAGTTGGAAATCCAAATAAATATACATTGATACATTTAAAAAAATAAATATATACAATATCGGAAAGAGCCATCAACACATATACATGTGTTGTAAGCGAAATAAGTTATGTTGGGTGTCCTACGGATTTGTCAAAAGTTGTTCAGGCACAGATAATTTAAAATCCAAATTTATAAACGATATGGTTCCTCAAAAATATCTCGAATGGATTATTTTGTAGCTCTCCATCCTCAAGATTACATTTGAAAACTGAAAGTTGTACTCTCAGATAAGAAAGTTGCTCGTAAGTATAACATGTATATTGTGCCGTACAAGATTTGGAACTTATAGTGATTTACAAGTTGTAGTGTAGAATAGAAATATGGTGAGAATAGTACCGTAAAGAGCAATTCAATTGTACTTTCGTTTGCACTTGTCACAAGTTAAGTTTCATTTATCCGTTAAAAAGAAAAGTTGAGTTCAGCAATCGATCGAGGGTTTGGTGCACGATAGTCTAATTTTCCATAACTTTATGGAAAACCTTTTTTTACACATACGATACATTAAAATATTAACGTAATAAATTAATTTATTATCAATTTTTTAAAATTGGGAATTAATATACATATAACTGTTATAAGTATTAAACCAATTTCAATTGATTTTTGTTTTTCAAGCATTTATTAAATTAAAAAATGCAATAACTTAATTTATAAGTAAACTTTACTTGTATTCTTTAAGGCTGTTACGTATTTAATTTATTATATTTATTTTCACTTTCCCCCAATTTTTGTGTTTTAAACACGCTTTTATTTTTCTCATTAACGATAGGGTTTCATTTCACTTCAGTGAATAGGAATTAAATAGGAATCGGGAACACAGCTTTGGGGAATAACATTCATTTTACTTTCCAACCACTGAGGGTTGCGGGTGCGCATCAGATAAGTCAGATAATTAGCTTTTATTTGAATATATTCAACCAATTTGCAAGAGTGGAGCAATATTAAGTCAATCGTTTTTAATGCATGCTTTGGAAATTTTTTGTTATAGGTATTGTGCTTATACTCGTATAGACTACGTTATAGATGCTTTTTAGCCTTAACTTTACTATCTTGACAACATCGTGTCCTCACTTTAAACATTAAAAGAGTTTTTTTCTAAATACTGACATAATTTATTGAGTCTAAGCTAAAGTATAAATGATGCAGATAATTCACAATGCCAAGCACAAATGCATAAAATAAATACGAAGAGCATTGACTTCACTCAACACCCCCCGACATGATAACTGAATTGATTGACTGCCTGAATTGAGAAAATGACTGCGTGACTGAATGGCGGCAAGTGTTGGACAGACAGCGGACGGCGCCTGTCAGGAAACATTCATTAGCTTAAGTGGCGCTCTGTGGTAATTTTTATGGCCTGGCGGGAGTTAACCCATCGGGAGTTGGCGCTGGGCTGACAGAAATGGACAGTTTCCAGGTGATTGCGTTGCATTGTAAAAGTGTAAGAGTGCTTGGCAGATAGTCAAGATAATTAATGGTCATGAAATGCTAATGTGGCCGGCAGATTTATGCACTTCACGCTCTCCCACCCACCATTTTCGACACTTAGCAAGAGTAGAAGTAAGGGACACTTACCCACAGTGGTGAGGAGCATGTTGTCCAGGAGCAATGCGATGGCCACAATGACCAGCACCAGACGATTTGAGCCGCGCCAGCTGACCATCCATGTTTTGAGAGCGGACCAGGATCCGGCAGCGCGTGGATCCTCCTGCCTATACTGATCCGGCGGTGGCACGCCGCCTGTCATTTGACGCACATGTGTTTGCGTCTGATAGCTCTGTGGTTCTTCACCGCTCGCTGTTCCAACACCCAAGATGCCCCGGTCTGTGGTTTCCGTATTGCCATTTTGTTGATTTCTGTCCAGCTGCTGTTTGAATGGATTCTTGCTGGGTGTATCGGCTGCCGGCTGATTGTTAACATTTATGGTGAATGAGGTGGTTTCGCTGCCGCTGACTGATCCCTGGATTGGCTGCTGCTGCTGCTGTGACTGCTGCTGTGGTGTGCTGTGCGTGTATTTTCCTGGTCCACCATTGCCCGCATCAGTCGATTGCATATTGTGTTGCTAGCCGCTGCGTAACTAGGGGGAGGAAGATGCCAGTTGGAAGTTGGAAGGGAAAAGACAAAGTTAAGCAGCTTGTTAGCGATTTACGTCTTGGCTTCTAATTTAATCAAAAATGTGCACAATTGTGTAAGCAGCTTTGGGCACCCCATGATGATACATTTTTATTTATTGTTGTTGTTGCCCTTCGTTTGCGCTTCAACGATTTCCACTAATTAAAAGACAATTATAAAAATGCGAGTATACGAGTATGAAAGTTTTGATTTAAATTTGATTTCCAGAGGCAGTGGCACAACTTCTAGTTCACACACATTCTAATTTGAATGTAATATTATTTGACTCGCGAACAATGCCAAAATGCTCGAAAAATGTAAATATTCATTTAATTGGCGCCATGCGGCGTATGCGCAATTTTCCATTTTGAAAAACTTAAGAAAATTTCTGTTGCATAGCGAACGGCGCAAATTGAATTTTTCGTCTAATTCGTTTAAGGGAACATCACACGCTGCCAACGAGCGCCCTTTCTCAGTGCCTCTTCTTGAGGGTTGCACAAACACACACACCCAGTCGTTCTATTTATTCAGGGTAAGGGTAGGGTAAGGTGGTGGGAGGGGTGCGTCTGTCGAAAGTGTGGCTGGGCATGGGCGAAAAATTGAATTAACTTGCAGTCAATTAAATCAAAAAGCTGTCATAATTGAGAGCAAGATGGAAGATGTGCCAATGAATTGAAATTGAAAGCAGCTTTGATTGAGTGCTCGATGTTGGTGTAAGAAGAACTTGTTCTACTGCCAAAAATTAACTTAATTTCCCCACATTTTCCACAGTTTATTTCGAGCATTTAGCGTTGACAAACTTTTGTTGCCCTTTTCCCCCTCTTCTCTTCTTCATATCTATGAAATATGTTTCTACTTGTCTACTGTTGTGCTCACAAAAAAAAAAAACTAAAAAACCCGGTCTCATGTGAACAAATGCGGAACGCTAAACACTTGCGCTGATGTAAATAAACTCGTAAATATTTTCATAAAAATTACAGCACAACAAAAAAGTAAACATTAAGCTAAAATACACTATATATGGATAAAACATACAATATATATATATACATATATATACATGGCATAGTGGCCAGTGGGTCTGGCACAATAGAATTGATTGTTTATGACGTTGAGAACGTGCCACAATGAATGACGAGTGAGTGTGGAAATGAGGACAAACAACCGATCGTCTTAATTGACAGTTTTTTTCTTTTCTTCCCGACAAATTGATTGATAATGCAGCGCTTTCCATTCAAGATCATTATCATACATATGCCCAATTGAAATAAATGTACAAATGTAAATTAGCTACCGAGCCAGCAAGGCAGCTCATGGATAGCTTGTCTCACTGCACTCAGATTTTCAAATTCCCAATTACTTAGAACTGATGCCATCTGCGCGTTGCTCTGACTAACAAACAGTCACTAAATGTTGAGTTACATGTGCCGATTAATTTGCTTTCAACAGCCTGTGGGTGAGCTGTACGGCACACGGAAGGTTTCACATTGTAGCACTTACTATACACTAATGTGCAACAACCTACAATTAAACGCTTGCTGAGCTCCAAAACAAAAGCTTGAATAAGTACTTGATTCATTTTCAATTGGGTTTGTAATAAAGATTATTACAATATCTTGTTATAATCATGAACTTACATTAATGTGTTTCCATAAAGGGAGCCAAAAATATCGGAATGGGGTGTTATTAATTTTTATTTTTTTTTTTTCGTTCCTCAACGACTAATTCTTTATTTTCAAGAAGCTATTAACCGTTTGTCTACTTTCAATTTTGTTTATTTTAATATGTGTTGGGTGGTATATTCTAAAGATAATTCTATATTCCAGTATATGGCAGGTAGAGATTATAATTATTTCTATTAAAGATATATGGAGGTTCATTGATTCGTTTTATTTAATCATATGATCATTAATATGTTAAGTCCAAATAAGCAAAGTGTCAGAAGTTTGCATTAGTCTTTTGATTTCATGGGTTGGTTTGTAAGACATATTTTGAATTTACATTGTAAAATAATTTATACTTCAGTAATTAGTGAAATTTGATTTTAAAAACTCGTTGCAAATACTTGTATGTAGAACAAACAACTTACAGTATTTGAAGACTATCAGAATTATGTTGGGGTCTGACTATTACAATTTGTTTAATGATGTCTCTGCTATTATTAAGCCATCCTTTGCGGTTTTTTGTTGATAAATAAACTGATTCGTATTCGCGTGGCTTCACTTGAAAGTCTGTTGCACTTTTGAGGTGGTGGCGCATCAAGTGGTGTCACTTTTATAGAATGATTGGGAGGGGCTTTTTCTTTGTATTAAAATCACTTAATCATTATATTTAATGCGATGCGATGCATCCATAATATTAATGAACATCAGCCGCACAAATCAGTCAGTTAGACTGATTTAAATTTGTTTCCTTGTAATTTTTGCCATTTAAATCGTAAGTAAATACTTAATTAGGTAAACAACTCACATTCGCACAAGTAGCAGTTAATTTGAAATTTGCGTTCACTTTAAATGCTTTGTCACACTTTTCACTTTCTATACATATGCTATATTTAATTTATTTTTTCGTTCTTCGCTCCACACTGCCGCTGTCCGTCAAACTGCCGCAAATTCTGAGCACAAACTAAAAACTGTGCTGCATTGCACGGCACTTAATAAATGAAATGGAAAAACAAATAAACAGCAACAAATTTTGCAACACTGAGGCTGCTTGATACTCGTATTATTTAAAAGGTTTGCTATTGTACTTTGCGCGTGCTAGTCATTTGTTTTAATAAAAGCCAAAAGCGAACACAAAAATTCTGACGTGCTGAGCAAGCAAAAATATACGTACAAGTAAATTAATAATACAGCCACCGTACAGGCCGTCTTTGAATTTCAAATGAGAACTCACATTAAAAAAGAACTGCACATTTTAATAATTATTAATTATCAATAAGCATGCAATTTTTGATGAGCGTGGGAAAACGAGGACGGCCCGAGCATCTCGCGAAAATTATGCAAATCAACAAAAAATGAAAAAGAAATCAAACAAACAATAGTACGCATTTAAAAATGCATTTGCATAAATTCAAATTCAAATTCAGATTCAAATTCCATTTCAAACTCAATGCTGATGAAATCAATTCAGAGCGCTGCTTTGGTTTTCCAAATCAGTTTTAATTGCAATTAAATTAGTTTTTAAGAAACATTGCGCATACGGCCCGTGAGCCTGCCCTTAGAGAGCTGCCAGCAGAATAAATTGTATTCAGTTGCACGTGTTACTCACTTTTTAGATTTAATTGTGCGCTGCTCTATTCATTATTTATGTATTGCGTTAATTGCATAAAATTTAACGCCCGCCGCACAGTCAGCAGCGTCGACTACGATGGCGTTTAGCGTACTTGCCTCTACGACACTGATGTTCAGATGTTCGACACGCAACTTCATTTAAATTGTTTTCATTTTTCAGATTTCATAGCATTAATTAACCATTTTATGAATGACATTGGACAACGATGCGAACAAGCAACTCTCTGTCTCTGCTTGAATACTAGCGGAATAATAACACTCCACCGTCCACACTCCAATGCATAATGGTCAAATACGAGTATGCAACAGCAGCCAGCCACAAGTCAAATTAACAAGAAGCTCGACCGCACAACTGATGCTCTCCCAAGGGTGGAGAAGCATTATAGCCGGGCAGCAGTGCGGCTCTAGCAATTCATTTAATTGCGGCATATTTACAGCTGCCTGCTGCGTTCAGTTGTTAAGGGTAGAACTGGCAATAACAAACCTGGCTAATTAGTGCAAATCGATGCCAAAGTAACTGATAAACAATTGGCACACTTGGCTTATAACGAGTGCAATACCAATTAGGGCGATGTGTGTTTAGTAAGCTATTTTAGCTAACAATAATAATACAGATTTTATAAATTGCTACACCTAAAAAGTTATTTTAAGTTTTGCTGTAGCTGCATCTCATGAGCTTATGCCCTTCACAATATCTTCTTAAGTGAATCGAACCGAACGAACAGCCAAGAAGTCAGATGGCTCAAATGATAAGCTGCTTCTGAGGTTGAAGTTTACGAGATCAAAATTCAATTCCAAAGCTATTCATACTCGTATGTACACATTTCACTTTCTTGCATACAGAAATATTTGTTCCCCCAGCTATAGTTGGACTCGGTAGGTGACTGTAACCTGAAACCGCTTATTTTCAAGCCACTTGATCTTTGTTGTTTGCACAGTTCAAAATATGAGTTTATTGAATGAAGTGGTGTTTTCATCTTGGATGTTGTTCGTTTGCAAATTTTTCTTAGACGTCTTTGAGTATTTTATGCAATTCAGAAGCTTGTTAACCTGTTAGCATTTTGGCAGCAGAAATTTCATTCTTTACATAAAATTTAACCAAGCTTCTTTGTTGAATAATTTCGGATATTCCAAAAATCGAAATATCACTTGTAGAACACACAAGAAATGGATCTTAAAAGTACAAACAATTGTTCCCTACCAAAATACGCTCTCGATTTCCGGGTCATATAAGAATTGTGCTTTCATTGTGTAGCACAAAACGTAAGGAAGAGCATCAGAGCTTCTGCAAAGCCGAAGGAATGAATAAATTGTGACTGTGCAGGTAAGAATGCTATTCGCGTATGCCCTCGAACCCTTGAGCTGAGCTTACCTGCAAATATTTTGTTCACTGCTGTTCACTGGGGAGCTGGTGGTTTCGGGAGTTGATGATATCGGGTGTGGGTCGGCGAGTTGTCTGTTCGCTCGTTGACTTCCTGTGATTATTTCAAAAAGGGGGCGGACTTCTATTTGCTATTAGGGCGTTGGTTCTTTTGCAATTGTAGCTGTAAACTGTTGACGTTGCTGTTGAGGATTTGTTGCTATAGTTGCGTGTGGGTTTCGGCTGTTGTTGTTATTGTAGGGTGAAGTTGCAGTACGCTGGAGAGTTCCTGTGGGACAAAGGCACTGTTAACTAAAAGTGAAATGCTTGTAAGGGATTTGTTATGGTCGGTCTGCCTGTGGCCACAGACAATGATGAAAGTTGACTGGCCACTTGTGGAATGTTGACAGTTGATAGCACGACTTAAGTAGCTCCCTGTACGGCCTGTTACTTTTGCTTTCATTAGGTAATTTGCAATAAACTAGTATATCAGTGTGGGGTTCCCTTGGTTTTTCTTTTGTGAAAAGCTTAGATGCAAAGGAGCCTATTGGATTCTTCAGTTATACGAGAATAATAATTATTATTATATTATTATTTTATATTATAACAAACTATTGTCTATTGGATTAATTGTTGCAAAAAGAAGCAAAAGCTCTCGGAACAACAGTAAGTCGACTTTCTAAGCGCTTCAAGATCAAATAATAAACACCTAGACTCTTTTGCTCAGTAGCGAACATTGTTGGTTGGAATTATTTATCAGCTAGATTAGCTATAGAAAACTCGCATGAAATAAGTTGCACAAGCTATATACAAACATGCAATGAGCAGAGCATGGTTTGATTACAATTCAATTATATGAAAAATTATATTGAATTTTATTTAAGTAAGCTTTACGACTCGGAAATCAAAAACACGAACAAAAATAAATAAAATTTTCATGAGAATTGGGACTCGAGACTTTGTTCCTTTTTGCGTCCACTTTTTGGTAAATTCTTATCATCCCTTTTTTATTCAATAATAACTTTTTTGACACCTTTTACGTTATGACTGAAGCATTTCCCCAATTGTCTATATGGGATTTGTTTTCCTCCTAATAGGAGAGTAGAGAAAGAACTTACACTTCTAGACTTTCTAATGGTGCATGTAAGAGCCTGAAAAGAAGTATACACCGGAAGAAATAACTGGTTGAATGTGGGCAGTAATTTCTGTGTTCCATACCAATGTCGGCTACATTTGAGCAACGAACAATATCGGTTTAAGATTAAATTAAATGTTGACATTTTCGTCCATCTAAATGAACGCTTAGGTTTCGGAAATATCTGAACCCACATTGGTCTGTAGACTCTTCAGGGTAACACTAGTTTATTTTGTTGCCCTTATTTTGTCCACCCTCAACGTAAGCTACAGTTTGCATACGTATTTTATACACGATTCCTTACCTTACTACAATTCTTTAAAGTACTACGAATGCTGGCTCTTCCACTTCTTTCTTCTACTTTTCCAATGCTCTGATATAACTACATTTGTTTAGGTATGGGGTTTTTCGATGTCCGGCTAGCTTGACTGTAACATTCTCTCTCGTTCTGGTCTTGCAGTTGTCTGCAACAATCTGTTGAGCTGCCATTCCATGGTCTGCAGTCAACACTCAAAACACCCAACTGCAAAACCAACCATCAAAATATTGTCAGCTCAACAAGTGCTCATGCCCAGGCATTCGTCCGAAAAATTCGATACCGACTGCTTATCAGTGAGCGGAAATTTTGTTTTTATTTTTGTGTTTGCTTTTTTTTTTAAATAAATGCAAATAGCAAATAAATTGAAATTGATTTTGCTTTACGCTGCAAACCAAAGACACACACACGAATTCCTATGTGTAGCGTTGGTTTTTGTTTACCAAACGTAAATATGAGCGCGGCCGACTTTACATAGATTATGTACATATGTACATATAATATGTTTGTTTGTATCGCCCCTCACTTTACCGACCGTAACAAATTTTTGCTCGTACCTTTTAATATCGAATATTTATTCACAAAAATGCCTAACGTTGTATTTTAAATTATTTTTGTCGTTCTTCTTGTTGTTGTGTTCCCTTGACTGACCGCTTAAGTATTCAAGTTTGGATTTAATCGACTGGCTCGATATCTTCACCTCAACTGCTGTTCTCATTAAAAAAAAAAAAAAACCCCAAAGGCGAGATTTTGAAGATACGAGTATAAACGAAACGGGTTACAGACATTGGCAATAAATGAAATATGTGAAGCGCTAACGATTTCCGCATGTGTAATAAATTAGTTTATAAATGTACTTTTATTTTGAATTGCAAAATATTCTTTGAATGAATAAACGCTTGAATGCATTGTAATATTAAGATAATTTAATAAAACTTGTACTACTGCAATAACTATAACAGATATATGAAGATGGATTAGTAATAAAAAGAAACGTCTGGTTTTATTTTTTGATGACTTGGGTCTATCAAACCTATAGCATTCATGCACTCACATTTATTGGAACTTAGATCAATAGAGGAACTATATTTTTTAAGTTACTGACTGAAACAAGATACAATTTTAGAAATATCCTTAAGCTGACTTTTTAAATTAGCGTATTTCTTGAACTACTTCATCTGTAAAATATTTGCAAGTCAATTCGTTTACTTGTATTTTAAAATGTTTTTCGAATTTTGTTTACTTTTACTTTAAATGAAATTCACTTCAAATAAAAAATGTTTATTCCACTCCTAACAATTTCTGTAGCCAAGTAGTAATGTCCGACCAAATAGATGATTAAAGAAAAATTTACTTTACTTATCTTCTAGAATATATAATCACATCATCAGCTATAATAATTAATAAATAAAGGGTTTTTAAATCCCCTTGTTCATATGAATTTCAATCAATATTTTATGAGCAAAATGAAAACAAAATAATTTTTTTTAAATGCACTTTACAACATGTGCAACATATTTCTTTAGAAGTTTCTTCTAACTAATTTGTTTGTGTATCAAATTAGCCATGGCTTTAACTTAGTCCAGTATGCTTCTTACTGGATTGTGTTTGTTCTTTCATATATTGAATAAAATTAGTTATAACTTACACCCGTTTATGTTTAATATTTTCACATATTTTATGGCTTTTGTCGGATTGGTTGTGGAGTTGCTTTTAAATATTGTTTAACACACTTTTCAACGCACATTGGTGGTAGTTACTTTGGATTTTGTTGTTGTTTTACAACAAAACTACATTTTCATGTACGCGAATGTGTAGAGTAATTTGAATATTTAGTCTGAACTAAAAAATGCCACAAGTGTCTGGCGGCTTTTGGCGTTGCTGCTGCTGCTGCGAGCACTGCACTGTGTGGAAACGAGAACACGTCCATCAGCCACGAGATCTCATCTCGCACTGAATGCGAACGGCGCACGAGGCGGACGCACTAAGCGCAGGATGCGAAATGAAACGATGGCAGCGACAGTAGAAAATGCCAAAAGCATCGGCTGCGTCGCAGTCGCAGTCGCTGCCACTTGTTGGGCCATCTGCCTGTTGCAGTTGACGGCGACGCAGCCATCGACACGCACACGCACACGCACACCCACAAGAGTCAGCATGAGGCTGTGGCTGGAGATGGGGATGATTCCGCTCAATTGCCTTCATTGTATACGTGTAAATGTATGTGTGTGTGTGTGTGTGTGTGTGTGTCTGCATGCTGCTGCCGTTTGATTTTATTTTCACTGTCAATTGCGTTACGCCTGTAAGTATGCAATGCATCAAGGGTGGCTGCGACCGAGTCCTCGCCAGAAAATGGAGAGAGAGACAGAGGCCAAGGCAACGACAACGACAGCGACAGCGACAACGCCAGCATATTATGCCTAATTGATTTTCGTGTTAAGTGGCGTGTCAGTTGGGCTGACTTCTGTGTGTGTGAAGGAGCTGCTTTCTACGAACTCGGTAAGCCGAAAGATGAGATCGTGACTTCCTTAAAGCTGTTTCCTTAACAGCAATATAAATTCCACACCCTGCTTACTACCCTTTTCCGGATTCGACTTTGCGGATAAAAACGGATAAATTCCACATACACACTCTTCTATGCAATAAATCCGTATAGCTGCGCTTAGCTTAGCATTTGGTCAGCCCTCCAACATACAAGTATTCATATTTAATATTTTTATTTGTAATTCAGTTTTTCTTTTTACCAACGAAGCAAAACGCGTAACAGGTGTTGCATACTTGAAGGGAGGGAGGCAGGCGTACCACTTCTTATACTTATATACCAAACGTGTTGTTGTGCTTATTGTGCCAATTGACAAAGGTAACTGAGAGCTCTCAGTATCGTATAATTATTTCACACACATGCGAGTACATCCACAGACCTTTGCCCTTGCAATTCAATAACTTTTTTTTTTTGCTTACTTATTGACAAATTGATCGGCAAATTTATGCAATTACAGAAGAAGAACGCGGCAGTAGGTCTACTATGTATATGTATATATTACATATGTATATACAAGTATGTAGATATATGAACTGATACCGGCACGGACCGCAGCGATTGAGAGGCGACGCACTACTGAACAGCTGCCCCATCAGCACGACAAGTTCAACTCAAAACGTCGGCCTGGTGACAATATTTATAGATACAAACCTTTATGGGTTTCTCACTGTCGGTCATTGGGATGGCGTCGATGCGACGATCACGTCGCCGGTTGTCGCAGCTACCGGCAAGTGTTTGGCATTCGTATCGAAAGAGATATACGAGAAAAGCTAAATGCTGGGCAGCACATGCTGGCATGCTCAGCACGTGAAGACGCAGCCGCTTAAACATGTTTTAAAATTCAAAAATGAGGCTGTTATTCTTTATTTTATTTATTAATGGACGATAAGCCTATGCCGCATCTTAGCAATTCAATGAGGTGAATTAATGTTAGAACAATGTAGCATCAGCGGCGCAAACTCTTATAGAAACTAAACTATCTGCAGTTCACATGTGATCACAAGACTGTAAGCCTTATTTTCTCTCTCATAATATATTCAATAATATGACATATGTTTGATCAGGAACAATATCTTTATAAAGCCTAAATCTCAAATTCCCCTCAAGTGATGTTTTTCCAAAATAATGTTAAAACTTAACTTTTTCAAACTACAAGTATGAAGAACTTTAATTATCGCTGTAGTTTGAATGACAATAGAAAGCATTTGTTAAATAATAATAATAAGTAATTGATAATAATTTAGTAATAATTAAGCAATTATATATACTTTTTATGTACTATATTTTCCATACATTTTTCTGGATTTTAAAATATCAAGCAGGAAATGTTAAAAACCAATAATAAATACACATTATAATTTGACATAAATAAGTGAGTGTCTATGAATTTGTCGAATTACACATTTTACTTTACACTTTATTATGAATATTTGAATATTAGTCTTCAAGACTAAAAAATATAGTTTTCTTTCAAGATAATTGTCCCAAAATCGTTTCAAAGCTTCTTAACCCTTTCTGGTAATATAAATTCAATTTGGTTGCAACTTCTCTGCAAGTCTGACCGTAGCTTAAGAGATCTTCATACGTATTATAAAGTTTAATTTAAATACGATCTAATTAAAAACATTTTTATCTGAACAACACAATTATAAAGTAATTGTAATTTAATTATTGTAATTGTATTTGTGTTACACTTACCAAGTACGAAACCTTGAATTCAGGGCTGTCGCTTCAAGTGTGTGTCTTCATAAATGTTGACTACAGCAGAGGTTTATTAAACTGAGATTGAGCAGCGTTTGTGTCCAGCATATTAATGCAGCCATAAATACGGATCTGCGCGACACACCCGGCATTACTTTAACTAGTTTCTGTCTGCTGCAATAAAGTTTCGCATTTCGCAATACAACTCTTGCACAAAGAAGTGTTTGTCATGGGGATTGCCTTCTGTCAAGACTCTCCTCCCAATTTCAGAGTTCGCACAATATTCATGAACTTCCATCCCAGTAGATAAAAAATAATGGATTTCGACTTTAAGCTTAGAAAGCAGAGGGTGACATTTCGAATAATTGCAAATGAAAACAGAAAAATTGGCAAATAAAAATCAACCGCTACTAAAATAGAAGTCCTCAATTCGAGAGTGCGGCTTTTCAGCGCCAAATAACTTCAGAGTTAATGGACTAGAAATCGCCCATGACTGATGGCATTAAATAGGACAATGAATACATGTGCATGTGTGCATAGCTGTGAGCTGAGGGGGTTGATGGAGTCGTACGCACTTTGCAGGAATAGAAAATGTCAAGCCTTCAGCATTTTCACTTCCACACTTTTACAAATGTATCAAGGACTCCAGCAAGAGTCCGTAAATGTAAACATCTCCCTAAGCACTGGGTAGCGCACGAGAATATCCGACCAAGGGCTTGACAAATCGATTCGACGCATATGACAACTTAAATCATAAATAGCGCAGGGGAAGCTATCAGAATGTGTGCCAAATGGACGCTATAGGATGTTCCAGAAAACGTATGCTTTTCATTCAGCCGTTTCAATAAATCTCAATTGGTTGCGATTATACATTTTCAATTTAAAGACTCTTCGCCCTACATAGTTTAATATAGGACGTTGAAAGCAGCTTTCAAATTCAATACAAAAAATATTTATTATCTGAAAAATAAAAATAGGCTTACATTGTTACAACAAATAATAATGAGCTTAAATGCTCAAATACTACATATTTTCTATACTATTTTCAAATGTAAAATAGAGATAAAAGCGACTACTACTCCCAAGTATATTTTTAGAGACAGCACTTGACAGCACTTCTTAATTTAATTATCAGTTATTCTTATATCCTTGATATTACTAATATTGATAATTACAATAAATGTTTGGTATCATCATAGAAGAGTCGCTGAAAAAATTTCACCACGATAGCTTTACATCAGTGGGGGGAACTAGGACTTAGAAAGAAATATGTTCGCAATGCCCATGCTGATCATATACATATGTCCATATACCTATGGCTAGTAGTTTATCATTTTTTCTTCTGGGAGTTACAAACCTACACATTAAAAGCCCAAGTCATTGTTGTTACTTCACACTTTAATCGGTCTGTTATTAAGTTTTTAGTTACCTAAAAACAGTACTTAAATCTAGGATTTTGTATACATATTTGATTTAAATATAGAACTTTATCGAAAAGTATGTCTACTACTAGTGGAGTTAACCCCAGTCCATAGAAATGGTTTCACAATTACACTCGGGGATGAATAGCCAATGTGGGCTACAAAATGGGAAATATGTCCACATGTCAAAAATATGCGGGCCTAAGAACCCATGCACACACACACACACACACTGAACGCTGATATGAAGATAAGCTGCCGGGTCATATTTGTATCAGAGAGCGATGAAAAACAAATGTCCATCCAAAAACATACGCACTCAAGCGCATACGTTTAATTTCCTTTCGTCCTTTGACATGCGATACAAAGCGAACAATTTTCACATCCGAGCGATGCCATGCCATGCCGTAAGCAAACTTTTCCTGTCATCAACATTTTCAAATGCACTCTCGATTTTTCCTTGTCCTTTAAATGGGCCCCAGCAAAGTGCTCAAAACATTTTTCATTTAGCTAGAACTGCTTGGGCGGAGTGGGTGGTGGGAGTGTCTATGGCTCTGATGTCGCATACTTTATGCCATTCAATTGAAATATCAACACGTAGCGCGCTACTTGCCTGCTCCGCATAGTTGTGGTGGGACTCGTGCAGTGGCATTTGTCTTAAGTTGGGCGCGATGGCAAAAAAAACCTTCATTAAGAAATTCCTGGCATATTTTTGGTTATTATTGCGGCAGAATTGAAATATCCTGCGGTGGTTGATGCTGCAGAAGAAGTCATCCTCCATTCTCGTCCTGTATGCTCATGGAACGTGTTGAAATGCACTCCCAATGCTGCCCTTTGACTTTTACTTGCAGCTTGTGGCATCAAATGAAATAATTTAGCAAGATAAAACAAAAGGACGTCGCAAGGACTTGGATTGAAGTCAAATAATCTTTAAGCTAGAAATGTCGTAATTATATGAATAATATTCTAATCACAAGTTAAGAGCTCGCTTTTTTAAAAACATTTCTTAAAACGGCTTGAAGTAGGCTTAGTCCTTGGACGCTAAGAATGAACAATAAGATAGGACAGATAGAGATTAAAATTTAAACTAAATCTGATCTTATAGCTTTTGCTTTAAACACATTTTAAAATTCCCTCACAATATGTGTAATATGTTAGGTCGACTAGAAATACGAATTACTTTTGCAGACCTTTTTTCGGGTATAGAAGGGGAAATGCTTTATGCATATCTCGATCTGCCGTTGCAGGACTTCCACCCGCCAATACCCACCCCTTATATTGAACATATCTCCACTTTGGAAGTGCTTCCGCGTTGCTTCGCAAAATCTTTATTGTATAGGCTAATGTTTTTTTCAAGCTCTTGTTGTAAGTGTATTTCTTTAAGAATTTTTTACAATAGTTTGGGATAGAAAGGATCTTGGGAGCTCAAGAACTCTTTCCTGATTTAGGATTTTCGATGACTAAATGCTTAATATCTACAGATATTGCTTATTCATAATAATTCAAAGCTAAAGCGAATATGCGGCTATTTTCTTATAAAATAATAAATAAAATTAGTGAACAGTTTTGGTATCACTAAATTAATGTTATTTGTTATAAAAGGATTATTCTTTATAAAAGAATCCTTCATTTTAGGCAGATAAGTACTTGGTGCACGAATTAGGAGTGGTTTCAAATTATTCGAATGCTAATTTTTTGCTGAAACAGCAAGTAATGTTTAACAGGCCAGAAAAAGCGCAAAATAAAAAGACGCTCTGGGCCTAATGGCTGACCCGATTAAGTGGCATTATAGGCAGAGACCACAAAAAAATACCTATACATATATATATATATATATATATATATATATATATATATATATATATATATATATATATATATATATATATATATATATATATATATATAGAATTTAATAAGTTTTATTCCATTTATTTTATTTGCTACTCACAAGCGGCAATAACACACACACACACACACACACATAGATACGAACAAATGTGACGCTTATGCACATGGAAGGAAAAACGAGGACCCGAAACAGAGACACGAAGCCTGCGCATTGCGAACAGTTGTGGGCGTGTCTAAAGCTCCATCGACGCGACCAGCACCAATCAAAGATGGCGGATAGTACGCGTTGCAGTTATCCGAGAACCGCCCAGCCAGTCAGATAAACGCCTAAGAAGTGGAAGGATGCTGCGGACCACACACTTGTTGCTGTTGTTGTGTGTCGGACCTCATGTGGCTGGTGGGGGGGAAGAGGGGCGAACTTCCTCTGCTATAAAAGCGTGAAAATTGATAATGAACGCACATGTCGCTGGCAGCACGTACATGCGTACATATACATGCGTATACACACACACACACATACCCATTCCCATACACATCCATATACATATTTAGAGAGCAAGTCTGTGGAACATTTCCTAGCTTTTACTTCGCAGCCTTTTATTTTATGCTTTTGATTTATGGCGTGCGATTAGTGCTGAGGCATTTTCTTAAACAATTGTCATATAATGAACATTTCCGCAGCCCTCTCGGCATTGCATGCCTAAGGGCGCTGCACCGGGGTTTTGTTTCTTGTAAGTTTTGAGTGTTCACAGATATTATGTTCAAATACGCAATGATCTTTTTGGAATATTCTACAGGTATAATCCAATGATCCGATTATAGGTAATATATAATAATGAAGAATGTGGAAGAAGTCGCTTTAGGCACCGCTTAATGGAAGGTCAATTTTAAATTTTAATAATTTTTTCTGTGCACATATAAGTATAAAGAACTTCCATTTCTTATGTCGAATAGATTTTACCCAAAAATCGCGAATAATCCATTAACACTCATTGCAGTCTATTGGTCGTAGTGGGCATAATTTTCAAATCAATTCTATAAAATGCAGTGCAGTTTTAACAAATTTGATTAATTGGGAAGCTATGTATATTCAAAGACCACATATTTTATATATCAGTTTATGTGGAACTGCCTTGTTAGTGGAAAGAAGCACTCCGTAAATGTTAATACCTCGTTTTCTCAGACACACCAAAACGGTTTGGCATTCAAGTTAAATCTTATATACTCGAAAGAAAAACATATATTAGAATACACATTCCAGAACTACAAACTTACGCACTCGTGTATATATTGTTAGGTGCTTGCCTAAAACTATGCTACGTATTTAGGAAAGTGGCAAGTAAACCAAGTCCAAAGCTTAATACGACTGCCACAAACCCATCCATCTCCTTTAACACTCTTTGAATTGGTTGCGCGTGCCACCAATTAAATGTGTTCACCACAATGGGGTGCGTAGTGACAACACTTTGTTATCTACAATTGTCTATATTTGTTTATAAAAAATATTTCAATTTTAAAGATAAACAATTAAGTGATTTAAATATAATATTGATAAATGTTATATTTATATATCACTCGATGGTAGCGATTTTAACCAAATGGACTATCTTCGATTGCAACTAAATACTTTTTCCTTCACCGTTTCGATTAAGAGCGATCGCGAACATTTCGAGCACAAATACAAGATTTGAGAGAATGATCAAAAACTACACATAATAAACGGAAATCCAACACAACTGCTAAAACAAGTGGCAATTTTCACTTCATTAGTAAATTTATGAAATGAATTTATAGAATGTTAATAATATACCATCGATAAATGTTCCGTTTGATTAGCAATTAGTTAAAATTTTCAGGTAAACTATATACAAGTATATGTATATCTAAATAGACTAATCGTGTTCCTTAACAATTTTAGCATTGTTTATATATTTAAATCAATAAATTAAATATAAGAAAAGTAATCAAATAAGGGTTGAAACGGACAAGCATCCTAAAGAACACAATTTTGTCTAAATTGCAAATTTGAGTGAATATCGATTGATATCAAATGTTCACAAACATCTAGTCATTAATCTTAGCCTTGTCGATTTCTGCTTCCGATATATTCATGCTCGTACATAGAATCGGCTTTCATTTTCGACTTTTTTATATAAATAAATATATTTACAAAGATTCCAGCACTCGAAACTCTTCTAAAGGTTCTGATGTATATAATGGTTTATTTTGTAACACAACTTTTTAATATGTTTTAATTTTCGTCCACTTGTCTCAACTACACTTTGCTGTTTATCGAGACATAGCTGGCTGGATAACACATAAAATTCCACGGGCTCAATCTTCTGATTTACACCACTGTGCGTTGGTCAATCATTCATGCTTTGCTGTCTTTGTCTGCCTCTGGCTTCAGTTCCTTTTGCTTTGCTTTCGTGCCGCTGCCTTTTTTAAGAGCTTTACGCTGTTAAGTGTCCACTTTGATTGCTTTCGCTACCCATAAGCTCGTTCTTTGCTTAATTAATTGCATTTTATATAAGCTGCTTGTCATTACGTATACGAGACGTTGTCTTACCTTTCCAGAAGCATGTTAAACACACATATATGAGGAGAAAATCGTTGCACTTGTGGCGCTCCAGTAAATAATACAATTTTATTTGCATCATAAAATACACACACGCACACTTTCAATCGAATTTCTTAGTTTAAGTACGCGGCACTCGGCATAATTATAAAAAACATACCTTACTTAAATCTAATCGAATTGATTCAGAAGCAACAGGTAAAATTTGTCTAGATGTAAAAACATTGCAATAAACATGAAACTCAACCAATGGGATTAGGCACTAACATTAACATTTTATACAATAGAGTGGAGAGTATTTTTGCTAAAGCGACTACAAATCAACTACAGCTATTAATTGCACACCAGCGCGTAGGCGGACTAACATTTCGAAACGCCCGGCCGCAGACGCAAATTTTTAAAACTACCAAACTTAGCCTAATTGGCCACGCTAACAAAAAAGAGCTGATGTTTAGATACACATATGTATATGTCTATATGTCTGTAGTGAGACAGAGAGCGTGTGGGCGACTACTCGTCGTATATCTTCAGATAGTCGAACTCGTCGAGCTTGTCCTCTGAACCAGAGGCAGTCAAGTCGGACAGCTCATCCAGGCACTTCTGGCGCTTGCGCACATTCCAATGCAAGCCCTCGGCGAGGGAGTCGAACCAATCGGTAATTTGATCCTGTGAGCAAATGCTTGGTACTGGGTAGATGGAGGTGGTTACACGCAAACTGTCGCCGTGATGCAGCTCCTGGTCATTGCGTCCGTCGAAGGAGACGCGTGAAGTGTTGCGACTATCCGGAGATATTGAAATCTGTTGATCAAAAAGATCGCAAACATTACATTACAATATAAAGCTTTTTCTATAATATACACGCACCTTTAGCTCCACACCTGCAGGCACGACAATCGGTCGAAAGCTCAAGGAATGCGGACATATGGGCGTCACCAGTATGGCCGGCACGGAGGGATGTATAATGGATGCACCTGCTGCGGCAGCATAGGCCGTGCTGCCGGTGGGCGTGGACACAATCAAGCCATCGCCCTGCACCGACGTTATGTATTTGCCATCCAAGAAAATGTCGATGTTGCTCAGATAAGGGGATGGACCGCGATTGATGACCACTTCGTTCAACACCAATATGCTATTGGAAGACGGAGGACTGCCGTTGTTATTGCTGTTGAACTCCACATTGTTCATATGTCGATGCAAGTTGGACTTTTGTAGACCGATATGAAGTGCCGATTGCTGTTGCTGCAGCGACTCCTTGCGACGCTCACCCTTGCGATGGATGACACAACGCAGGCGACTGCGCAACGTAAGTGCGGCGTGACCTTCGAGCACATTGGTCACCTGCTCCTGGAAATTATCACACTGGAATGGAGTCAGGAAACCAAGGGAGCCCAAATAGAAGGCCATTACGGGCGGCACCGATTGCTGGAACAGCTGCGAAGCATACAGCAACGTGCCATCGCCACCCAGACAAACAATAAAGTCAATACGATCGGTGAGATCATCGCGTCCATCTCTGCAAAGCACAAGACTTCGATAGCAACATTTTCATACCAGGAAATCAATTCGTTTTACTCACTTAAAGGTCACCAGCTTATCACGCAGCGCCAGAAAACGCGCACGTACGCCACAGAACTTTTCGTGCACCCCCCGGAACTTGGCGCTCTCCTGCTCCAGCTTGACATCGTCGCGCAACAGCTTGTCCTCCAGCACCGCGGATTCCACCCACACCACCATATGCTTCTCCTGCACCAGCCACTCGACCAGCTGCACAAATGGCAGCAACACCTGCGAGTCCTTCTTCTTGATGACCAGCACAGTAAGTGGAGGCTTGTACCAGGTCAGGCGTTGACTGGCGGGATCCTGTATTTGCATGACCATGGCGGAGTTTTTCATAATGCGACCACAAGGTCCGAACTGTTGAAACGGCGAAGGTGCATTCAAGCTGCGCGTGCGCCTAGAAAAAAGGGAGAACACTCAAATGAACATCCAAATGTTTGGTAATTTTACCAAATAATTCAAATTAATTGTAATTAAAATATATGGCTAAATAAATGTTGTCTATACTTTGTATATTATATTATATTTTTGTTTAAATCTTTTTCCATTATTTTGGGTTGATTTTAAAATTGTAGTCTATTGAAAACGGTGGTTAGTTATACATAACATGCAGAATATATGCAAAGAGCTGCAAATTTAGATGATAATAAAAAATATTCCACCTCAGATTACGCGCCTCCGGTACCATGGGCGGATAGCCGTTTGTGTCTGCTTCCGTAACATTTGCTGGTATTGTTGGTGTTGTTGCTTCCACATGCAACGATGTCTGGCGATGCAGTTTATTGTGTTGCATTTTGTACGAGTATGTTTAGTTGAAAGCAACTGCAACCTCTGAGCACAACTTTGTGCTAAGACTAAGTATGCGACCACGCCTTTTTGCACTCCAAGCTCGGGCTTAAGTCAAATTATCACGAGTTTATTTTATACAACTTCACACGGCCACAAAACTACAAAAACAAAACAAAACAAATCATGGTGAAGAAAAAACGGAAAACATAAAACTCGCTGGCTGTTGTTTTGGAAACTTTGCGCGCGCGCTTGTTGACTCGACTGTTGTGGCTTGTGCGAAGGTTACAGATACACTGCCAAGTCGATTTGCCAGCGATTGCCAATAAATTTGTGTTGTTTTTCGAAAAAATAAAGGTAGGTATGCACGAGTATTTAAACATATTTTGGTGTTTTCATATTACAACAGCAGAGCAAATAAGCTCGGCGAAGAGGGGGAGAGAGAAAATCTCAAGCACAAGCAAACAGGAATCGCAACACACAAAAGAGCCAGCACAACAAGAGTGAGAGAGAGAGCTGAGACAGAGCCTCGTGTCTGAGCTTCAGATGAGAGGGAGCCGCCGCAGTGATTGCCAATTGACGACTGATGCGAACTGTAAACGTTTCTTGAAAGATAACGAACGAACACACTCGACAAAGGCGTGGGAGCTACTCATTGGCGAACTCGAAGGCCCGAGGGCTTAGAGCACACTTAATGCTAATTGAGCTGTTGGAGTGAGGAAGTGAGCCTGTTGTGTGATTTGTGATGCGGCATAAAAGCAGTTAGCAGAAGCGGCATATTATATGTGCGCCTCATCATAATCGTTTGTCAGGCGCCAGCAAGCAGTTGACATCAGTTAACGCACAGTGGTGAGAATTTTACAAAAAAATAACGTGAAAAATCTGCAATCGATTGACTTACTATTTCACAATTTAGTTATATTCTGTGTACATTAACAGAATAATTATAAATGTCTCATATATTGGGTACATCTTTTGGAGCCAAGCTAGTGCTATTTTTAATGTACTTTTTAAATAAATAGCAAATAGCTATCTGGAAATGTTCTGGCTGATAAGCCCTATTATTAGTTTTTTAATTAGCAACAACAATGTAAACAATATAATAATCATTGTTTGCGACGTTCCAAAGACCAACTCATGCATATACATTACATCAAATTAAATCATTATTTTCCCCACTATCATTAAAAATAGAACTTTTACAGCACACAAGGAAACCAATATTTGTTTAAAAAAATTGAAGAGCCCTAACTGCGAATTCAACAGATACGAATTTTTTTGGTTTTAGTAATATGTATATTTACAATTAGAAATATTCTAAAGACGAAGTTAAATAGCTTTAGCTTCACTATTTTTGGGAACCCAACGTTAACATTAAGTTAAGATAAACTATACGATTGATGGACAAGTGATATTTAGTTCCAGAATCAATTGAATATATACATAGCTGCCAATCAGAAATGACGTATTTCTGGCCTAAGCTAACTCACAGACAGAAATTTACAAGACGTTGTTGAATGATGTACAAATTTTAAATACACACGAAGATGATAAACTCAAGTGATTTCACGGAAATTGCAATTATAGGCACGAATATTTTATAACAAAGTATACATATGTATGTATGTGGCAAGCAACAGGTGATGTGCCAGTGTTGCAAAACGCATTGGTATAGAGACAGTTACCGGTATTTGAGAACGCCTGGTGCTTTTCACGAAATTCTGCAACAGGTGCAGATCGCGTGCTCTGTGTTTCAATAAATTCAAGCGACTAACTAAAAGGCGATAGTTCTACTTTAGACGATATGCTTAGCTTGTGGATAGAACAGCCATCGAGGCAGACGATAACGTGACACAGCACTTTCAAGCCTACGTACGCACGCGTCATTGACTTTCAAAAAGCTTTCGAACAATTTCACTTTGGCATTAATTAAAGGCGTAACCGATCGTCGAACTGCTTCAGTCTGCTGCCTGGGGCTCTCAACTGCAGCCGGGTTTGTCTGTTACGTAGCTAAAGCTAAAGCACCAGCACCAGTACCAGCTCCGAGCATGCAAATGTGGGCTGACCCGTCTGACCCGCTTGCCGATGTACACCTTTGGAACTTGCCAATATACATATACACACATACATATTTGTGTACAACATACATACATACATATATATTTATATATATATAGCTATGCATAAGTACCTAAAGTATGTATCTTTTTTACCAAGTGTCCAATGCAAACATGACGATTTATGAATGGCGCCAAGCACACACTGGCACCGATTTTTTGGCTCTCATATAAAATTGATTGGTGCCTGCCTCGCTTCTTTTTGTTGTCGTTTTTGTTTCTGTTCTATGTTTGTTTCTAGTTCTTCAAAATAAATCATTAATAATGCTCGTGTTTCTATGGCTATGTATTTAAAAAAAAAAATCATGTATCAAGTATCTGTTTGAGCGCTTTGCGTCAAATGCGGCATAAATTAACACACGACGGCGCCATTGGAGTAGACGAATTTTTAAGGTGTTAACAAACTCGTTTTCCAGTGTCCAAAATATCTCACATTCAGTTAATACTTACGAGCATTTCATTTTTTATTTATCTTTTTCTGTGTGCGCTGAACTTTGAGAAAAGGTCAAGGACTTGTTTGTTAATGTAGTTATGTATGTGTAATCGCATAATTTGAAGAGCACACTAATATTGTTTAATGGTGGTGTAAGTGCCAAACACCATGCATTTCCTATCCTAAAGCTTCGATTGTGCAGACTGCTTTTGAGGAAGTAGAAACCGAAAGGTCTTTTAACAATTAAGCTCACATTGACCAGACTTCTTCCCCCGCTAAATAATTCCGTAAATACTTTCCAAAAATTCGGAAGCTGTATAAACAAGACTTTGCACTTATTCTACTACATATTGTATATAGCTATCTTTTTTTAAGGAATGGGTATGTTTCGGAAATAATAGCTCTGTAGCGAGTTATAAAAAAAAATTGTATAAAAATATATAAACCATACAGTCTCGACTCCTGTAGATCTCGGCTTTGAAACATTTAAAAACTGGCAAGCTTACAATTAAGTTCTTTGGTGAGTCTATTATCTTTTCAGTCTGCCCTCTGGAACGTCTGTTTAAAGGTACTATCCACATATACACATAAACTATTTACAAATTATATTATAAATATGTATATTATATTACAATTTTTTATATTTTGATACCAAGAAATAGTTTTTTAAAGTTCTACACTAAGATACAATTCTTAATGAGTGTAAGAATTATGGTATTATTTTGATTATATTAGCATAATAAAAAGTAGGAGAAAACTGATATTGAAGTTCAAAAGAATTTCCTACTTGTGGCTATTTTTGATTTTATTAAAAATTCTTTTTAATCACTTGTTTTTATACGTAATAAACAATTATTGTAGGCTTTGAAATATTTCCAGGTAGCACAGCGAATAGACTGATCGAAAAAGACTGGAGCAATTCCTATTTATATAGGATTCGCCCGGGTGTGTACTATAATGATTTGGACAAAGTAATATGTTAATCTGTGTGCGGGCAAATGCGAATCGCAAAACTGTAATTGATTTTCGCACATTATTTACCAATGTTGGCACAATTAGTTGCTGATCTAGCGAATTAGTACAATATGCGTTTCCATCTAACGCCATATAAGGTGGCACCTTAAAAAGTGAACAACAAGTCCAACAGCTGGCGCTCGAGTGTTAGACAAAGAAGCAATCGTGTTTCGCTGATAAGGCGCCAATGACAAGGTAAACACAACAGACGGACACTATTTAACTTTGTGCATATTTAGGCATACATCTAATGTGTGTGTAGCCAGCCGTGTTATCAGTGCGCACGCCACCGGCAATAGTTAATGAACAAAACAAATAGACTCTACACATAATTCGACTATTTTCGTGGCTCTTTCCGAGTACAGGGCGTTCTTATCGCGTGTTGTTGTCGCCCGCTTGACTCTTGGATTTTGGTTAATGACCTGCAACAGCGTATATTTCATTCTTCTGGTACTTACGGCCAAGTGCCGGAACGGCGTCTGGACCTATAATAATTGTCACGCTCGTCCTCATCATCCATCGAATTGTTTCGATCGTTGTTGTTGCTGCTGTTCTGTTGGCTCTGACTAGTTGGCATATTATCAGGCTGTTGGTGCTTGTTGCTGCTGCCACTGCTGCTGTTGCCAGTCCTGGCGCCGCTTTTGTAGTAGCCCCCACTCTTTGATAGACGCTGACGCTGCAAGGAGGCGCTGTGACGCACCAGCAGGTCATTATAGTGTGTGAGTTGTTGTTGCTGCTGTTGCAGACCAGCGCCAGCTCCGCTCCAGGCCAATTTGTAGCTGAAGCGCTCCTCTAGGCGATGCTGATGCAGTGTGGCCAGATCAATGTCTGACAGGCAAGCCATATTGTGGACTTCAATTTGTTTTTAAAAATTGATTTTACTGTTTTTTTTTTGTGGGTAAATTTTAGCACATACTTATTTGCAATTGATAGCACTCTATTAATTGAATTAGTTTAATTAAACCAACTACTATTTAGCATGTATGACTTGGCACTTTTCTGTAGCTGACACCTTTTGCGCGCCTCAGAGCTTGCCTTGAAACGCCACTGCCAGTAGTGCCTCAAGCTTGGACCCCAATGTAAACAAAATTAACCTTGCTCCGCTTTGTAAGGTGTTAAATATTTGTTAACCAAAACGCACAACAACAACAACTCCTAACCAGACTGACCACATGCCAAAAAAGCACTCAAAGTCATTAATAAACTAAAAACACGAAAGAAATAACCACCAATTTTTAGTTTCTCAAATAGATGGCTTTAAACGCATACGCATAAATACTCGCGGGCACGTGGCATTATTTTGGTGATATTACACACAGAAGACATTTCTAAGGCAATTAGCATAAATATTTAAGTAATTTCTTAGTGCCTTGATAGCATTTCAAGAAACTTTCAACAAGCTAGCAAATATATAGTACTTTTTAGTTTGAATCGCAAAATAATTGAAATCCCGTACTTTGCTACCACAACTAGCTTAAAATTATCTAAAATTCTATAATATTTTTCAATTCTCAAGTTCTTTATTGTGTTAAATGTAGAACAAAATTGAGAAGTAGACAATAGATTTGTCAAAATACCAATGCCACCTACTGTTTTAAATGCGAAGACATCAGAAGCTCACACAAATAAATGCAACAGGTTTCCTTTTTAAGTATTCAATCTTATTTAAATTTGTTATTTGTTTACGCTTTTGGAAACAGCTAACGGCTCATCTAAGCCTTTAGTTCCGGCTGCAAATCCGCCAATAGCAAATTATATTAAAAAGAAAGAGCAATAAAAAAAGAGAGGCGCCAAATTAAAGTCTGACTATGACTAGCCCAAGGCTTAACGCCTCGTTAGTCAGCACAAAATTCAAAAGCAAAAAGCAACAATCATTTGCAGCTTCCGTCGAGTAAGGGGAGTGGTAGGGAGGCGATTAGTTTGGTTGGTATTGGCGTTCATTTGGCCATTGCGTTAGCAAATGGCTAACTTTTATTGGTACGAGTATGTAGCGGACTCGTATGTACGAGTATAAATGTACATGTACTACATATAGTAAATATATATATATATATGTATATACTTGTGTATGTATGCAGCAGCCCCACAAATCGATGTCAAGTATAAATCAATTTGCAAAAAAAGAGTTCCAGGCGTTATTTATTGGTTGCATAAGCCCCAGAAAAGCTGCCATAAAGCACCAAATAAATAAATAAAGACGCATAATGCACAGTTAGTTTTATAACAAATAATCCAGCACAGTATAATTAAGCATATGGTAGTCACATATTTTCGGTTATTGTTGTGTTTCGGTTGAATGCGCATAGTGGCCAAATTAATTTGCTTTTTTTTTATTTTGCTGCTTCAGCATTTTGGTCAACAACCTTATAATAAGCGAAAATCCACTTAAACACAATTAACAGCAACAGTAACAACAACAACAACACACCTCATACTCTAAACATAACAGTATCACCAACCATTAATCTAGAAATCGTGACCTGGGACGGCAATGAGGCCAAAGCAAAGTTTGGCAACATATGAGGCGATCATTAACAGTTCATTAAGGATAGGCAGTCTATTGTGTCAGAAAAATGTTCAAAGAAGCTAAGAAGAAGACAACAATTAGAAAAGAGATTGTATTTTGCTCCCTCTCTCCTTCTCTCTTTCTTTTTGAGAGATGGAGAAGCCCGTTAATCTTATCGAGGATGAGAAGCTAATTGTGTCCCTCTTTGAGAGGCTTTTGCTTACATTTACAACTATGTTGAAATGTTTGAAATAACTGTAATATTTTTTTTATTTAAATCTAATAAGAATTCATTCTAAAATGTAGCTTTCTGCAACAAAAAACTTCAGTTTGGGATTTACAATTCTAGCCGTACTTCGCTTTGAATAGGTTTTTAATTAGTAAGTAGTTCTAAGGAGAATTAATGGAAAACCCAATAATATAGCGAATCGAAAAATATAGAAAGTTCCTTCTGTATTTTTGTATACAAATACTTTAAAATAAAGAATTTAAAGCTAGAGACTTTAATTGTGTAGTTTATGAATTACAGAAGCGGAAGTCTCACTACATTTAAATATTTCACCCATATAAACATATCTATTCAGAAATACTTAAAGAACATTTGCAGCGGCTTCAATTTTCGAAAATTGCAAAAAACAAATTTATAGATGAGCTGCAAACTGTAGTTTCCATTTGCTCGCCCTTAGGCATATATACCAGGAAACCATTTAAACAATGATTTAAAACAAAGGAAGTGGAGCGATCGCCTATGACAACAGATCGTGTGGCGCATAAAGCGAATTTTAAATGTGCTTATGGAACAATGGAAGAATGTACTTAATGCACACAAATAATAATTAATCAATTAAAAGCGTCTAGTGTCAAATTAATGCGCAATATTAGCGTCGACCCAGGCGATTAGCATTGACTAGCACGGCTGTGCATTGGCCAGTGTAAGAGTAGCACGACACGAAGAGAAACGTGCCGGCGCGCAATATGAGGAGCTGCTGAGCTGAGGAACTGCCGCATGTGGCAATTACAGGCTTGCACGTGAAGTTAAGGCCATTAAGAGTATAACTATTATAAATAGTTTAAATATGCATGCGCAATTAGCGCAAATGTGCCACTCGTATGTGATGGACACCTTAAATGGCAGACAAGTTGGCTCAGCATTTAATAATTAAACGCGAAACAGAAGACGAAAAGCAGCTGCAACTCACTCAAAAGAAATTAAACGCGCGCTAGGCGTGGGAAAGTGAGCAATGAACACAAAAAGTAACTTAAAATTCCATACATTTTTAAAAATTGATTCAGTCGACATGACTGATTCTGAATGACTGGGTTTAAAGAGGCAACATGTGTCTTGGTTGGTCTGGAAAAATGGGGCAAGTGGGCCGCTAAAGAGTGCAACAATGTTTTTTAGGAAAGTAGTTATAGTATGTGTGTGAAAAGCCAAGTCATGACAAGCTTATAAAATTAAACTAATTATTATGCAATACGTTTTTTTTTTTATTAAGTACAAGCACAGACACGCACATATGTATGTATGAGCAGACAACGCGAAACTTCGAGCACACTTCGAGGCACAGTTGTGGCTTGAAACAGGGCACCAGCCAAAATTTGAGCCACAGCTTAAAGCAAACCAAAGCCAACGACCGAACAGAGCGACAGACGACCGAGCTGTCCAATGAGCACGCGATAACTGAACTGAAACGCCAAAAAGGTTATTAAATCGTAAATCTTTGTGCCGATTCGAAAATAAAAGTATGCGACGGTCGCAAACGTTTTTGTTGTTCAGTTATCGCAGTCTCTCACGGCTTGTAAGCAACAGCTGAGCGCACACGGGTCGTATGATCAATTTACACAGAGAGAGAAAGAGAGTGAGAGAGGACGGCAGAACGGCAGCGTGAGAGTGCGGACAGGTGTATACAATGTAGGCGGCTATGTAAAAGGTTTGAGCGGCTTTGTTTTGTAAACAACGTTGTAATTGTTAAGCAGCAAAAAGATAATCCATACATATAGATACATTTTTATACATTTTAAATAGGCGTCCATAGCTAACCAACGATTTATGGCATTTTAAAAGCATCAAATGCTAATCAACAACAGTCAACAATGAATTAATTAACATGTTCATTACATTAACAGTGGCGACTTAACAGCCATGCACTTGTCAAGGCAATCAAACTGAGTGAGTGTGGGTATGTGTGTATCTGTGAGAGCCACTTCAAAGTGAACATTTGTTTTCCGGCAATACTAATTGATTGACTCAACGATAATATTTTCAGACACATTACGAGCAAATGAGCCGATGAAATAAAAAAACAGCCAATCATGATGTGGTATAAAATGCTAAAATATTAATCTTTGACTCGAGAGGCAACTTACCACCACCAACGCATTTCCATATCGTTGCTGCTGCCATTAACAGGACTAGGTCCTGGCGCCGAGGATGCTGCATTGTTGGCATTGTTTAAACGCGCACTGTTTACATTTAGCAGCTGTTTGTCATGCTCATCATCATAACTGGCCGAGGATCCGGAGCCGGGCACTTTCTGTGCTGCGCTCACCTTAACATTAGCGCCAGGTATTAACAGCGATGCGGTGGCATTGGCCAATGTGTCCTTGGCTAGTTGGCTTCCGTTTAAGTAGGACATCGTCTTTAATTCTTCCTGTGCATACATGCGCGCATTCAAATGTGTTTATGTGTGTGGGTGTGGACAAGTGTGTGTATAGCAGGAAATTTTGACCCACAAACGCGCAGCACTTAAACGTTATAAATATTTCTAACTTTTATATTTCACAATTTCACAACCCCGTGTATACGCCTTTAGACGAGTACAGTCTGCGCCTGGCGTTGTGATAACGTTTAATTATGCATTATTTAAAATGTATACTAAAATTAGTTCGCAAGCAAAGAGGAAACCAAAACACAACTACAAGCACAAGTGTTGTTAAACGTCAGCAGTCAGCGTAAACAGCTGGTTGTGCACCCATTAAACATAAGGTGGTTGCTACGACACCGCAAACGGCACAGCTGACAGAGAACATTTCGAATTAAGAACCGCGCGGACGCGTTTATTTGGTAAGCAACTAAAACAAATATTAATACATATTCCCAAATAAATGAATTGTGGTGCATCTTCCAATTGAAATACTTAGCAACTGCGTAACCATGTTGAAACTGCTTATTTTTAATAATGAATTTAAAATAAATTTTTATAGATTTTTAATTTATTTGTATGGCACAAAAAACAAAAGAAACGAAAATCTTTCTATCTTTTGCTGGTCATATGTGCATACATATGCATGTAAATAAGCATGTGTTTCTTTTTTTTTTGGAACACGATGTTTTTTTTTTTTTGAGATTGTAGCAGCATCACCAAATTTGCGTTTTAGGCTTATGTATGTATTAAAAGCAGTATTGTCGATTTGTTGATGGGCGTGATGTTCTTAAATATGAATACGTATATACACACATACATACATATTGTATGTACATACTATAGATGTACTTTACGAGGCCAGCTCGGAGATATTTGATCTTACCTAAACTGATGACGTTTGTCCAGCAAATTTTTCGCAAGTGATTTTTTTGGTGGTACCGACGACGAGGCGGTTTTTGAAGCAGATGCTCCATCAGGTTCTGTTAGATCGATTTGCTTTTCCTGAACATTCATGGCTAAGCCGTTTGACGTTACTAACAATGTTTAGTACAATTGCTGTAGCTGGCAGCGTACACAACCGCACGCTTTAAATGCTCGAATTAAACTATTACACACGCCTCTGCGGCGAGATTTTATGCAATTCATATGACTAGATAAGCACGCACAGTTTGCGATTGTCTCAAACACACACACACTCGCCGCATTCACACACAAATGCACCTGCGAATTGTACACCTTGAATCTTTTTCAACAAATAAGGCAAAACATCGCTGAACAATGGCTAGAGATCTTAGCCGTGTATGCGTTTTTTAAACGATTTTCAATCCGATCGTCGTGCACACGGGCGGCCTGAGGGCGCGTCTCCAATATTTTCATAGACAGGCATTGCTTTCAATTGCACACTCTTGGCATACCTACTGGCTAACGAATTTTGACAGCCACAAGTGCGTGTGGTTGCTGCCAATAACTAAAGCAATAAACGCCGCTTCAGCTAACAGACAAGTACGAGGTGAACAACATGCAACAAGTAGCTCGCATCTATTTACAAACATATGTACATGAATACATACTTAGAGTATATAAATGTATGCAGTGCATATGTACATTGAGCCCCATTTGTTTTAAGGTGTGTTCTGCTAAAATATATTTTTTTTTTTACCCAATATACATATACATGTATGTATATACATATGCATGTATATTACAACTATTTTATTTAGCTTTTGGAAAGCTTTTTCAGAAACACTTCTTAAATACTACGAAAGTTAACAAAAAAGAATTCAACTAGTGTATAAAAAAGGTATTCTTTTTTTTTTTTTTTTTTGTTTATCAGCATATATGCTACTTTTTAAATATATAGTATAGTAGATTTTAATTGTACGCAACGATTGTTGCACTTTTGAGTATGCAATATTATTGCTTTTAAGCAGACTATAAATATTACACTATCGGGGCTGAGAGAATACTAAATAATTCAAACTATACGAGACTAAAGGCTAATTGGCATACTATAGAGAGAACGACAAAACGAAAAAAAATGTAAAACTTACGCACTAAACATCATACAATTTCATATTCTCAAGCTCATCGAGCGTATCCTCGGAACCGGAAGCGGTCAAATCGGACAGCTCGTCGAGGCACTTCTGGCGCTTGCGCACATTCCAGTGCAGACCATCGGCTAGTGATGCAAACCAGTCAGTGATTTGGTCCAGCGCGCAAATGCTGGGCACTGGATAGATCGAGGTGGTCACACGCAAGCTATCGCCGTGAAAGAGTTCCTGACGATTGCGTCCGTCAAAGGAAACCCACGATGTGTTGCGACTCTCTGGCGATACAGAAATCTGGAAAGGATAGCCAACATTGAATATTACATAATACAAGTATATTATATTTTATTTATATTTTAAACGTACCTTTAGCTCCACACCCGCAGGCACCACAATCGGTCGAAAGCTCAAGGAGTGGGGACAAATGGGCGTTACCAGTATAGCCGGCACTGAGGGATGTATCATGGATGCGCCTGCGGCCACTGCATAGGCTGTGCTGCCCGTGGGCGTGGACACTATCAGGCCATCGCCCTGCACCGATGTTATGTATTTGCCGTCGAGGAAGAGATCGATGTTGCTAAGATATGGCGAGGGCCCACGATCGATGACCACCTCGTTAAGTACTAATATGCTGTTGGCAGCTGATTTACTACCATCGTCCGTCCTCTCGTGGCGCTTTTCGCTCTTCCGATTTACCACACAGCGCAGGCGACTACGCAATGTGAGCGCCGCATGACCCTCGAGTACGTTCGTTAATTGCTCCTGGAAGTTGTCGAACCGGAATGGCGTGAGAAAACCCAATGAGCCAAGATGGAATGCCATAACTGGTGGCACTGATTGTTGAAATAGTAGCGAGGCATAGAGCAGCGTCCCATCGCCGCCTAGGCAGACAATGAAGTCAATCCGATCGGTGAGATCATCCCGTCCGTCCCTAAAAGAAACTATGATAATATCATTTTCATCCACAAATGTTTTGCGCTCTTAAACACGGGAATTAAGACAAAAAAACTACTAGGTACAAATGTGTATATCTTTTTATACCCTGTACCCAAAAGGGTACAAGGGTATATTAGTTTTGTGCGAGTGCACATGGAACACACAGAAGGAGGCTTGGTAGACCCCACAAAGTATATATATTCTTGATCAGCATGACAAGCCGAGTCGATATAGCCATGTCCGTCTGTCCGTCTGTCTGTCTGTATGAACGCAAGGATCTCCGAAAGTATAAGAGCTAGAATAACCAAACTTGGTATACAGATTCTCCTGAGACCGAGAAAGGACGAGTTTGTTCATTTTTTCTGATCCACCCCCCCACTCCCCCCCCCCCTATTAACGATTTTCTATAACTCCCGTAATTCTTGGAATTTTGAACTAAAATTTGGTAGTCACATTAGGTTAGTTATTATATAACCGTATACCAAGTCTCATTATGATAGAATGATCGGAAAGAAAGTTATAGCCATATAACCAGGCCCAATGCACACATACATACATATGTACAAGTACACAAACACGCATAAGGCACGATTCTGATGTAAAAGTAAATGTATGCATGCATGGAATATTTTATATTTAATTTAGTTAATTAATTAAATTAATTTAGTTAATTAATTAAATTTAATTAATTAATTAATTTAATTACTTTTTTGTGGGGTGGTACAGGGTATTTAAGAGTTGAGCCTGCTCGACTTTAGCATTCCTTTCTTGTTTAAAATCGTAGCAAGTAAATATATATACTATTCTTGTCTCATTCAAGATTATTCTTTGCTTTAAAGTAGACAAATCAAACATTATTTGAGTGGGCGGCCAAATAATCCCACAATACCCAAAAAAAAAAAAAAAAAAAAAACATTATTTGAGGTTTCTATACTATTGTAAAAATATTAAGTGTTGATTTAGTCTCAAAGTTGAGGCATATAGCTTTATATATAAGAGCATCTTTATATTTTTAGAGCATGCAAAGCAAGCATTATAAACTGTATACAAACTTACTTGAATGTGACGAGCTTATCACGTATGCTCCGGAACCTGTCATTTTCGTTTAGCAGCGAGTCCTCTAGGACCGCCGATTCCACCCACACGACCATATTTTTCTCCTGCAGCAACCACTCGACCAGTTGGACAAATGGCGCCAGCACCGAGGCATCGCTCACCTTCTTGATGACCAGCACAGTGAGTGGAGGCTTGTACCAGGTCAGACGTTGACTGGCGGGATCCTGTATTTGCATGACCATGGCGGAATTCTTCATAATGCGACCGCATGGTCCGAACTGTTGAAAGGGCGATGGCGCATTTAAGCTGCGCGTGCGCCTGCAAAGAACAGAGTTTTCAAATATGAATTTAATATCGGGGTTACATCATTTGGGGGGAACGGGTTTTCATCTGCACCTCAAAACGCGCTGCGATTTCAAGTCAACCATATCGGTAATAAAGACATTATCATCATTATCGTTGTTGTTATTGCTGACATTAATATCGAACAATTCAAAATTGTTGAACTCCTCAATGTTAAGGGAGCTGTGGCGGGGAAATATCGCATCCTGAACCATGGGAATGGGAAACATTATGAAGTCGTTATATGTACTTGTAGTTATAATAAATTAATATGTTTTTTGTTTGTTTTGTTTTCCTTTTCCACTGTGCTCCGTGTGCTCTGCACGCACGTTGCCAAGAAACTGAGGCTGTCGAGGCGCGGGCAAAGCTCATAAATTGCAACGGTAAAAACGACGGTGTCCCAAAGAGAGCAGACGAAGGCAGCAATGGAATTTTATTGTAAATGCAAATTACATTACACACATGCACGTGTGTGTATGTGTGTGTGGGTGCGCGCCTGAAAGTGAAGGTAACAAAAGGAGACAACCGTTGTAGCTGCTGCTGCTAAGCGAGGCGCAACAAGTGGGTGTCTCTCCGGCCTGGGTTTGCCTCTTCAATCATATCATGCACAGGCAGACAGGCATTTGACAGCTGTAAATGATATACCGCAGCTAGCTTGGCCGAAGCACCGGTTCAGCTTGAATGCAGACCCCATGAGGCGAGGAGAATCATTTTTATCGAATTTGCATGAATGCATGCTACTTGAGGACATGCCACTATAAGCGATCAAAATAAAAGACTGACTTTCGCTTAAATGCTTAAATTTTAAGAAGAAATAGCAAATACGCTGAGATATTCCACATGCAAAAGGGAATACTCTACCTAATTCGCTTTTTCGTAGCATTTTATCGTTCTAGACAATAACGACGGACTTTATTTAGTTTTGTTCGAATATTGTTTAACATTTGAAATGGTTGGGTTTCACAAATAATTATCTGCTTGCAGAAAAAAGAAGCCCATGCGGAAAATAGCTTTACAACTGATAGACCAGTTTGCATAGAAGCAGACAAATGAACAGATCAGACTGAGTTGGTTTTCCCCAAGCCATGTGATCTGCCAAGCCTCCTTCTGGACGTTACAAACATCTGACTAATGTACATTTTGCTAGGGTATAAGTATTGCAAGCAAGATGTGTTCATTGATAAAAGTTTTCAATGGCGGAGTTTGTTCAACTGAAGATGAAAATAAGAATGAAATGCTAGAGTCGAGTGGGGAATTGTGTATTACGTCTATGTGTCTGCAGTACAGAGTTAAGCCAAAACAGCAACAGCTGCAGCAAAAGCTTCGAAAGAGATTACATTTACTTTTTACCTATTAAATGATTAAAATCCCTTCAGAAGAAATTTAATTGAGTTCAAAACAAACTAAAATTTATAAATTCTCAAAATTTTCAGAAAAGAAGCGATTTCTTCACTTACGGCCAAGTGCCGGAACGCTGGCGTTGCGTATCTGCGGCAAAGCACTCGTAATTGCAAAGCTCAACATTTCCATCGGACGAGGTCTTCCCAGGGGAAGAGTCTTTGCTGTGCCGTTTCTCCAAGCCGTTCCCATTTAAATCTGAGGCAGTGTCTGGCTGCTTCAAAGCCATACTCTGACTACGCATATTTCGCTGCAGACAATAGCGAGTCATATCACTGAAGCCATCACGATGATTCTGATTCTGATGGTGACGGTGATAATGCTGATGATGATGGTGATGATGCTGGTCCGGACTCCAGGCCAATCTGTAGTGCCAGCGTTCCTCGAGGCGACTTTCGTGCAGGGTGGCCAAATCAATGTCCGAAAGGCATGCCATTTCCGAAATTGCCTGTCGCTTCTAGAAGCCGAAACCGAAACCGTTAAGAAGCATTGGAATGCTTTTTTTGTTTAACTCGGCTTGGCATGGAATGCCGTCAAACTGCATTATGATTACTACACTGATTATGTTTGCTCAGAGACGTCAGCACGAGCGACCAAAAGGGAACAAGGTTAAAACATTTTTCTCTTTTTTGTTGTTGTTATGACGAAATACGCTTATGTGTGACGTCGCAATTAGAGATGTGCGTGGACTCAGCAGCGATCGTGAAGGAAACAAAAAAGGCGAATATTTTGGGGACCTACTATAATATTTGAATTACATTTGTGGGACACTTTTAGTTAAAATTCATATATTTTTTATAATTGAATATAATAATATGTATATAATATGCATTCCTTGCATAGTTTTGTCTAAATATAATAATAAAGTGTTTTACTCCCCGCTATGATTTCGTAAATAGTTTACATTAAAAATATAATGAAACAGCTTAAATTTTTTGTTTGAAACCCCCGCAATAAAATTTCTTATAATTGCTATTGCAATTAAAAATATTTAATATGAGTCAAAAAAACGAGCATTTGCGTGAATTTATGGAGGTAGTATTGTCACACGCACACCTCTAATAGTAATCGGAATGCTGTGAAATTGACGGCACGCCACCCACGCCATAACGAAAAGGGAAATTAATGAGTCGAACATAAAAACAAAACAAAAATGCGGCGTCTTTTGCGAAAGTGAAAGTGCCAGCCAGTAGAAATATGAAAAAATAAAATAAATAAAACAAACTGTGCTTGTTTATCGTACGTTGGTTGGTAATTAGAAATGCATTAGACTGATGAGCTTTTAATTGACACTTTTTTATCTACATATCTAATTTATAGTTTGTGAACATATGTTCATATATGTTTGAGAGTTAGAATCAAACTTCTGTTGTTGGCGGCCTGTCTGTTGCGTTATAAATATTCTTGAATTATTTTTTGTGCGCAGCTGCCGTTTTATGTTGTTGTGGAAAATATGAAAAATAAACTGAAGCAACAACAGATAAAACGAGCACAAATGTCAACCGCACGGTCTCGTGTTCGCACACCAACTGAAGACTCGAAGACATTTATTTTGTGTGACAACTTAAACAAAAAATAGTCTCTTGCCACTCGAGTGCGGCAAACGTTGCGTATGCGTGATATTGAGAAGCTGCCTTCAAAAACAATTGAAAGACCCAAAATAAGACGAATTAAAAGTAATACACATTTGTTATAAATAAATCAAAATTCCCCCGCATAAATTGAATCGAGTTTGAGTTGTGTTTAAAAATTAATATCAATTAGACAAAAGCACGACGCGTGCTTCTCTTAATTGAAATGTGCCGCGCAAAATCAATTTGTTGACTGTACTGCTTGGGAATAGACAACAATTACCACATCGAGTTCAAGACAGCGCATTCAACTTAGATAAGAAGCGCTGAGATTACAAGAATGCAAAATATGCATTACATATGTACACGTGTGCTTAAACAAAAGCACGCCTTTAGAAAAAAAGAAGTAAAAAAAACTAAAAAAAAAAATAACGGACATACATAACTAAATTTAAACGTTAGAAGTACAGCCCGTTAAAAATACATTACGGCCATTAAGCATACCGAACATTTTAACATTTGTATGCTTTATTTGGCTTAGTTGGAATTATATCCAAGAATATAATCCGATCCATAAAACGAAAAGGTTTTGTAAAATATATGTATATAAAGTATATCATCACGAATTATTGTACAACAGTTTTGTAAAAAAAAAAACACGTAGAAACATATTTTTCAATTTCAAAACGTCTTGTGATTCCCCGACTGACGTCACACGTAATCTACGTACACTATTTATGTATGTACGTCTTTTTTTAGAACATATATGTATATATAACATTTTATTAGTCAGTGTTTGTTAAGCACAACAAAGAGATTAAAACAAAAAGTATCCCTTTGTAGTTTAAAGAAAATGAAGACAGCGGAACTTTTAAGTTCGCCAAAAACTTGTTTAACAGTGAATGGTCATCATATGCAGAATCTACCGTCGCACAAACGCACACTCGCATACATATGTATATAAATAAATAAGTAGAAGGCGCATAGTTTGCCAATACATTTGCTTACCACCACCATCGCATAGTGCCAACATCGCTGGAATTGGAAGCTGTTCCCTCCACATGCAACAGTTGTGCCTCGGTGGAGGTAGCGGTGGCGGCAGCAGAACTAGCGGCAGCGTTGGTCAGCGGCAACTTGCACGGCACTGGCTGCGGCTGTTCATGCTCAGCATTTTCAATCGGCGTTGTGCTTTTTTTTATTGGTTTGGTAGTCTCTGGTGGCGACGAATAGGATGACATTCTTTAACAGCGGCACTTAAAACAATATTTCAGCATTGCGTGCTGCCATCAATTATAATTGTTTGTTCACTGTTTAACGTAACATCCTTTTAGGCACTTTCTCACCCTGCATAAAAGCAAAAATAAAGTTTCCGGAGTGTGACCGAATACAATAAAGCAGACAACGCAAATTTTAACTGCAAAAATACTACCAAACTTTTTAATAAAATACCAACAAAGTAGCTTTATGCAATGTACCAGACTTTGAATTCAATGTTTGAAGTGTTGAGCAATGTTGAAAATTCTGCACACTTAGCTACCTGCTATGGCACGTAAGCGTATATTTAAAATATGCATTTGGTATGTATTGGCTATTTTTCATAAGTTTCAAAAATGATTGGGAAAGTTTTGAATTCTCTTATCCATTTACAGCTACATGGTATATTTTAAGTCAAAAACACTACAATTCCCAACTGTTCAAACACACAGCTGTCCCGTTCACAGAGTAATTTAATATCAATAATATTTTAGTAATATCGTAGTTCTATTTGTCTAACATTCGGAAATCATTTTCTTTAACTGCAGTTTTGCCTTCAGAAAGGTATAAATGTATACGAGTATTTCAATGATCACGGATAGACCGTGAGCAAAAGATTCGATCATGTCTTTTTAAGTTTCACTTAAAAATGAAGCATACATTATGTTAATTATCATGATTATAAAGTTTAATTTTGGGTAAGTTTATCGCACCTCGTGCCTATTTTAGTTCAAAATCATAAAAGAAAACGCTTTTGTAAGTTTATTGTATTTACAGATGAAGAAGAAATATTAATGTTCATAAAAATAAAATGGAATTTAAAAAACTCGTCCCCGCGGAATTTCCCCCTTTTTACAGCTGCTTTTTGACAATCTGGGAATCCATTGATAATTTTTTGATTTACATCTGCGGCATTCCCCTTCGACATAGACGAAAACTCGTTGCAGCACGTGAAAATCTTGTTATTTTTGGCATGCCAAAATATACACATCCAAGATATATATATAATTGCATGATATGTAAGTGCGTGTGTGTGTGCATATGTAGGTAAATAAATGATTTTGGCTGCGATGCCTACATTCTCAGCTGCCTTGTGTTTACAAAAATTATTTCGTTCCTAACTAATACAATGGGCTGAACAATATGAGTACCCCAATCGAACTCACCGAAACTGCCTACGTCTCTCGTTCAGATCCAATACGCGCCTTTTTAGGGGCTTGGGAGAATTGCCCGGTGATGTTGCAGTTGCTGTTGTACTGGCCTCATCCTCATTGTAGTCCTCTACAGACGTCGAATTGGCCACCATTGAGCGTGCCAGTTGCAAATCCTCCTCCCTCATAATGGTATAACCGTCTGAGTCAGGCTTTGGGCTTATGTAATAAATGTTTATGAGCTACTAATGCTTAGCTATTGCTTTTTACACAACAACCTTTCAGTTTCAGAGCCCAAATTCAACTAAATGCCATTCCATGCCTTGGCTTTTTAAAATATATACAATGCATGCGCATATACATGTATGTACATGTGTATCTACATACATGCATACATGTACATATGTATATTTGTATGTACATAGAAGTGCTTGTATTGCCTGGTAAGATGCTTTACTATACACATATAGACACTTTGAATTTATTAAGATCAGCGAAAAAGAGCACAAAATCCAGATAAAAACGAAATTTACATATTCCAGCGCAAGTTTACACAACAGCGGGCCATGTATGCATACTTTTGTACATATCTACATGCACGGTATGTGAAGCATGGCTGCTAAATTCTGAGGCCGTTAGATATGCAAATGCACTACACATACCTTATACCCAAGTACGCACGATGTGGGCGTTGCTTGATAGATTTATTATATTTTAATTACTATGACCACTGGCACTTAAAGGCGTGGCTTGAACTTGATATTGATAATCGATCGACACGTTCACAGTATGCATTGGAATTGCCTTCAGCTTATGTACAAATTGGCCTGTTCTATGCAATCTAAGTATATTCTAGTTTCCGGTTTCAATTAAATAAGGATTTCTAAATTGGATTTCATTTATGTGAATTAAGTTAAGTTACTCATATATATATATTTATTTGATCTCGATTAAAATACTCACAATTTTAATATTTATTCGGATTTATATTGCCCTAATATAAAGTTTTCTCTATTTAGTCAGAATTCAAATAAATAGCGGTCAATTGTTGCAGTAATTGTTATCGGTTTTTAGAATTGACAATTGACAAAAGCTCAATGCTACACTTCTGATATTAAAACAATCTTCGTTCATTTTCAAGAATTCAATGAGGCAACACTGCCGCACAAGTCATTCTGTGTTTTCTAGTTAATATTAGTTATTATAGTTTTAACTAAAATAATCTACTACGATGGCCACCAAAGCATCATTACATATGCAAATCTTCTCAAAGCACTTGGGACAGATCAAGGCAGTCATTAAGGGTCAGCCGCTCTGGTAAGCAAAACACGTCGCATGTTTATGTTTGTGACGTAATTGACGCATGTTTTTCCGTGGTTCGGCGTAATAACGATTACAGCATGCATGTGAATAGTAAATCATCATTGTGCCCTACTCTATCTCTACAGCTTGCAGCGCTCGCAGCCTACATTGCTGGCACGCCTCTATAGTACGGAGAAGCAACAACAACCGGCGGTCGAGGAAAACAATGCGGCTGCTACCGGCGAGCAGAAACCAGTTGCGAATCCTGAAATTGAGCGCCTTACGCAGGAGCTACAAGCGGCAAAGGAGCAGCACAATGAGCTACTGGACAAATATAAACGTTCGTTGGCAGATAGCGAGAATATGCGAATGCGCCTGAACAAACAGATCAATGATGCTAAAATCTTTGGCATACAAAGCTTCTGCAAGGATTTGCTCGAGGTGGCCGATACACTGGGCCATGCCACACAAGCGGTGCCCAAGGAGAAGGTATGTTTGCTTGAGCAGTGTATGGATAGACCATATACTACTAAAACGATTCAATTACCACAGCTCAACGAAAATGCTGATCTGAAGAACCTATACGAGGGTCTGACAATGACACGAGCTTCTTTGTTGCAAGTATTCAAGCGTCATGGCCTTGAGCCGCTGGATCCCATCAATCAGAAGTTCGACCCCAATCTGCACGAAGCTTTATTCCAAAAGGTGGGTAACCAGCAAATTTCCTTACTACTTAATAGAAGAGACTGCGAAATAATTTAATGAAATTCTTGCAACTCAGAGCTATGGATCACGTTCTTATAAATTTCTATGTCTATAATCGAGAAGAATTGCTTTAAATATTGCATTGTCTAAAGGGCTGTTTAACAACAATTTTATTTTAATATTTTTATTGTAGGAGGACAAAACTGTGGAGGCCAATACCGTTGTGGAGGTTACCAAATTGGGATATAAATTGCACGAGCGCTGCATACGCCCCGCTCTCGTGGGAGTGTCGAAGTGTTGATATTCCCTAAGTCTGTTAACCCTACCCAGACCTCCATTCACATCGTTGCTTTTACCCGGCGCAATCCCTTTTACATAGCACAGCATCGTATTCCTAAGTTGTTTGCAAATTTGTCTTATGCTGCAAAATTTATGTATGTAAACCAATCTATGTAAATACAAATAAGTTATGAAGTGCGTGCGAATTTAAAATTCGTTTTAGAAGCAGACGACAAAACTGTTCCCCTACCCCCTAGTTATTTAAGCAGATTTATGGCCGATTTGTGGCTACGAATTTTGACTCTCGACGCAGCCCCAAAACTGGCCACTCAAGTCTCTAGAATTATGTATACAATATAGTACATAATAAATGAAATTTTTAGTTTGTTTTTCAAGTGCGGTCTTTTCCTTTTTGGAAGTCTTGTGTGTGCCTAGCAGGTAGCGGAAAGGTCATGACGTTAAAATTCAATGGAATTGGATCGTTTTCTTAAACGCAGCAGGTTTTTCAAATGAGTTCTCAGGTAGGCGTGGGCCACACGTACAGTAAGGAAAATTCGTGGAACAAATCACAAACAGAATTCTATGAATGGGTAGGGAACGAATCCCACTCGTCTTTTAAAATCTGATGCCCTGCTTGAAGAGTTCAGTTATCCTTCAGCCATCAGAGAGAGTAGAATGCGTGACTGTGAAATTTTAAAAATATGTTTTCTCTTGGCATGCCTTCTGCAATGCGTCAGCGCACGATTAGCGTTCATGCCAAAGTTCTATGGCCAAGATAGTGCTGTAATTGTGGATACGGATAAGACGTTGCCTGCGCGCCTTAATCCCAAACTTCAAAATGCTCTATACTACAACATACCAGTGTATAAGCTGATCAAGCCGGCAGGCTTTAGTCCCACCATTCCGACTACAACAACCACAACAGCAGTGCCAACACCCTCAGAGGAGTATCCAGAGGATTTGCTTTATATGGCCCGCAACAAGCTGGGACTCAAGCGACTTGAGCTGCCCAGCCTAAGCGAACTGGGCGAGCTTCTGGGCACTGGAAGTGCAACTGAAACAGTCAAATATATACGCACCATGACCTCTAATGAACAGGGCATAGCTCTAATGAAGGCCTACTTGCAAACGCTCGACTATGGACAGAGCGACACGGATGCTGATGGCGATGCGGATGTCACCGACAATGAGGATGAGGCAATAGATGGCGAAGATGACAATAATGATGATAATTCCACGGATAACGCAAATTTAGATACCGACTATGACAACCTACCTGTAAAGCAACCCTCTACAAAAACTACAACAACCACGACGACGACTACAGTAAAGCCCTCGACGGAGGGCAGCTTTATGCAGCGCATGGGCGACTTTATGAGAAACTATAATCTGTGGTCTGAAGACAGCATGCAGGAGGCCTCAACAACGAGTTCGACGCCAGTACCTTTCAAGCCTGTTTTTGTAGTTCCACCACTGTCGGCAAAAGCACCAGTCGGGGTGCCACTAATGCGTCCGCTCTTAATGCGACGGCCACTGCCCTATCACTATCCCATACCTATTCGACCTCTGCTCCGTTCACAAACAGTTCATAAGCCTGTCGAATTATCCACAACAACATCTGCTCCAGCTTCAACCTCAACCACAGTGCGAACGACAACAGAAGAACCATCGCCTATCCACATGACGTCCCTTAAGCCTTCAGAGCGTGAAGATAAGGATATCGTTGCTGTTAGCACTGCTCCCGTAGCACCGCACATACAACAACTGGCCAGAATGGCGAACGTCTCGCCCCAAATTTTGGATCGCTTTCTGCAGCAGCAACCGAAACTAGCGGAGCTGGCCAAGCATGTGAGTCGCCTGCCGCTTGCTCAGGAGCATAGCCAGGTCATCGACTCGCAACTCTTTATGGCCGTGCAGCGCGCATTGTCTCAGGATGAGGAGCTCAAGCACTTACTCAAAGCAGCGCCAACTTTAGTATAGACATACATACATACATATTTATACTATAAGTTTGTAGGCATGCTTTATATAATAAACTGATTTGATATTGCAACACCTCAAAACTCAAAGGCCAAGTTAAAAATGGAGGCCAGCGCATTATTAAATGTTGCATTTTATTCTGGCGTTTTGTGCATAGTATCTGTGGGATGACACAATAAATCACCACAGTCATATAAAAACGCAGCATGCATAATAGACATACATATGTATGTATGTATTTCCAAAAAACAATTGTTTGTCAATTATATGAAAGTGCTGAGTCTAGAAAAAAACGCAGCACTTCGGTAAGGTTGACAAATTTTTCTTTTTGTCCGCAAATAGCACTCAAAAGTTCTGGAAGTTTAAACAAATGAGCGTGCATTGGACAGAAAATATATTTCTCAGGATTCAACGTGCTGCACGTAGAAAAGTATGTAACAAAATGTACTTTGACACGTTTGCCAAGAATATGAAACCACGAAACCACGTGCAGCGGATGTCGCTATCGATAGTTTCGACTACACAACCATCGCACTGGCAGCATTGCATCGTATCTATTAATGGGCAGCACTGCCGATGCTGCCAAGTTGGTTGATGTGTCGGGTATTTTCAAATTAAATAATTCGCAACATTGTAAAATGCTTGTTTTTTCTTATTTAACTTAAAAAAATGCATTATAGAATAACCATGCAAAATACTAAAACAGAACAAACACCATATAACACTTAAATTACTATTTAACTATTAATTTTTTCCTAGGCCATTGGTGTTAGTCAATTTGTGGTTCGTTGATAAAATGCTTATTGCTTGTATTGCATGGAAAAGAATAAAACAACGGTAATGTTTAACATCTCAAATAGGTGAGATGTAGACATTAAATTCAAAATTTAAAAGATAACATCAAAATTTGAAATTTTGTTTTGAAAATTTACAATTATTCGCGCTTTCAGACCAAAATGTGCTTCCGACGCAAGCTTCCCAATGTCAGAGCTGTAAAACATATTTCCTACGCTACCCTGCAGAAGCACCCCCTTAATTATTTGAAACAACGTTTCCAATCGAATTTCAACCGATTATTAAAAAAGACGGATGCTCCTAATTCGAGTGGTACAAAGATAACAGTTGCGGGTTGTGGACAAGTTGGTATAACGATTTGTTCGTTTCTATTGATGCGAAATCTGGCCAAACAACTGGTTATTTATGATGTACGGCACGATTGGGCGCAAGCCGAGGCGTTGGATTTGCTGCATGGTTCGTGCTTTATAAATAATCCCACCATCACCGCCTGCAATGACGGTTCAAAAACCAAGGACTCCAACATTGTCATAGTGACAGTGGGTGCGCGACCCTCGGGAAAGGATCGATCACGTTTAGCAATAGTGCAAAAAACAGCGGATATACTTAAATCTGTAATGCCACTTCTCGTAAAGCAGAGCCCCAATGCGGTGTTTCTAATCATTTCCAACCCGGCGGACATTATGACTTGGTATGTGCAGAAAATGTGCAAATTGGATAAATTCCGCTGCTTCACCACCGGCTGTCATCTGGACTCGGCCCGGTTTCGTTACGCAATCGCACAACGAATGGGGTTGCCCTCACGTTCGGTGGAAGGGTATGTGATTGGGGAGCATGGTGCGAGTGCGGTGCCTGTGTGGTCCACAGTCACAGTTGCGGGAGTGCCGCTGATGAGAGTAGTGCCCGATATAGGCGGCAGTGAGGACAAGGAGAACTGGACGGATTTGTTTAACAAAGGAGTGACAAAAGGTGCCGCTGCTGTGAGTTCTGTGAAGGGCTACACGAATTGGGCGGTCGCTCTGGCCGCCGTTGATGTGGTTTCGGCAATATTGAACAATTCGGGGCGGGTGATGTCTCTAGGCACCGACGTCTGCGGACTGAATTGCATTGAAGATCATGTAGTTCTCTCATTACCTTGCGTTGTTAAGTCGAACGGCATAACTCATATCCTTCAATTGCCGCTAACGGACACGGAGCAGCAACAGTTACTCAAATCGGCCAACATGTTGTTGGAGGTGCAATGTGGTTTGAAAGTGTGAAATAGCTTTCACAATTGTTTGTTGTTCGAAATTATAATTAAACATTTTTTTCTAACCATAAAAATTTGAAATAATGTTAGCCCAGTGGTCCCGCCGTTGTCTGACACGCCTGCTCTGCAAGCGTGAGTTCAGTGATGAATGCCCACCACCCCCCTCACAATTCCAGACCAAGCATCTGAAGGAAATGAGCAAGAAGCAGAAGGACGAAAAAATCACTGTCGTTGGCGTCGGCACTGTGGGCATAGCCTGTAGTACCTTTATACTGCAACGCAATCTGACCAATCACTTGGTTCTAATGGATGTGCGCAAGGACTGGATCAAGGCTGAGGCTCTGGACTTTCTGCACTCGTCGGGCACCATGGGTTCACCAAAAATTACAACGACTACCGATGGTAAAGGGGCAGCTGGATCGAAGTACGTTGTAATCACGGCCGGGGCACGCCCCAAAGATGGTGCGAAAAGATTAGAAGTGGTCCAAGACACGGCGAACATGCTACTAAAGATTATGCCGCCCCTTATGGAGCATTGTCCAAAGGCCACATTTATTATATGCTCCAATCCAGCAGATGTTGTTACCTGGTTGGTCCAGAAAGTGGCAAAATTGCCAAAGCATCGGTGCATTTCGAGCGGCTGTCATCTGGACTCGCTGCGTTTCCGTTATTTTATAGCGAAGCGTCTGGGAATAGCTCCGACTGCCGTGGAGGGCTACATTATTGGCGAGCATGGGAATAGTTCGGTGCCCGTGTGGTCGAGTGTGGTGGTGGGTGGCATTGCAATGCTGCGAATAATGCCAGACATCGGGACCGAATGTGACAAAGAGAAATGGTCCGATGTGCACGATCTGGTGGTGAAGGCTGCCGGAAGCATATTATCCATTAAAGGCTATACCAATTGGGGCGTTGGTATGGCTGTTGCGGATATAATTGCGGCCATGAAGGAGAACAGCGGCCGCATTCTGTCCGTTGCCACCGATGTGGAGGGTTTTATGGGCATTGAGGATAGCGTAGTCCTCTCCCTTCCTTGTGTGCTTACTTCGGACGGTATTGCTCAAGTCGTAGAGCTGCCACTCACTGATTTCGAGAAAGACCTGCTGCAGAAATCGGTGGAAACACTGGTTAAGGTGCAGTGCACCATTAAATTTTGATGATGCTTGTAAGTCCCAGGGAGAATTCTTAATGAAAAAGCGATGGAGGAGGTTCGAAATCTAGTGGCAAAAGTAAGACTGTAACTCACAACTCACGTAAACCTGTGAGACATTATTTCGCATTCGATTTTGAAAACCGAATCTGAGAGTGAAAGCTAAAAATTGGCTCTAATATTAGAGGAATGTGCATGGACTTCCATCTATGGTGCTGCCCACTTATAATATAATGATATTATTTTCAGATCACGCAGATTACAATTTCCACCAGCACCTGAAGGAGCTATGTTCCCCAATTTGATTAGTTTCGAACTATTTGATACTTTTCTCAAAATTTGGCAGTTGTAAATAAATTTGAGTTTCTAATACGTATAGCGTAATTTTTTTTAGACATGTTAGCCCAATGGTCCCGTCGTTGTGCGACACGCCTGCTCTGCAAGCGTGAGTTCAGTGACGAATGCCCACCACCCCCCTCACAATTCCAGACCAAGCATCTGAAGGAAATGAGCAAGAAGCAGAAGGATCCGAAAATTACTGTGGTGGGCGTAGGTTCGGTGGGTATTGCTTGCAGTGTTTGCATACTGGAACGCAATCTGACCAATCACTTGGTTCTAATGGATGTGCGCAAGGACTGGATCAAGGCTGAGGCTCTGGACTTTCTGCACTCGTCGGGCACCATTGGCTCTCCAAAAATTACAACGACTACGGATGGCAAAGGGGCAGCTGGATCGAAGTATGTTGTAATCACGGCGGGTGCGCGTCCCAAAGGCGGCGTAGATAGATTGGGGGTGGCCCAACAGACCGCAGAAATGCTGATCAAGATTGTGCCCTCCCTGATGGAGCATTGTCCCAAGGCCACCTTTATCATATGCTCAAATCCCGCCGATGTTATGACCTGGGTGGTACAGAAAATATCGAAATTGCCAAAACATCGGTGCATTTCGAGCGGCTGCCATCTGGACACGCTGCGATTCCGCTACTTCATAGCAAAGCGTGTGGGCGTGGCTGCAAGTGCAGTGAGGGGCTTTATTGTTGGAGAGCATGGCAATAGTGCGGTGCCCGTATGGTCGAGTGTGATGGTGGGCGGCGTCGCGTTCCTTCGCTTGAATCCCGACATGGGCACTGAGTGTGACGAGGAGAAATGGTCCGACATACACAAGCTGGTGCTGACCGGAGGCTCAACCGTCTCCCAAATGAAAGGCTATACGAACTGGGGCATTGGTTTGTCCATAGCGGATATTATTTCGGCCCTGAAGGAGAACAGTGGACGCATTCTGTCTGTAGCAACAGATATGCAAGGTCTAATGGGAATTGAGGATAGTGTGGTGCTCTCACTGCCCTGCGTGCTGAACTCGGACGGCATTGCTCAAGTCGTAGAGCTGCCACTAACTGACTGGGAGAGAGACATGTTTGAGAAATCGGTGGAAACGCTCGTCGAGGCGCAGTGCACAATTAAAATTTGATAGTTTTGGTAATCTTTTTCCAGTCAAGTACCTGAATCTACGCTCTCACTATTTTAGCTGAGAGGGACAGCAGAAGAGTCTCAAGATTCATGCATATGTGTATGTGTGTGAGTAAGTGAGATAGCTAGCAACGATAGGAGATAGCGACGCACACTTGGACCTATTTCCAGTCACAACGTCTGCCCTCGCTCGCTTTCTAATGCCGCTGCTACCCTGTGTCTTGCAATATACTTTTTTTCTCCTATTTTCCATACATAATAGAATTGTGTTTTAAAATTTCCCAAAATAGTCGAACAGGTTCTAATCGACCCCCGATTTGCTACGGCAGAGTGAGGAGTCCCCCAAAAAAAAAAAAAACTAAGCTTGGAGCCAAGGCCTTGAGTTGTAATAGGTGCTCAGAGCAAGACGATAGTTCCGATGCGCTCTCTTCTATTACAGATATGAATGTACATACTTGTATGTACATATGTGATGAGAGAACGACGACCCTTGAACTCTTGTGGGCAGAAGCACTCGGTGCATGCAGCATCCTGTTGTTAGCATGTGTAGTCAAGTGTAACATGGAATCCGGCGAGCAGGTGGCGGAGAAGCGCGTCGAGATCGTTGTGTGAGCATTGTGGGGAAAATGCTGTAAAGTGCAACGGAAAATGTGTGTCATGTGTGTGAAGTGCTTTGTTTAAGAGTGAACGTGAAAGAAGGTTGTTTACCAAAATATTTGTTTTACTAATCGAATTTCAACCGGCGCACAGTGACTGTCAAACGTATCCGCACCACACAAACAATCGCTTGATTTAATATGCTGGAAATGCATTGCTTTTTCCACTGAGCTCCTATTGAAATGCTACACATTTTCCCCAACAAATGTGAAAGTATGTGAAAATGTATGCGGGTGCAGATCTCCCTCCCATGGAGCGTAGAAAATTGGACCAGCATTTTTGTTTGTTGTGGTAGACGCCTGTCGAATAGGCTAGCAGCACTTATAGTTGGTAGGCAGCACAATGAAAATCACTTTCCATGCTGGTGCCATATGGTGCTGGTGTCGAAAAACAAATACAAGTAGAACTCCTACCTGCTAACAAGCATCTATCCAGACGATCTCACAACTCGAACGCAATGTTCTGTGAATGCTGCGGGCCTGCTGATATGAGACACATTTGCATGTTTAACTCTTTTCATGTGGCTAGAGCATGTAGGAAGTAAGTAAATAATACTTACATAGAAGTTATGGTACATAAAGGTACATAATGCATGGTATGCATAAAGCCACTGAGAATGTGGCTAGAGCGTGTAGGCAGTAAATAATACCTTAAAGTTGTGGTACATGGTCCCCCCCTTTCTGGTTTTCCGAGCCATGTAGATGCGTTATGGGTAACCTATTAACCTTGCCCTTACCTTGGTACCTAAGCAGGTATATTTCAAGCAATGTTCATTCCATTTCCAATATGCCTATACCATCATTTCTGTTTGCCGGTTGAAGTGCTACACATTTGCATCATTTGAATATTTTCTTCAGGTCAAGGCCTAATACGTTTAATATGAATGATGAATCCACGCTTGAGATCAATTGTCGCGATTGATCCAACACCCATATTTTTAATAATGCAACTAAAGTGACAGAAAAACATTCTTAAATAGGAAGTTACGAAAATCGGATAGTTCTTAATGAAATGAAAGAGTTATGAGTGCATTCAAGTGTAACATTCGAACAGGGAATCAGTAAATGGTAAGCAGCGTAAGAGAACAGATTTGAAATGCAACTGCAACTGGCAGTGCCTCGGGGGCGGGCACCTTTTCTGCTGCAGCAGCCAGCAGGGGAAATGCGTATAGGCTGCAGGTAGCTGGATTTTTCCAGCGATCCCTAGTTTTCCATAGGTTCCTAACACTTCTCTGATTTGTTGTGCGCCTGTTCGCTTAATCCGTTTGGTCACGCTTCATCGATTTTCCATTGATTTGGGATGCTGTTGAACATCGATCACCTGCGTGGATCACTTGCATCTTTAATCCCATGCAGTGCGTGTTTCTTGCTGTTGTCCTGTTCACATTTTATGGTTCGCTGCACTCTGGCGACTGTGTCTGCCTTTGATCGTTAATGGATGCTGCAACGATCTCTCAACAGATTGAGGGGCAGCTGCGTTTCTCTTCTTTTCTCTCTGCGCTGCTGTTCGATTGCTACAGATGGTCACGCTTCAGTGAGTTCTTGAGATTGTCAAGTAATTTCCAAGTATTGTAGCACTAGCTTCTCCTTCTGCAGGCCTGCTTCTATGATACAGTTTGTGGAAAATAATCCTGCCCTCGGCATTGTTCAGGTGCCTTCTTATGCCATATTTTAGCAATTGAACTGCAGCTAACTTCTCAATATCCTGAGAACCTGCTCGTTTGCTACAGTTTATTCACGACCTAATGACCTTTAAACTATGATTTATGGCAATAGAGAGAGAGAGAGAGACGGTCTTGAACTAT